CCACTGGTGGGGACTCTAGGCTCTGCTTGGCATTGGATGGCCACACACTCCACACCTGCTTGGCTGCTCTGAATTCTCAGCTGGAGCAGCTCTGCTAGCCAGCCAACTGTTCCTCAGGGGCCAAGACCATGAGCATCCTCCCACAGCTCTGCCCCTGGCCCTGTCCTCATCTGCATTAACTTAAAAAAAAAATCTTTATTGTGATATAACTCATATGCCATAAAATTCAGCCTTCACTTACTTTTGAGACTCTAACAACAATGATCAGGTCTGAAATTAAGAATCCCTTACCCTAACTATACTATAGGAAATAAATTATTCATTTAGTGCAAAAATTCAATTTCTCCTACAGCATTTCAACAAGAGTTCAAGAAGTGCTGCCAGCACCTGCTCCGTGCTCTGATAATGTATATATCATTATATACCTGCCTTGTGCCAGGTACTGTGCTCAGCACTTGACAAACATTATATTATTTAATCCTTACAGCAATCTTGAAAAGTGCATATTACTAGTTCTTTTCTTCCCTGAGGCTCAGGGAAGTTAAGTAACACACTAAAGGTCACACAACCTTGCCTAGGTGGCAGATTTGGAATCTAGGTCTGGCAGGCTTCAGAGCCTGTGCTCTTAACTGGCTCACACCTTGCCTCATTGCACTGTGGAGTGTGAAATTGGGAAGAGAAGGTGGACTAGATTCTGCTCCTGTATCATCTAGAGAATCGGAAAAGACATTTAACTCCAATATGGCCCTGAAATATTTTAATTCCATCAAATCAGCACCTGCCCATCAGCAAGGCCATCATAACAAGTTAGAATGAAAATAAAGATGTAAAGACATCAGCCACCCTCACCTAGGTGTGGCCCATGGTGTGGGAGTCTGACGGGGACAGGTGGAGTACCAGGCAGATGGCAGCTCACATTCTGGTGATGGACCATGCAGGGAGACAAGCTTCCAGGAGGCACCATGTGAGCTTCATCTCTGCTTAAAAACCAGGATGCCCATCCTGCCACAAAGGTTGGCAACTCCAGAGGAGCACTGCTCAGGACTCTACGATCTCTCCAGCGCCACTCTGAGCACTTTTAGGAGTCTCTGGCACATTGGCTCTGGGCTGCTTCAGTTTCTAGGCAGACAGTTATGTGAGGGCTGCTGGCAAGAGCTGACCCAGAGAGGGTCTGGGTGAGCCCCAAAAGAAAACCTGATTGGTAAGATGTCTTGGAGTGTATGGCAGAGTGAGGTGAGACACCAAATTCCAGGCAGAAGTAAAGTCTGGAAGTGTGGGTTTGCCCTCACTAATGGTTCCTGAGCCACAAGATACGAGGAACCACCAGCTATATTTATCCTATCCTAGCATGGGACCCGCAGCCATGAAGAAGGCCCTGGTATTTACCAAGCCATCCACTGAAAAGTGAAGCTGGCTATCAGGCAATTCCCTTAGATTTAATAAACCCAAAAGGCTGTTCAGCATTTTCATATCATTTGAGCCTCATGTAGACAGTTTTGAGTCACATGCCTTCAGCTCACCTCTGGGCAGTTCCACGCCTCTGCCACATGTCTCCCCACCTTTCTGTTTGAGAACTTTTTCTGAATCTGTAGAGCCCTCTATTCCCAGATATTCAGGGAGGTGAATGACTTGGGGAATGCGGCAAGTCATCTTTTCCAAAACCGGCTGCAACAACATCTCCCATTTCATGTGCTCTTTTAACAATGTGATATTGACATGCCTCCCACTGGAGAGGTAGGTCTCTGCTTGCCCACCTTGAATTTGGGAGGGCCTGTGGCCATGATGGAGGTGACAATGTGTGACTCTGAGGCAAAGCTATCAAAGGTAACACAGCTTCCATTTGGTTCTCTCGGGATGCTTGCACTTACGATGCAGCCGCCATGATTTGAGGAAGTCTAACTAGCCCACATGGAGAGGCCACAGGGAGAGGCTGCCTAGTTGTTCTGGCCAACAGGTCCCAGGCAGCAGACAACCTCCACAGCCAGACATGTGAGTGAACGAGACTTCAGATGACTTCAGACCCGCTTGCTGAGTCACCCCAGCCTGTAAGTCTTCCTTGTTGAGGCTGAGCCATCATGGAACAAAGACAAGCCTCCCCTGCTATGCTATGTCCTTTCCAAACTCCTAATCAACAGAATCATGAACATAACAAAACAGAGGTTGTTCTATGCCACTGGTCTGGAGAGCTTTCTTATAAGGGAATAGAAACTAGACCAGGGAGCAGACAACAAAGGGCAGCAGCCTTTGGATAAATGCTGCAGCCTCCTATTCTCTGGCAGATAACTTGAGAGGCATTCTGTAAGCTCTTCTAAGGAGCTCCCAGTGGGGTCCCATTGCCTCCCAGTGGGGGCCCATTGCCTAAGGCAGCTACCTTGATTCCACTCCCTTCATTGGACCTCCTCCCTCCCTGTCTCATTCCTCCTGCTCCCTCAGCCCTGCTTCCTAGGATCACCTTCCACACAAACTATCTACACCCAAGTCCTTGTCTAAGGCTCTTCTTTCTGAAGAATCCAACTAAAACTGACCTTTTGTTTACCCTGCAGGACAAGCATTTTTGCTCCCACTCCTATTTTGTAGCCAAGGAGACTGAGACATGGACAGGTAAAATGACTTGCTCAGGGTTACATGGTGAGTAAGGGGGGCAGGGTCAAGATAAGAATATAGGCCCTCTGGCTTGAAATCACCTTAAACATTGTGGATGAGGACAGGCAGGCATGTAGGCAGGAGCAGTCTTCCCAAGCTTTGCTCTCAGAGGCATGGTGGCTGGAAGGATGCCTTGTGATTTACTGCCAGTTGAACCCTTAGCTGTATTGACAGTATCAGAAGAAAAATAGCAGAGCTATGGACTACCAGACAGAGAACATGCCCCAGAAGCCCCATCCCCTCACCAGCCCCAGGCCAGGAGGGCTTCATAGACTAACTCGAACTCCCTGGTCATTTGATTTAAAAGCCACCCCTTTTTACAGCATCAAATAGATTGTCAATTAGAAAATCTAAATTTTCCAGCTTAAAACCTGCTTTAAGGTCAGCATGAAGAAGATGTTCTTTCCATCAGTTTCTAGGAAATCCATTTATAAAGTACCTATATCTCAAGCCCTGTTCTAAGTACTTTAATCTATCAGGAATCACCCCCATTTACAAATGAGGAAACTAATGTCCAGAGAAATCAAGTGATTTGCCCAAAGACACACAGCTTGTAAATGGCAGAGTAAATGGTAAAAACGGTATTAAAAAATTGCAAAGGTCGTGAAATGGTAAAATTACCAGTTTGTTCATCTTCTGAGAGGCTGGGCTAGAACCAATGATCACAGACTCATAGAACACTGGATAGGAAGAAATCCAGGGGGTATCTTCTATGATCGTTACACTGAAGTGCCTGCAAGGTATGAAGCAGGCCCATGGCAAAATGCTTGATGTAGACCAAGAGCACAAGCTCTCTGGCCATACTGCTTTGCAGTTCTAACAAGGCAGCCATTTTCATTCTGCAGGTAAAGAACTGGGGCCCAAAGAGGAGGGGAATCGTCTAGGTAACACAGCTCCTGAGAAGCCAGGAACAGATGCAAGACCTTCCCCCCTGCATTCTGAGTCCACAGTATGGAGACCTGCACCAAGAAGGGAGAGTGGGAGGTATTTTAGCTTTGCAGCCCTGAGGCAGGTCCTAAAGGGAAAACTTCTGCCTGGAAGAGTCAGGGCTTTAGGATTTCACTGAGATAGAATGGGAGGCTGCCCCTAGATGGTTTGCGTTAAATATGCAACCAAAAAGTGCAGTGTCCCCCTAGCCAAGAGGCAAGTCCTTTCTCCGAGACTTCAGTATACTGGTAAATGGCTTGCTGGCCTTCCAGACAGCTGTTCTCCAGGTCAGGCAATTTCCAATTAGATGGGGTGACTGAGATGTTACCTTTTCCCGCCCTCTTCTGGCCAGTCTTAGCATCAGGGTATCCCAAGGAGAGGCCAGTGGGTTGGGAGAATTCAAGGAGGTTGAGGAGGATGCCTGCAGCTTGCTGAAGCCACACTGGCCAGATCCTCCACCTCCCGGCCCTGGCTGTGCATCCCATCCTGTCTGTGAAGAGTCACAGAATATGCATGCCCCTGGTTATCTTGCATTTTCTCTAAAATTACTGAGGAAGATGAGGCTGTAACAGGCAAGCCTGCCTCAGGATTATCCTCCACGGCTGAGATCAGAAGCTGGATGTCTATTGTACATCTGAATTCACAGTGCCCAGACCAGCACCCAACATACTAAGAGGTGCAGCATACATTCCTGAGCAAATCAATCCCTTCCTCACTCCAGGCCTCAACTGCCCGCACTGTCTCCCAGAGGTCCCAGCTCACACCCAGCAGCGTCAAGGATCTGACAAGGGCAGGAGGTGGTCCAGACACTCCCTTTATCCCACACCTATTTTCCCAGCTTCAGGGACCCTCTTTTCAGGGCTAGGCTGCCATTCCAGAAGTGCTCTGGAGCCTCTTCTCTTTGGCCTTGAATTAGGTCCCATGAGGAACTCATAGTACCTGAGCCAGGCATTCTACCTGTTGAGGTTTTCTCCATTTGCCCAGGAACCAACTCTTCTGCCCACCTTCCTAACTCAGAAGCCCCACGAGATACAGCAATAGGTGGATATTCTGCAGGAAACTTCTCTCACTAAGACCAGACCCCTCAAGACTAGTTTGATCTTCAACCTTCACAAGATTCTCACATCTCACAAACCCCTCCTGCCTCCTAGTACCCTGGTCTTCTCCAGACTTTACCCAGTCCCGACTCTCACAACCCCCAGCCTAGACCCGAGCCACTGCAGTGACAGTAACAATAAAAATGACAGTGCCATCATTTCATTTGCAGAGGATGTTCCCATAAATCACCTGAGCCTCCTATAATTACTGCCACCAATTTAGAGATGAGTAATCTGAAACTGATACAGGTTTTCAGGGTGTGAAGGGGCGGCCACTGGCCCACAGGCTCCGCGGAGACCTGGCCGGCCACAGCCCCAGGAAGGAGCACCTGCTCCGCCGAGGGTGGAGGTCGCACTCTTCCCTCCCAATTCCTTTCTGCCCACCGCCAAGTGAAACAGAGCCGCACAAAGCCAGAGATAAACACCACCAATGGCCAGGAGCGTCTGTGCGAGCCTCTGAGCCCAGCATCTCCCGAGCGTGAGCACCCTTCTGTCCGTGCTGGAACTGCCCCACACTCATCAGCTTGCTGGAACATGCGCTTCGGCCCTTCGGAGGCTAACGCCTCAACGACTCCAGCTCGGAAGCCGCTCCCCTCGGGACTCAAGAGCCGGCCGGTGGCCCCAGGGAAGCGAGAGCTGCAGCGCCCGGGCGGCGGTTGCGCCCGAAAGGCCGGTACGTCCCGGGGCGCCGTTTCCGGGCGGGATTAGAGCACCTGCCGGCTTCCATCTCCGCCCGCCCAGGGCGACCCTCAGGCCCGGACGACGCCGAGGGTCTACAGGGAAGTTTCCGGCTATTCGAGTCTTGCTCATTCTCCCTCGGCGACCCCTTTCCTTTTGCCCACTGTGACGCTTTTCTTTTTAAAATCTCCTCCGAAGCGTAACCACAGATCTTGGGAAACTTTGCAAGAAACTTAGGAATGCTGTGAAATCAGAGCCAGCAACTCCATCTGAGCCTGGGAGCGCCGCGCCCAGCCCGGCACTTCTGCTCCGACCTAGAGTGTCCGGCGGTGGCCAGTGCTGACCACCCGCTGTCAGGCGACCCTGGCACCCGCCCCGGCCCCTGGGCGCCCTCTCGGCATCCGCCCTGATTCGCTTTGGGAACGTGCCTGCTGTTGCTCCCCTGGTAAGCACCGCAAACCTGGGACCGGGACGTCCCAGCCTCAGAGTGATTTTTAAGCAATTCATCAGAGGCATTGTCTTCCCGGGGAGCCGGGGATCTCAGGGGAGGGGAGAGGAGACCCGCCCCACAGACGGCAGCGCAGACTGGCCCACCACCTCATTTGCATTTCAAAGGCAAACTTCTGCGGGACTTCCCGGCGGTGGCGGCGCCTACCTGCTTTGCAAGGGTCGTGGTAATGCTCCAGCTGCTGCTCGGTGCCCTCCTCGCCGTCCAGCGCCGAGTAGTCCACGACGGCGTCCGGGCGTTCTCCGAGCCCCCCGGCGCCGCGAGGCAGCGGCAGCAGCAGCAGTGACACCAGGGCCCCAAGTGCAGTCACCCGGGACATGGTGGCGCTGGGCCGCCGGGGGCAGAGGGAGTTGCGTGCACGAAAGCTCAGCTTGGCCGAAGGACGGTGCACTGGGTCGGTCGGCTGCGGCCGGGACTCGGTGGTTACACTGGGCTGCCGGGCATGGCTCCCGCGCGGAGCAAGCGGAGCGCGGCGCCCCCTGTCTTCTTCAGGGCAACCGGGAAGCCGCCTCTCGGAGCTACTCGCCCGGCGGCCGAGGCTGCTGCGGCTGCGACTGTGGCGGTGGCGGCGGTGGTTGGAGCAGTGGCCGCTCCGCCCCTCTCCACCAGGGCTGGACCACACAGCCCTCGCCAGGGGCCCTGGGCAGCCAATCACTCGGGCGCCCGAGGAGAGGCCCCTCCTCTTCCCGGCACCTCCGCAACTTCGGAGGAAAGGGAGCAAGGTGAAGATGCTGAAGCCAAGGGCCGGGGGCCAGCTCTGCGCCCACCCAGCCGAAGGCGCCTGCCCGGGGCGCCACCTCGGCCTCTGGCTCTCGAGAACGCTGCTCCTGAAGATCGAGGCTGGGGTTCCCGTCTCGTTTTATTTCCCTAACTCACTTTACAACTCCCCGATGCACACGTGGCCGGAGGCTGCAAAGCGGTTAGAGCTCGGAGCGCTGGACCGGGAGCCCGGTGTGCGCGGTACGTGTCACTACCAGCTTGGCTGTGTGCATTCGGGCAGCTGCTTCTCTGCAGGGATGAATGAATGTCCCTTTCAGCGCAGAAAAAAAAAAAAAATCGAGGATTTCGATTCTCACAGCTCTCTCCACATCCTCTAGTAGAGCCATGAAGGGCGCTTGCTGTGGCACCTACCTAACCTAACCTGGTGGCTGCGATAGGTAAGGAAGAAAAGATTTAAGCCCACAGATTTCCCCTCAGTGACTATCTTTCAGTAAAACTGGCTAAGATGCTTCATACAGTCAAAAAGACACAAATGAACAGCTGTACGTGCTCTTTGTGTCAAATTACAGACATGTTTTTATTAAATAAGCCACTCACTGTTAACTTGATGGAATAAAAATGACCAATTTCTGAAGTCTGGTTCTTTTTTTGCCAATTAAAAATATATGCCCAAATAATTTAGGAGACTAATCAAGACCTATTTGAAACCCACTTCTACTTTGTACCTTAAATGTAAAAATGGTCAGAACTGAGCCATTTTGATTTAGAGATATAAAAAGTATTTTTACTGTGAGGCTTTTCAAAGATCTTTTTATGCGAGTAAAATGTTCCTATCAAGTATAACACACAAAAGTGTATGTGTAGAGATATTTTGCATCATGCCCAGTAGAATCCTTTTTCAATTTAAACTGCAAGCAGAAAAATGGACAACTTTCTTTTTGGATTTCCACATGGTTTCACATACATCATTGACAAAATAGTTAACAGGGAGCGCTGGGCTTGACATCAAACTACATTTCTTGCATTTATAGTCATCTGTCTTCTCATCTATCGACCAGGATAATGAGTCCTTCACACCAGTAAAGAGCTAAAAGTTAACTACTGGAAGGATGCTACTCATGTTTTGTCCTTGCTCTTAGAAATAAATGCAACATTGACCTGCCTCATGCTGTTTTCATCAAATGGGCATGTAACATATAGAATGGAGCCAGATGGGCAAGATCTGGTTAGAAACTGGCAGGTGGGAGGAAGGAACTTGGAGGGGATAAAGGCCACCAAATGGCAAGGAAGGCCAAGTGGCCAATGCATAGGCAACAGGAATGGAAGGGGGTTGAATGACATGCATTTCTACCTGAATGCCAGAAAGAGTCAAACCCAATGCCACAGCTCTCTGCATTCGCCCCCATGAAGGTCACCACATCTCAGTAGAGAAGTCCACAGAGTCAACACCTAAAAGGCTTAACAAACTTCTGTGACACTTCCAGGTCTCCAGATGGCACTAGGCAAACCACCAACTGGGTTACTCATTAGAAGGAAATTCCTCTGGAAAACAGACATCAGAGGCCACCTCTTGTGCAAGCAATGAAGGAGCTTTCATGACCTCCAGTCCCCACCTGGTGAGTAGTGGCCCGGTCTTCTCACCAACACCCTTTGTCCAAATATTTTGAAGACAGTGGCGTTCTTGAATGAACAAGCTGCATTATTATTATTAGAGTAGAAGGCCAGTTTAGTTGCTACTTTGGCTATCAACCAACAAATGGCAACAAAATATTTGGTTCTCTAGAAAGATTAGAAAGGAATGACTGAAAAGGAACACTGTAAGATAAAACTATAAAAGCTAAACTCTAATCTGGGTTCAGATAATTTTTAAAATGTATTTTTCTTTAATTTTAAAACTATGAAAAAAACAGGTAGATTCAGAATAACAGAATTTATGAGCTAAAACTGCTCAACTTAGCTCCATTATTACATTCATTACTTTAGGTTGCCATATCTTTGCGTCCTCTGTGAACCTGAACAAGTGTTTTTCTCCTCTTAGACGTCCATCCCCCACCCAACTCATTCCTTCTATACCCCTACGCCCAAAGTAACTGGTTTCTCTTGCCCCTTCAAGACTGAGTTTTATCCACCCGGGCCACTTTCTCATTTTGCCTCTCCAGGCCACTATACATCATAATTTGCTCCAGTGCAGGGAGCAGAACCTCCAAAATAGAGGGCACGCTCATCATGCCAGCTCATTCCTTCCTTTACACGGCTGACCACTGAGAAGATACTGGGTTCTTTGGAAAATATAATTAAAGAGATTACAATTTTAATCAGCTGTTTAAACTCCTGGCTCTCCAAAATCTTTATCCAAACTCCTCAGGGTGGCATGCCAGGTCTTCTGTCTACCATCAAGCCTTCCTTTCACTTTTGCAGTCTTGGCACCTCCCACATTCTAGTCTTCTGGCATTAAACATCCTGCTGTCATCCTAACCCAGCCTTGCTGCTTCGCACCTTAATCTCTCTGCCTGGGACACCTTGATAACCACACAACCCAAATCCTCATGCCAGCATCACAGCTACCATACCTGTGACACTTAGCTACCTAGTCTGCCCTTTCTGGTCTACAATTGTAGCAGACCTCTCTGACCAACCCCAACTTAGAACCACCTTCCATGTCTCACTCTGTAGACTCTCCCTTTTCGTCCTGATCTTCAAGATTAAGTCCTGTAATCCTAGCGGCTTAGACTGGGCCACTAAGAATAACCATAACATTGGCCAGTCCCACTTATATCAATTTACCCCTGTAACCATCTCCCACATTTTTTCCTTTGAAATGGCTGTCAAGCAAAGTAATCATGCAAACTTTGAAAATCACTTTAAATAATCAATTAATTTAAAATGCATTTGTAAACTACACTGATCCCCTATGTCCCACTTAGGCTTCCTCCCCTCTTTTCTAATGCTATATTGCAGAGTAACAGTTCCACAAAAACAGTTCACACTTGAAATCAAGAAACTGGCTGCATAACAGTTCCTTCTCTCCCGTTTTCCAACTGGACAAAAAGTGTTCATTAAAGAAATCAAAAGTAATCCAAATTTTTACCAACTATTTGGCTAACGGGAATTGCCAAGTACAGGTGTTGACTGAGACAGCTCACAAAACTAGGAGAAAAGAACCAAGGACCTAATAAAAGCGTGTTGAGTCCAGAGCAAAAAAAAAAAAAGAACCAAGGAGATTGGTCAGGATTTAAAAAAACTAATCAGGAACAGACGAACAAAACATACAAATAGACATGAAGAAATTAAGCACTGATTTCGATGTGGCACAGTAAAAATAACCTCTTCCATTTGTATAGAACACTAATTTTCAATGCGACTTCTACATATATTATCTGCCTCCCAGGCTAGAGGGGGTTATACCCCCGTTTTGCAGTTACAATAGTCAAGACAATAGGGTCCTGAATCTTGATTACTTCTGGGCTAAAAATAGGAGCACCCCTTTAGCTGCCCTGGTTTCTTATCCATAAAACATGGCTGTCTACTCTACCAGCTTCACAGAATGCTTGTGAAGGAACACGTGAGACTGCTTTGAAAAATTAGTAAATGCTGCAGCTGGGTGTGGTGGCTCACGCCTGTTATCCCAGCACTTTGGGAAGCTGAGGTAGGCAGATCATCTGAGGTCAGGAGTTCGAGACAGTGTGACCAAATGGAGAAACCCCGTCTCTACCAAAAATACAAAATCAGCTGGGCGTGGTGGTGAATGCCCGTAATCCTAGCTACTCTGGAGGCTGAGGCAGGAGAACTGATTGAACCTGGGGGGCAGAGGTTGCTCAGGTGAGCCAAGATTGCGCCATTGCACTCCAGCCTGGATAATAAGAGCAAAACTCCATCTCCGCACCCACCCCTCCACCAAAAAAAAAAAGCTAAATAAATGCAAAGTATCATCAATCAGAGGATGGCAGGCAAAGAGATGGTAAAGTCTGAGTGTAGGCGTCAGGTACACAAAAAAAGTCAAAAGAATGGCAATACAAGAAAAATCATTTCTTAAGAAAGAACTATCTTATTCATTGGACCATTCTCTCAACTATACTGTACATTAAAAAGGGTTTCAAAATATAAACCTTAAACTTTAAATACATCATTTCAGGGGTTAGCAGACTATCGCCTGTGGGCTTTTTGTGAAATTATATGGGAACACAGCATTCTCATTAGTTTATGTAGTCTACTATGGCTGCTTTGGTGCTGCAATGATAGTTTCAACAGACTGTATGGCCCTCAAAGCCTAAAGTATTTACTTTCTAGAACTGCACAGAAAAAGTCTGCAGACCCCTGCTTTATTTAATTGTGGAAAGCTTTTAGTTGTTCATTTGCATGGCAATAATGGGTTATCCCTTATGCTTGGTTCATATTTCAAAAAGGAAAGAAATAAAGCATCCAAGGGAAGTACATTTAACTTTTTATTACTTTAAAAAAATCCAAATTCAGATAAATTAATACACTAGATTAGAACCTCAACTGTTTTTGATACATTATATACTGGACTTCTATTACTAAAAAGCCAGTTGGAATACGGCCTATATGAACCAAAGCGTGTATACAAAATGGAAGTGATCATCAGGCAGTAATTGTTTCCTTGGAACTCTGCACCGACTGTCCATGCTCTGTGGGGATTTATACATTCAAGTTTGACACAGTTGAAAAGCCAACTGGAACTGCTTTTCCAAGAATGTTGTTGTCCTTCCAATAGAATTCCATGTCATTTCTTCCTTGCCTTAAGCTTTTAAAACTTTCAATTGACCTAAGATGATAAACTGGAGTAAACACACACTATGCTGCAGTTACCAATCACCAAGCCTAGTTCACCAATTCTTCAAAATAAGCAGACTTCACAAATTATTTCCATTCCTCACAGTGTAGTAAGAACTTAATTTTGTTTATTTTTGTCTTTGTAGATTTCTGTCTACAGCTCCAGTAAGAATGTCAAATCAGATGGCTTTTAGGAAATGCTCTTAAGAGAGAACTAGAGTTATTCCTCACACTGAATTTAAGTCTTACAAATTTCTGCAGTTACATATGTTAACTTTCTCATCTACCCTACTTGTAAGTCTAATTTATTTCTGTACACACTTCCAAATAATCTTAAAGTTTTTGCTCCTCTGACGGAAATATAACACCTTGATTGATGGAATACAGCTTAATAACTATAGAATTTTAGTGAAGATATAAAACATTAATGAATACTTGTGTTTTAATACATCACTACTCCTATTTATTACATGTTCCAATAAATCAATAGAATGAAGCACTAAGACATGGTGACATCTAAACTTAAAACCCAGATAGAACTGCCATATAGATTACAAATGGGTTTCCCCACTGCAGATTTCATATACAAAAGCCCTTCGGTATGTAGCTTTTCCTGAACAAATATACATTAATACACTTTTTGTTTTTCACAGTTGTAAAAATTCAAGGTTTTAATAACATTTCTTTGCAAGACATTTGGTATAACGTGATTAATAAACATTAGAAAACAAACACTATATCGAAATGGATATTATTTGTGAATAAACCCTAAATAAAGTGGCTTTTGGAAGAACTGTATTTTGCAGCAACCAACTTTATAAAGAGGTCCACCCACTCGCAATGGAAAACACCCAAGCATACCATTCATTAGGTTCAGATATCACAATATAATGAGTTCTAAGAGTATGGGGTTTGATTTATGGGCAACCCCAGTACAATCTAGGAGCCCAACAAGATATATAATGCTAAAAGAATGCTTCACCATCCCTCAAGCCATTACATTTCCACCTCATCCTACTCTGGTATTAGGACTTATGTATAAAAATGTCAACTACTAATGCAGTTAAATTTCAGGAGAAGCATGCTTAAAGATACATGGGGAATGTTTAGCCTTAGTTTTTGATAGTATTATTCCAAGTCTCAGTTGAAAGAAATTAAGCAAATAATGTTAACAAATGAGAGAGATAAAAAGCATTAGTGGGGTATAAAAACCTCACCCTTCAAGTAACTTAAATAATGTTATATTTTCTATTCTACAACTGAGAGCTAGGGAGCTAAACTATTTGTGAATTACATCTTCTTCAAGACACACACACACACACACACACACACACTCACCCCTCTATGCAGCCAAAAACAATACAAAAGTCCTTTTCTAAAAGACTTTTAAAGGTGATTAATATTCACTGTAATGATCTTAATGTATTTGAAAATTAAAAATTATTTTTCACCATGGATTTCAAAGAACTTCAAATAGAGCTCAATTTAGAAGAAAGAATTGGTGTACCTGAAAGCATTTAACCCACATATTTTCAGTAAACCCTACATCTTCCCTGCAAGATTCATGAGAAACAAATTTCCTTTTATTAAGACAAAAGCTTACTGTCCAATTTATACTCCCATCAGACAGACTATGTATTGGTATGTTAAAAGTACTTTTTGAACAAAAGTGGTGAGAAGGAAACCAAAAAAGTACTTTATATATAGTTAAAATGTTATATAAGCAACTAAATATTAACTTGTAGTTTCTTTTTTCTAACATCTTAAAGAAGGATGAGAAAATGGAAGAACCAATAAATTACATTTAATATACCATTTTGGCTTAAGAAGAGGATTTATCTACAGCTTCTGATCCAATCTGTTTGATCATATCATAATCATACTTAAGTGGTAAGAAATCATACTTTTCACCTTTTATAGAACTTACATGCTACAATATAGGATTACATATTTTGTAATGAAAACATCTTGTGTAACTATTAACCGCATGATTTTCATATTAAGGTTTAAATACAGATGTTTTGAATCTTTCTAAAAATACCAATATACAGTATTGTTTTAGGTGGTCATTTGCATAGCAAACTATTAAACTAGAAACTCAGTGGTTCTAGGAAAACTTCACATTATGAATAGTTCCAGAAAAATGTATTCAAAATTAAAATCACTTCTCTTACAAAACTGTAACCTTTATTTGTTGATCCAATAGTAAGTTAACCACTTTTACCCCATCCCCACTTTACATGGTACAACAACCTGAACAGATTTTGTGCCACAATTTCATTCAAAGGGTTTGTCATTCACTTTATGATTGTGCTGGATAATCTAGATGTAAGCAAGTCTGGAGATTTTAAAGTGTGGGTCCCCCGTATGAGAGTAGCATAGTCCATAGTATATTTTTTTAAATGGCATTCAGTAATTTTGCCTTTTGAACAGACAGAGATCTTTAAATTGCAAACACATCTATTTCCACAAAACAATTTGGTCAGGAAATTTTATTTTAACATTCTAAAGCAATAATGCTTTAGATGTTACTTAAGTGTCCCAGACAGGATTAACAAAATTAAATGTCTCTAAATTACAAATTTAGCTCCTGTAGGAGTCTCAGGAAATAAAGAGAAGAAAACAACCCCCCTCCCAAAAGTATGACACACACATTTTGAAGAAACCCCAATGTCTCATGCAATGGTAGGTAGGCAAGATGTAAAAAGCCACCCAAATTCACACATTTCTACACCAATCATCTTAAGAAAAAAGTACTCTGTAGTCAATCTGTACATCCAAATGCATTTGGGAATCTATACCTACGTTACATTATTTAATGTTATATACACTTATTACCCACCCCCCCTTGTTTTTAATAATTTCTTATGTAAAACCTTCATTCAAACCCAAAAAAGATGTAAGACTAACTTGGGAGGAATAAAGATAATCACTTCAGACATTCAGTTAAAATGTAGTTTATCTAAATCTCAAAATGTTTAATAAAAACAAGTATCTTTTCCATTTAACACTTTGCTTTCTAACTGTACAGTAAATTGCATTGTAGAGAACACACCTCTATCTTCAAACTGTACCTTCTTTGGATGGAATTAAGATGCAATGGGATAGTTTTAAGATAAATAAATGGGAAGTTGGTCCAACTAAGATGACAGCAGATATATTACATGCAGGATTTAACATTTTCTAATTCTCTTTTTTTAAAAAAGGATGCAGTTGGATTAGGGGGGAAAAAAGTCAAAAAAGAACCCAGATTCAATATATAAAAATGTCCCACAATAGGTCGACGATGGCAGTAAAAATAAGAAAAAAGTAATCTTTCTGGAACATCATTTTTCAATAACATAGAAACACTAAGTGCCAGGAAGATTTCTATTCATGTAATTTTAGCATCCAAGTTTCCCTCTATTTATTTTATTGGAACAAATGCCTTAAATAAACTATTTGTCCTCTTCACTGAAGAGAGCTGGTCTATTTCATCTTTAATAGCTAGTTTTTGGGAAGATTAGCCATGTACTGTAGTAATGCCTACTGCATAAAATCCAAGCATTTGCTGTGAACAGTTGGTGAAAGCAGTCAGTAAGAACCTAGGATCAATGGAAATAGATGTTACTTTAAACCATCGACGAGAGAGAGACCCACAAAGTACCCAGTGTGTTAAAGCCCAAATCTCTTCTTGCATTTTTCTGTTTTGTTTTTGCTGTGCAAGTTCCACCCTATGAAAAGAAAATTGATCCGAAGTTCCAGGTTTTCTTGGGTCTCTAGTCAATTTTCACATTAGTATAGATTTTTCGGACAAAGGCACTTGTTCCCATGTAACCAATTGCTCCTGCAAAGATAAAATAAGATGTTTTGAAACAAATACATACAGAGAGCAGTATCCATCATTTAAAAACACTAAATACTCTATGCTCTGGAAAGTTATTCTTTTTTAAAGATAATTTCTTTATGTTGGTATTCTCTCTGAACTTACTAAAACTATCATTTGCTTTGCAAATCACCTGATACACCAAGTCTGACCATCATATGCCAAGTCTACTCAAGTAGCAATTATTTCTTGTATAATCAGTAGCTATGGAGTTAAAACGCATCTCTTATAAAGCAAGAATAATTTGATAATGGCAAAAGGCTGTTAAATAAAAAAACTTGTCTTTGATTTGAGGATATATTATTCTAGGTCATTAAAAAGTGATGGAGGATTCTCTTAAGGAAGGACAGGGAACCATGTCCCAATAGCAGATGAAGCTCTAGAGAAGAGGCACTTTCTGACAGCTTCTTTTTTATGTTTAAATTGTTGAAGCTGTGTAGTTGGTAGGGAGGATGATGTATTTGCAAGAATAGACAAGATAGATAGGTAAGTAGGTCAGAAGTTGAAATGTTTTTTAAAAATTAGCTTCAACTAGAGCTTAAAACACCAGAAATCAGGGATATTTGTCTATTTTGTTAAGCATTTATCTTCTGAGTCTAAAAGAGTGCCTGGCACATGATAAGGTACTCTCTGTAAATATTTGTTGAATGAATGAATGAATGAATGAACTGGATGGTTCTTCATTGCAAATAGAGATTGGTACAAAAGCAACTGCAGTTTTACAATTACTTTTGCACCAACACACTAAGGGCTCTTTAAAACAATGCAGTTGGTTATTGAACTGTCAGAGAAAAAAATCTCTATTGGTCTTTGGAATTTACAATGCAGCCCAATATTATTGAAAGCTTAAAAGAAAACCTTCCATTAATTAATAATTGTAAGTGTACACACAAATGCCTAATTGGTCACCCTTGAGCCAACTTTTATTCACCAAACCAGTGAATGAAAGGCAAGAAACAAGCATCTCTCCTGTTTTTCCTGCATATGAACTAAACCCCAAGGCTACCAACTGGTTGATGAAAGGAAGGTTCTCCTTATGAAAGTATTTGAGCTAACAAATATAAAAGGTACAACAGAATTAGAATATCATAACCACTAATGAATTATTTGAGTTTGGTAATACCTATGAATGGCTGCTAACTTCACAAAGAAGTAGAACCAGAAATTATGTGCTCCCCTGATAAAAGCTTACAAACCACCTCTTAAACATTCTTGGACAAGTATTCTTGAGTATGCTCAAGCCTACAGATCTAACTACTACTTCGAGATTCTTTAAATGGCACTTCAGCAATATAATCAGCAAAATCTAGAGTGTGGAAAACTCTACAGGAATTTTTAAAGTTTTAAAAATAAATTGCAAGTAAGAGAGAGAACATCTATAGATTAAAAGAGCCTTAAGAGACATTTTAGCCAAGCAATGGCATGAGTGTCAGTTGATCTCAATGCAAACAAACTATATTTAAAAAGAAGCCATTACATGTGTGGTAAATTTGAACACTAACTGAATTATTCCATCATATTAAGAAATTATATTTATCTTTCAGGGTGGGAAATATACTGAATATTTACAGTTGAAATGACACAAGGTCTAAGATTTATGTCAGAATAAAAGGGGGAATACAGAGCGGAGATAGAAATAAAACAAGACAGGCCATGAGTTGATAATTACTGACAATGGGTTTTAGTACACTATATACAGTACTGTCCCTATTTTTGTATATATCTGCAAGTTTCCCATTCTTAAATATTAAAATACAAAAAAGTAACCAAAATGACAAAGCAAAATTACTTCCATTTATTTTTGCAATGGCTAGTCATTTTTTTGTAATAGGAAATAATGATATTACACTTTATAGATAATGCATTTTAAGATAGTTATAATACAATTCTTTATAGGATAAGAAAAAAATCATTCAATTTGGTAAAAATAAACTCGAATCCTTACAACATAAAAAGATGTATAAAATTTTAATTAGTATCCAAAATTTTAATGGTATACTAGTCCAATAACTAAATCCAATTTTCCAGATGTACAAAACATTGTTCCCCTTTGAGCAGAAATACACTTAAAATCAAAACAGTATCAACCTAGAGAATCATTTTTCATAATCTTATGAGTACCTCAAGAATAAACTTACAAAAGTATGACTTTATGAAAAGAGAATACTGAATATGCTCTCTAGAAAAGTAAATATCTTAGGAATAACAGAGGTATATTTTAAACTTAATTCTTCAAAACAAAAATGCTATGCTCATAATATCCCACTTTAACATAGTCATTTTTTCCTACATTAAAAAGAATCAACAAATATTTTTGTTTTAATTACTGACTTCAGCATTTTAACAACATAAATTGATGGATATGTATAATTTTTATATTATGATGACATTCTAGTCATTCCAGTGTAAAAAGTTTCTCCTCACCTGCCCCTAAAAAATGAAGCACTGAAGGCATATAAACCCATTAAAGAATAGATGCTGGGACACTGCCAGAACAGCAGGGAACTGTAAATGTGCCAAGATTTTCAGGGAGCAAGATGAAATTTCAACAGGAAAAGCAGTCAAAAAATTTAGCTAGATTCATTCCATTTTCTTTGTAAACGTCAAGATGCTACCTCTCTGGGCCTTCCTAAGATATACAGGAAAAGTTGAGAAAAAATTTTTAACCCTCTGCACATAATTGATTCTATACCTCACTGAATGCTGGTGATAATCAAGAAAGATCTCAGATAAAATAAAGAGGAGTCCAGCGAGCAATACTCTGAAGGATGGCCAATAATACCAAAGAAACCTTCTGACTGCCCAAGAATAGGGATGTTTCCACACGACACAATCTAGTTTTAACCTTCAATCCCTCTCATCTTTCCCTCAAAGTTGGTTAACTAATTGTCACAGGGAATGGCTATCGCATCAGCTATAAATAAAACATGTGACTAAGACATAGAGAACGATCTTTGCTTGTGGAATTAGTTTCACCACTTTACAGACAATCTCATTTGTGTGTGTGCATACGTGATCACATACATGGTGTATATGAATTGAACAGGCTCTTTTGATGGAGAAACAAAGCAATCTTGGTACCTCAAAGGCATCCATAAATATCATACCAAGACCTAGCTTTTAATAAGACTATCATATCTTCTTTATTCCACTGCCCACCCTATATAGCCAAAGGTGCAATTATCAAATACACACATACATACACAATAAGCCAAGGGCAAATAAAAGGAAAAGGAGGAGGGTCTGAATTATCCACTCTCTGGAAATGTTTCTACCATGATTAGTCCCACAGCCTTGTATCATTCCTAGAAAGTAACTAAGGGAGCAGTCTCATTTAGGAAGTAAAAGACTGAACCTAAAAAAAGGTGAGTTTCCCTTAAGGTACCTCTGCCTGGACTTAGTGTCATAGAGTTGCTCTGAGATGGAAACACAAGGTGTGGAATCCCAGAGACCGTGCAGAAACACAGACACAATCCCAAAGCAGAAGGAAACCCAAAGATTTTTAGTTTTCATCAATAGCAGCAGCAGCCACCCCTCACCTATCATCTACTAGCCACCTGATGTTTATCCACATTTAATCACTGAATCCTCTTTACAACTCTATGAGATAGATATTACTTCTATTTTGTAAATGAGGAAAGTTGAGGAAAAAAGGTTAAATAATTTGGCCAGAGTAACATGGCTATTAAGTAGGGAATTCACACACAGAACACCAGCTCTTTCCATTCCTCACCATGTAACTGGCTATCCTTACTACCTAGTAACAGTCGCAGCATTACACTTGCTGCTTTGCATGCATGACACGATTCCTCACAATTATTCTGAAAGATATGCCCATTTTACAGATAAAAATGAGACTTAGAAAGGTCAATCTGATCTCCATGGCCACAAAAAAAGCTGAGCATGGAAATTTATTCTAGTGCTTTCAGGCTCTCATACTTAACGCCTTTCCCATTTATCATACTCTTTCCAAAAGTTCTTTATTTTCTAGCTATTTCACACATTCTAGAGACTCGATCATATGGTGAAAACTATTACCTTTAATAGACGATTATAATAGATTCGCAAACAGTGGTTTTATTCCCACTTTACAGAGGCTTAGAGAGCTTGGAGAACTACATCAATGAAGAAAGTATACATATGGTACAGCCAGAACTTAAGTCCAGTCTGTAGATACCCAAGGATGCAATCATAACAAGTAAACTGCACTATTTCTCCAAGAATAGTGTGAAAAGTTTCCAAACTGGAATCACTCAGGCAATACCTTAACATGCCTACATCATGATCTTCCATTGACCCTAGGCTTTAAAAAATGCCAATTCTCAAGCCAGGCACAGTGGCATGTGCCTGTAGTCCCAGCTACTTCAGAAGCTGAAGCAGGAGGATTGCTTGAGTCCAGGAGGTCAAGACTGTACTGCACTATGATCATACCCATGAACAGACAATGTACTCCAGCTTGGGCAACACAAAGAGACCCTGTCTTTAATAAATCAAATGAAAAAGCCAATTCTCAACATGAATGAAAACCTGTGGTATGAAATTCTGTGCTATATAGAATTACTAAAATTTCTATAAAAATAGAAATTAATAAGGTAATAAATTATGTTGTGGGGAAGAGTCAAAAAGACTGAAATCAGACTCGGGTTTATTTTGGTGTTTCTGATCAAACAACAGATAGAATTTCTTAATTTGCAATTACTATATTTTTATGATTCAGAGAAACTCAGATTTACTCATGACATTCAAAGAATTTCAGAACTTACCACACATTATCCCCAAGGCTGTGCTAAATACTGCCATATATCCAAAGTAAAATGATGTTTGAAATAAGCCATACATCCTGAAATAAAACAAAATAACTACATGTAGGATGTCCATTTTTACTTTCAACATAAGGACTTAAATTTTAATATTTAAAGGACAAATTTAGTTTCCTAAATAAAAAGTGAAAAAATGTCTCCACTTACTTTGTTTTGAAAAAATAGTAGTAAAAGGAATACATGTAAACATAGATTGCAGTTGATGCAGCAGAGAGAAAACTTGTCCATTGCCTGGGTTGGGGGAGAGGAAAGCAAATAACTCTTTTGAATGAATGGCACTGAAACAAAGATTTTTAAAGCGAAGAATTTAATAAAACATCCTTTAAAATCCTTTAAAATTTATTTTAAAAACAAATGATAAACATGGTACTTAAATTTATCAACAAGGGGAAGGTCTAAGAATTAGAAAACTTGATCTTGAATTTTGTGAGATTTCCTATTACCAGTGACTGTAAATACACCATTTTGTTTTTCAGATCTAACTCTCCTTGTGTTTAGAATGCAACAATGCTTCTCATAAAGCTCTTTTCATATCAAGCACTTTGTAAAAATATTTCTAACATAGTACTCACTTCATTAATACATTAAAAATTGGTATTATTTTTTCTCTAAAATATTTATTTTTATAACTGGAAAAAATATCTATGCTATTTTAAGTAACAAAATTTCTTCTGTACTGCTCTTTAACTCCACTTGATAGATTTCAAAGGAAATCTTATTTTAAAATATTATGGTTCCCCAAATTTCTTCCCACAAATAGGTACTTACCACCTGTAATCTTCTGCATTTAGTAGAAAATATGTGCACACAATAGTCACACAGACAGTCACAATGCACAGGATAACCAGCACCAGCATCATGAAGCCATAGACATAATAGATCTTATATGCCCAGAAAGATGTGAAGATGAAATACCTAAGTAAATGCAATAAAGACACAGGTTTCCAGTCCTTATTCTTAAAGCTCACTCTGCTCTTGCTAAGCCTCCCATTTTAGTTCCCATTTTTTTCTCACTTAATGATTTTCTTTCAAGTATCTTCCAACAGCTTCTCTTACCAGGTCTCCATCAATTAAATCCACTAGAATTCTCTCAAAAATATTTTTTTGCATAATATTTGAAAAACAGATTCTTCAGTAGGGTATTCACCTCTACACAAATTTAATAAATCAGAAGCTTAAAGAAGTATAACGTAGAAAAGAACAAATGATAGCTAAAAAATCTGTATTTGTATCCATATTGTTTTGTAGATACAATTCAAGCAATGCAGTTTGTATTTTATTAAACAGAAAATAAAATACTCTACATTAAATAGAAAAATAAGTTAGAGCGCTAATGTATAAAATTAGAAAAAGCAAGCCTAAAGAAGATTCACACTGTCTTCAAAGAACAGCAAGGGAAAGGCCACATTCAGATTTTCATTAAGAAAAAATTCTTTTTTCTTATCCATTTGGATGACTCTAATCCATTTCCAAGTCATCATTAAATTACAACAGAGCCTTTCAGCCTCTTTTCTCTTTTCTTGTTCGTTTTTGTTTGTTGGATCATTAATTCTTTTTTTTTTTTTTTTTTTTTTTTTTTGAGATGAAGTTTTGCTCTTGTTGCCCAGGCTGGAGTGCAGTGGCACAATCTTGGCTCACTGCAACCTTCACCTTCCGGGATCAAGGGATTCTCCTGCCTCAGTCTCCTGAATAGCTGGGATTATAGGCACGCAACACCATGCCCAGCTAATTTTTTTTGTATTTTTAGTAGAGTCACGGTTTCCTCATGTTGGCCAGGCTGGTCTCCCAACTCCTGACTTCAGGTTATCCACCCTCCTTGGATTCCCCATCATTCATTCTTTCAACAAATATTTATAGAGCCTACCAAATATCAGGAGAGCAGTGAGAACAGAACAGTGAAGACAACAAAGTCTCTACCCTCAAGAAGACTGCTAGCTAGTTGGGAAACACCAGTAAAGATCAAGTACCAATGTCGTATGTGCTACACGAACGCACGTAAGGGGCATCATCCCATTACGGCTGAATGGGGCTTTATGAGGGGAGAAGAATCATAAGGAATTGGAGGGTAAGGGGAACTACAAGAATGTTCCAGGTATGCTGGGCACGGTGGCTTGCACCTGTAATCTCAGCACTTTGGAAGGCCGAGGTGGGCAGATCACCTGAGGTCAGGAGTTCAAGACCAGCCTGACCAACATGGAGAAACCTCATCTCTACTAAAAACACAAAAATTAGCTGGTCTGTAATCCTAGCTACTCATGAGGCTGAGGCAGGAGAATCGCTTGAACCTGGGAGGGAGAAGTTGGAGTGAGCCGAGATTGCACCATTGCACTCCAGCTTGAGCAACAAGAGCAAAACTCCATCTAAAATAAACCAGAAGAATGTTCCAGGTACTGGAACAGCAAAAGCGAAGGTTAGCAAAATAAAGAGGATCCACTGCATTTTGAAAATCTAAAAGTAATTCGGTATGGTTAAAACTTTAAATAAAGGGGAAAGAACTAAGAAATGAAGTTGGGAGAAGTGAACAGGGCCGGTTCTTATGAAGACCCTTAATGGTCATGCTATGGAGTTGACACCTCATCTCAATTACAATAAGAAGTCTTAAGCAAAGAAATGACACACCTTAAAAAGACCACTTTGGCTACCAGGAGGAGAATGGGTTTAAAGGTGGACAAAACAGAAGAGAAGTTGGAGAAACAGCAGAGAACCGATCTAGTGGAATACAGTGCCTGGAGAAGCACAAAGACATGTGGTTCAGAAGCATTGTGGACAGGGGTAGAAAGGAAAAAGTAGTCACAGGCCAAGTCTGAGTGAAGGCACAAAGCACTGTCAGACTGGAACTAAAGAAGTTCCTGAACTGACTTTAATAAAACACGAGTTACAGTGACACATACTCCAACTCCTCTCTAAGGTCTATTTACATTAGTTGTACCTGTTAGTGCAATTAGACTAAATTGACCATACCTGTTATCCCGGCTACTTGGGAGGCTGAGGCAGGAGCCTCAACTAAATTAAATGTTACATAAACCAATAAATATCAGAGTAAAAAGGACACGTGGTTACTATGAAAATTATGTTGAATGCTTTGGAAAGATTTGATAAGGTAAGTTCCTTTAAAAAAGTTACAAAATTAGATGTGATTGAAATGGCTGTAGACTGGGGGACAAATGTACAAATCTAGAAGGATTCTGTACTTAGAATTCTTCAGACAGGATTTTATGTTCTTCACTTTAAAAAGACTGGAAAACACAGAAGCTGTATTACGAATGTCAAAGAAAAAATGATAAAATTCCAAGTAAAAGAAAGACCATGGCTATACATTAAAAAAAAAAAAAATCAGTGAAGGATGTATATTTACTTGTCTTAAAAATATTATGTATGTATCTTTTTAAATAATTCTCTTACATGAGCCAACTTTTGAAATTAACCAACTACCAAATCCAATTACGTCTGTTATAGAGACTCCTACCATACAAGAGACAATCAGCAGTGGGGCATCTGGAAACATGTAAGGCTATTTTAAGTTGTCATGATGACTGGTATTTAGTAGACAGGAGCCAAGGGTGGATAGCTGCAATACCTGAGAAAGCCCCATACAGTGAACTGTCTTGCCTAAAATAACCACTGCATTCCCATCAGGTGGCACTAGGACACAGACTAAGAATAGAAAGGCTTTATTTTGCAAAGGTGACAAAGGATGCAGATGTAAAGCACAATAAGTGGCACAGGTGGCATACCTCTCACCCCCAAATACATACACACTTCCTAGCACTCCTGCAGGCCTCTATAGAAGGAACCTAGGAGATGACTATGCATCAAAAGATGTCAGGACCTAGGCAGACTTGTAGGCAATGGTTTACCTAGTTTCCTAGGGCCTCAAAAATCAATAAAAAACAGGAATTTGTTGTATCATGCATATGATTAAAGGGCGGTCTACCATTCTTTAACACATATACTTTATTTCTAAGATCTCCTCTTAGGTGAGGGAAGTCTATAATATAATACAAAAAGGTATAAACATCACCTGAATATTTAAGAACACAGCAAACAGCTACCTTTATATAGCCTATTAAACCCCTTTCTGGAATCATGGAATTAACAGACATCTAATAAGATGCTCTCCCAGCTGATGACTTCACATGTTCCCTAACTCCTAAATTGTCTTATTAAAATCAAATCCCTTGAAACATAAATACATTATCAAAACTTACATTTCAATAAAGATTGAACCAAAAGGTAAAATTCCACCCAGGCAAACAATAACTGCAGGCTCCATGAACCTGGAAAATATTAAAATTAATAGTAAACTTCTAGTATAATTTCCATATTATACAAATGCTGATAACAGAAAGGATATACTTGACACTTAGAAAATCATCTCTAAAGAATAGAAACAAACCAGTAAAATGAAAAGCCAAAACCCAAAGAGGCACAATACAAAAGTGGGTCTTCAAATTAGCCACAGGTTATAATCAATATTCTTTCTGCATTAAAGCCTGAGACAAGTATTTGCAGAACACAAATTACTGACACCAGCAGAACTCAAAAAAGTCTCCTAAGTGTTCCCTGGTTCTACTAGACTTTCATAACTTCCTAGAACCCTACAGGTATTTATTCACAAAAAGCCAAAGGGAAAGAAAGTAAGAGTCTAGAGATTTCCATTTGATATGATGTTTCCCAAATTGTGGCCTTGCTATTTCTTTGCTCACTCTCTCCTTGATTCTATAATTCCTTTTCCTACAAATTATACAATTAGGGTATTATGAGTTCTGATTTATAATGGCACCAAAGAAATAATAAAAAAATAAAATTCAAAGGTCGTTCATTCATTCAAGAGTTACTGACTGTAACTGGTTATTCCCCACCTGGATGCCTTCTCTCATCTCCTATTATTTCTCTCCGGAAAGCACTGGCTCAAATGTTCTCCCTTTAAAACCTCTGCTGAGTCTCCCAGGAAGTGCTGGGTCCTGCCTCCCATTCTTCCACTGCCTCTTGAACATATCTCCAATAGTACTTACAGTACTTACCACACTATGTTGTATCTGTCCAATTCCATATAAGTGTGTACATGTGTGTATACATATATATCAGACACACACATATAAAACATATACATACAAAAATATTTTTGTATATGTACACAAACATATATGTATATGTATATATGTATATGTGTGTGTGTGTGTATATATATATATGTACACACATATAAATACAGATTATAAACTCTGGCAGGCAGAAGCTATTCACGTAGGTACTTCCAGTGCCTAGCACAATATCTGTCACAAAAAAGATCCTAAACTAATAACTATGAAATCAACAAACTAAAAAACTGAGAAGAAAATTTAAAAATTTGAAAGCTGAAAAAAAAAAACCTTAAAAATCATTTAATCTAGTCTTCTTTATTTTACAGGAAGCCAAGACCCACAGAAGTTAAAAGTGATCTGCCCAAGGTGACATAGTCAATGAGAGGCAAAACTAGTATTTAGATTTAGGTTCCCATGATTATAGCCTCCAAAATGGTGACACACATCAGCCTTCCTATACCTAAATACAAGACATCTCTGGTAAGGAAACTCTCCCCAGACCTCCTCTCCTTCACTGGCCCTAGTGACTTAGAGGAACTTTTGTGACTTCTGACTATGCTTTTCCTTTAAACTTACCCTTCCCAGTAAGGATACTGATGGGCCCTAACAGTCTAATACTGATTTAAAAAAAAAAAATTTACTTTAAAAATAGACTATGAAAGTTATAACCAAAGTCTCTCAAAAGCACCAATCTAAGGAAAGAAAAGAATATGGCCAATTCAAACAATTCAAACTATAAAGGCTATTTTATTCATCCTCCATTTCTATAAATGTCTATACACCTCCATGTCTAGAAAAGACAGAGCAAAATTAGAGATAGTAATAGTAATAAAGCATGCATGTTATATTTATAATCTGGTAAAATATCTAGGAACAGAGACGTTTTAATACACACACACACACACACACACACATTATGAAAATGTACAGTCTACTCTACAACTGTTCCTATAAATAGGGAATGTAATAAATGTACACTAAATTGTACAATATTACAAATGTACACTAAAATATCTGGAAAGATAGTAAATACTGCAGGTTCTGCAGGTGACAGCATCTGTCACAACTACTGATCTGACAGCACTGATGCGCTATACTACAAAAGCAGCCACGAATAGTATGTAAACGAATGGGCATGGCTGAGTTCCAACAAAACTTATTGACAAAAAAGGCAGCAGGTCAGATTTGGCCTGCAGGTTTAGTAAAACTGCAGCTTTAGTTCACACCCACCTCTACAAACTAGGAAAGCATCTGACTTAACTATAAATGGCATGATACACAGAAAATGGAATAAGGGTATAATTTATTATTACTCTTAACAATGTAGGTTAAAGGAAATAGTAAAATAAACTTCTTAAAAGATTGTCATTCTCATAAACACATGCCAATTCTAAAGTTACATGTACACAACAGCCTTAAGAACTTATACATTGTGTGAACAATTATGTAAGATTTAGCATTCTCTTTACCATTTTTTCTCCGGTATAGGACGAGGCACAGCATTGACACGACAAGGAAAGTTGGGCTGACCTGACAGATTTCGGCCAAGTATTGTACCAACAAGATTTAGAGGAAGAATAACAAAAAAACAGATGCAACAAACGGCCACCTGTAAATTAAATAAAAATGTGTGATTACTCAGAGAATAATAACATTAATAAAAACAAATAAAAGAGACAATTTAAACACAATTTTATAACAAAAAAATGTTGAAGTTCAATATAAGCTAAAATTGTGCATGGTATACACTAATGAAAACAGAGAAAGGTGGGCTTTAAAATATTACAAACTAAATACAAGTTGAACTAGTTCTTATCCACTTTAGTTTTCCACTTTTTCCTATTCTTCCATACTACCTCTACTACAGTCCTTTTTTCTCCTCTTTCACTCATAGCTGTCATGCTTTCTTAACGTATCTATCCCTTGTCTTTCATTATTATAACCAACTTATCTATTTAGCTATGCTTTTTGAGCTCATAATATGTACTAAGAGCTTTATATATGTTATTTCCTTATTTTACAGATTATGAAAAGGAGACTCAGAGAAGACTAAGTAACTTCCCATAATCACATAGCTAGTGGAGAGCCCGACCAAAATTTCAACTCAGATCTGCCAGCCTCAAAGCCCATGCTCTTTTCTATTCTACACTACCTTGGAATCCTAAAAGAAGCAGATTGCTATCTATGTGTCACTACTAAAGTATTACAAATATTTTTCTGCCCATTAGTAGTGCGAAATCTAAAATTATAGAGAAGACCATACAGATATTCTAGAACCAAAGTGGCCAATTAGAAATATATTTATTTTTGTGGCTTTTTTTCTTTATAAAATCAAGTACACAAGAACATACACACAAGCTCTTTTCTGGCCAGCCATCTAATTAAGACCACTTCACTCTGAACTTCTATAAAATGGAATAGAACTGAATCACCTCTAAGATTACTTTCAATTATACATTTTAGGTTCTAATAAATAGAAAGTACAAGTGAGAGAAAAACTGAACGAAACATGTGAAGATATTGACTGAGAGAGATGAAGAGGTATGGGATAGGAAATCCACAGTGACTACACAAGAAGGAAAGATGTCTTCTGAAGCAATATTAGTAAAAATTCTTCATTAGATCCTTTTGTGTGTGTATGTGTTTTTAAACAAGCCAAAGAGTACTGTTGTCTCCTTTTCAGAAAAAACATAAATGTATGAACATTATCAGAGCTCCATAATCCCATTTTAAACATCAGACTCAGGAACTCAACTTATCTGTGTTTCAGTTTAGGCCTAGGCCTATGAATAATATGAATTTATGCTCACATTATAATATTATGCGAAATGTGAAAAGCAGGTGTTTTTAAGAAAGTTTAAGTATTATTATGATTATACATAAGTATGTGGAGTAATAAATTCCATCTCAATTTTTGCTTTTACTTTCTTAATTACTACAGGACTCACAAACCTTAACACAAGGAGACCTATGTATTTTTTCCTTAGTTTACCAGAACCCTTAATTTCAAATAAGAATTAAAGAGAAAAAGAAGAAAACATTCCTATGTGGAATTACATGGTCTAGCAGAACGATCTGCAAACTGTTCCAAAGAACTCTCAGGCCCTACTGAAGAGCTTCTGGGATTCCACAAGCATTTGATTTGAATATCCTTTTGAAAATAGTTTCTTTTTAAAATACTTTTAACTGTAATAAGATATATACAGATCAAAGGAGTTCTATACTAAATATCAGTACACTGGAGACATCATAGCCAGGTTAACTCATTTTCATGCAAACCTCAGAATAAAGTTTCTTATCTCTGTGTATATACTGAACTGAATGAATTTTGTCACTGATTAGGAAAGTTTGTAATCCTATATTGGTCTTTTATTCTACCTTTTTCTCCCCATTCCAATTAAGGCCTGCACATTCTTGTTCACTAAAAATTGTACAAACAAAAGTACTACTACAGCACAATGCGTGTGACAGGCAACTGAGTGGCAGGTGAAGTGAGGGCACATCTTGCCTCCTGTGCACATAACAGTCAATAAAGGAACCTATAGTCTCTAACAGACATTATCAACTGCTTAGCATTTGTCAATATTTTCCCCTTTCTTGTCTAACTTTTTAATATATGATAAAAACTGTGAGCAGTTTGTTAGAAACAGTGATTAAGCTGTGAAACCAGTTCCCCACTCCTTTATATTCAAGTTCTGGAGAATTTACTGGAGAAATACTCCCAAGATTGCAAGGCAAGCTGTTAAAAAAAAATTCACATGGAACTAACTCATTTGGGAAGTAGGAATTTTTCTCAATACTGATAACCGAATAAATTGGGTGATGAAGATATGACAGTTATTCATACCCCTTATCAGATGTGTATTTATCACAACTATGGTCTTGTTAAATTTACAGTGTTAAAATACTTAATTTACAAAGTATATTTATACTAATAAGATCATGCTTGTTATCTGTTTTCCATCTGGAAATCCTTCCACATTAAGGATTTATTTTAGAATGAAATTTAGCAGCTAAGAGGATCTAATATATTGGTATAAACCCTGGAACTCAAACTAATATAGGGCTCTCCCCTATACTCCTAGTCACTGTTCAGAGGAGAGTGAAAGCAGGCAGTGGGGAGAAGAAAGATTTACTTACTCCATGTTGAGGGCCTCCCTTATCTACAAAAAGAATAAGTTAGAAACAAGTATTGCCTATCGGTACTTAATACCCCAAAGATCTACATACTAATTAAATCTTCTCAATCTCAGACATAAACCAAGAACGTGGCTATTACTTACTCTATCTTTGCTTCCAGACTGGCCTATTGACTAACATCTCTCATAAACACATATGTAAAAGCAAATTTTAGCAAATGTAATCCAACAATATATAAAACAAATAAATCATGACAAAGCAAAGCTCATCAAAGGAATGCAAGACTGATAAAAATCAGAAAATTAATCAATGCTATTCACCATATTATCAAAATTAAAAAAGAAAAATCACAGATCATCTCAAAAGATGCAGAAAATGCTGTTCTAAAATCCATATCCATTTAAAAAAAAAGTTGCAGCAAACTACAAATAGAAGGGAACTTTAACAAGCTGATGAAAGGCATCTACAAAAAAAATATAGCTAGTGTTTTAATTAATGGCCTAAGATTAGATGCCTTCTTCCCAAGATTGAGAACAAAGAAAAGATATCTGCTCTTGACACTGCTATTCAACATTACACTGGAGGTTTTAGCCAGTGCAATAAGAAAAGAAAAAAAAAAGACATACAGATCAAAAGAGAAGTGAAACTGTCTTTGTTTAAATAATTTAATAATCTATTTTTTAAAAATAACACCATGTACCCACAAAGATTAAAAATAATAAAAACATTTTAATCTACATAAAAAACTAAAGAAAAGCAACTAGAACTAATGAGTGAATTTAGCAGGGTTGTAGGATACAAAGCCAATATCCCAAAACAGTTTTTCTATATATAGTCAACACTTAAAAAAAGGGTGTAAACTGTGTGAGTCCACTTACAAGTGGATTTTCTTCTGCCTCTGCCACCTGAGACAGCAAGACTGACCCCTACCTCTTCTTTCTTAGCCTACTCAATGTGAAGATGATGAGGATAAAGATCTTTATTATGATCCACTTTTACTTAAAGAATAGCAAATACATTTTTCTCTTCTTTATGATTTTCTCTTTTTCTTTTTAAGAGACAGGGTCTCACTATGCTGCCCAGGCTGAAATGCAGTAGCTATTCACTGGCATGATCACAGAGCACAACAGCCTCAAACTCCTGGGCTTAATGATCCTCTGTCTCAGCCTCCTGAATAGCTGGGATTATAGGCAAATACCATACACCTAGCTAACCATATGATTTTCTTAATTACATTTTCTTTTCCCTAGCTTACTTTATTGTAAGAATCAGTATATAATACATATAACATATAAAATGTGTTCATCAGTGAGGCTTCCAGTCAACAGTCAGCTTATTAGTAGTTAAGGTTTGGGGGAGGGTCAAAGGTTATATGCAGATTTTCGACTGGACAGACGGGGGTGGAAGTCAGCACCCCAAACTTCATATTGTTCAAGAGTCAACTGTACTGTCATGTGCCACATAACAATTTTTTTTTTTTTTTTGTCAATGATGGACCACATACCTAACATTGGTCCCATAAGATTATAAGACTGTATTTTTACTGTACCTTTTCTATGTTTAGATACACAAATACTTACCAGTCTGTTACAACTGCCTACAGTGTTCAATAGCCTTATAAGAGACCTGTACAGGTCTGTAGCCTTGTAAGATTAGGCTATAACATATAGCCTAGGTGTGTAGGAGGTTATACCATCTAGGTTGGTGTAAGTATACTCTAGGATGTCTGCACAATGAAAAAACTGCCTAACAACTCATTTTGCAGAACATATCTGGCATTAAGCGATGAATGACTGCAATAAACGATCAGAGTTTGAAATTTTAAAATGCCCAGGCGTGACGGCTCACGCCTATAATCCCAGCACTTTGGGAGGCCAAGGCAGGCAGATCACCTAAGGTCAGGAGTTCAAGACTAGCCTGTTCAACATGGTGAAACCCTGTCTCTGCAAAAATACACAAATTAGCTGCTTACTGGCACACACATGTAATCCTGGCTACTGGGGAGGCTGAGACAGGAGAATTGCTTGAACCTGAGAGGTGGAGCTTGTAGTGAACTGAGATTGCACCACTGCACTTCAGCTTGGCAAAAGAGCGAGAGACTGTCTCAAAAAAATAAAATAAATAAAAAATATTATTTACAAACAGAATAATATGAAATGCTTGAGAATAAATTCAACAAAAGATAACAAACCTGAACAATAAAATCTATGAAATGTTGTGAGAAAAATTAAAGATATCTAAGTAAGTTGAGAAATACACTGTGTTCATTAATCAAAAGACTCAATAATGTTAAGATATCAGTTCTTCCCAAATTGAGCTATAGATTCAATGTAATCACAATCAAAATCCCAGAAGACTTTTTATAGAAACTGACAAGATGATTCCAAACTTTACATGGAAATGCAAAGAATATTTAAAAAAAAGCCAAACAACTTTGAAAAAGAAGAATTGACTTAGGGACTTAAAAAGCTACAGTAATCAAGACGGTGTGGTATTGGCATAAAAACAGGACAAATTGAAATGAAACAAGAGAAAATCCAGCAATAAAAATCCACACATATATGGTGAATTAGTTACCAGTGTAAGACGTGCCTGGCAAACATGGTGAAACTCTGTTTCTACTAAAAACACAAAAATTAGCCAGGCATGATGGCGTTTGCCTATAGTCCTAGCTACTAGGGAGGCTGAGGCAGGAGGATTGCTTGAACCCCATGGGCAGAGGTTGCAGTGAGCCAAGATCGTATCACTGCACTCCAGCCTGGGCAATAGAGCAAGGCCCTGTCTTGGAAAAAAAAATTAAAATAAAAAAACAACATCAATAAATCTCAAAATAATTTTTATGAGTGAAACAAAAAAGAATATATATTGTATCAGCTACCATTTAAAGGAAATTCGGTAATGCAAATTAAGCTATAAGAGAGAGCAGGCTGGTGGTAACCTAAGAATGGGAGAGAAAAAAGAAGAAAAGAAAGGATGAATTACAAAGGTATAAAACAAAACTTCTAGATGTGGCAAACATTTTTATCTTGAGTGCAGTATGGTTTCCCGTGTGTGTGTATGTGTGTGTGTGTAAATTCAAATTGTACACTTTAAGTTTATGCAACTTATCACGTTAATTTTATCTCAGTACATCTGCAAAAACACACAAACAGAAAAGGGCAAAAAAATATACCCACTGCTCTCAGAATTAAGCTAGGATTCCTTCTGACAGAAAGGAAGGAAAAAAAATGGCCAGGAAAAAAAAAAAAAGAACAAAAACCCATCATCACCACCACGAGCACAACAACAAAGAAAACTAACTATGGGAGAGTCTTAGTTTTCTGTTTTGTAAAACAGGAATAACCATACCACTATCTCTGCCTATCTCTTTGGGTTCTTCTGAAAACCAGACAAGATAATGCATGTGAAAATGCTTTGTAAATTACAAAGTGCTACACAAATATATTATTATTGATCCTTATTATAATTTATCTTCTTAGATTTGACACATCATTTCAGTCAGGTGAATCTTTTTAGATGCTGTCTTCATTATTTCATATTACTAATTTCTTCCCTAGCCTCACATCCCTTTTCAATTTAATCAGCAGATCACCATGTCTCTAACTTATTAATAATCTTTTGAATAGGTCAGAGTCAGGAATATCTGTCGCATTCTACTAGAGGGTAGGATGTACATACTATAGGTAATAACTCAATACTCTTATAAGGTAGAACCCACTTTCTTCTTTTTCCTTCTGGAAGAGTAAATTTGCCTGTCCAGTTTTACAACACCTCTGCTCTCACACAGTTACTCAAACATTACTTAATATGATCTCTCAGTATCTCTAAAAGATCATTTACAGGAGCAAAAATACTTTTTTTTTCAGCTAAGGCAGCTGGGTACCCGTGTACAATCAATTGCCTTGGCTTCACTTCCCTCTTAGACCAGGGAATCTTTCCTCTTACTTTTCTTGTTTGAAGATTATATTTTATTTGATGAAAAATAAAGAGGAAGAATAGGATGGAGCCATTCTTTTTATTTTTTTTAACTCTGTTATATCACTGATCCCACATATATGAGCCTTTGATCTTGCTGTGAAAATATCCTTATAAAATCCTTTTACTTGCTTTAGCATTAACAGCTCACCTTCGACAATGAAGTTTTTCTAACATTAGTTTTATAGATCTTTTTAGAAAAGAAAGTTAGTTCCCATGCCTCTGTGAGTTTTAAAACTCTGTCATTCAGTTCTTTGTCCCTTGGAATCCTACAACAACAAATTTTAGGATCTGAGATTTTTTTTTTTTTGAGACGGAGTTTCGCTCTCGTTACCCAGGCTGGAGTGCAATGGCACGAACTCGGCTCACCGCAACCTCCGCCTCCTGGGTTCAGGCAATTCTCCTGCCTCAGCCTCCCGAGTAGCTGGGATTACAGGCACACGCCACCATGTCCAGCTAATTTTTTGTATTTTCAGTAGAGACGGGGTTTCACCATGTTGACCAGGATGGTCTCGATCTCTTGACCTCGTGATCCACCTGCCTTGGCCTCCTAAAGTGCTGGGATTACAGGCGTGAGCCACCGCGCCTGGCCCCAGGATCTGAGATTTACAGCCCACGAAAGAACTCTTTTCCAGAACATCTTGGCAAATCCTTCCTCTTTCCCGAGGAACAGGACCACAACCTCTGGGTATAGCACCTAAATCATTCTTGGACAAATTCCCAAAAGAAAACGTTTTTAACTTTCCAGAATCAATCTAATTTATTTTCTTTTTCTTTTGTTTTTTTTTTTTTAATGAGACAGAGTCTCACTCTCACCCAGGCTGGATGATGTGATCACAGCTCACTGCAACCTTAGCCTCCTGGGTTCAAGTGATCAAGTGATTCTCCTGCCTCAGCCTCCCGAGTAGCTGGGATTACAGGCCTGTGCTACCATGCCCAGCTAATTTTTGTATTTTCAATAGGGATGGAGTTTCACTATGTTGGCCATGCTGGTCTCAAACTCCTGACCTCAAGTGATCTGCCTGCCTTCACCTCCCAGAGTGCTAGGATTACAGGCATGCACCTGGCCAGTTGTGGAAACTTTCATAGAACAGAAAATTAAAGTGAAGATCACCCAGACAAGGGGCTCAATATCCAAGAGATGAAAGGAATAGGAAACAGAAAGAGATACGGCCTAGAATGAGCACTTAGGAGGATCTGAAGACTCTGATCTTCAAATTAGGGTATTCAGTTAGTAGGAGTAGCTGGCTTCTCAGACACATGGCACCTATGGTCTGGGAGCCTTCCAGCTAACAGATCCATGCCCAGATGCCAGGAACTGGAATCAGGTAAGTACTACAGATTGGGTTTAAATCAGGACAGACTAATTAGCTTGAAAGAAAACCCTGAGCATTAAAATTTTTTAAATCCCCAAGTGATTCTAATGTGTGCCTAGAGTTGAGAATCACTGAGTTTATGACAATATGTAACCATTTCCTTTATAATGTCAACAAGTCAAACAAATTTAAGTACTTAAAGTACTTAATAAACAGCTGAGTCAAATATTCACCTCAGTCCTTCAATTTCAAGTTCTAAACAAGTTTTCATACTCTTAAATGGAGAAAAGGAGATGGTAAAGTACACACCTGATTAAAATGTGAGGCCAAGAAAATGCCCTTCCCTCAGTATTCCTTCATTAGAATGCAAATTAAGAACATAATATTGTAGGAGCCTGACAAGTACCAACAGTTACTCTTTTATTCACTAAAGATGAATTTTATAAACCTTCTCTGGCTCAGCTGACTTTAAATATTCTATTTTAATAATCTGTAATTACTAAATTATCTAAAGGCGGCCAATCCAGGTGGCTCACGCCTGTAATCTCAGCACTTTGAGAGACCAAGGAAGGCGGATTACCTGAGGTCCAGAGTTCAAAACCAGCCTGGCCAAAATGGTGAAACCCCATCTCTACTAAAAATGCAAAAATTAGCTGTACATGGTGGCGGATGTCTGTAATCCCAGCTACTTGGGAGGCTGAGGTAGGAAAATTGCTTAAACCCAGGAGACAGAAGTTGCAGTGAGCCAAGATTGCACCACTGTACTCCAGCCTGGGCGACAGAGCAAGGCTCTGCCTCAAAAAAAAAAAAAAACCTGTCTGCCTATCTAAAGGCAAATTACACTGAATATTAACATTTAAAACTACATTTACAAAGTGATAAAATTTACAATTTTAGCAAGACAAAGCAAGTTTTAAATACTATTTCCACCAATATCAAGTTCAAAACTTGCTGATAAAATTTTAACAGAGTCAGAATTTTAATTTTTAAAGCATTATAAAAATAATCAGTTCAGCAGATGATCTTTAAAAAGTAACTTGACTCACTCTATATACTTTCTGGAACTACTACAGTGGCCTGAAACTACTATAAAGCAAATTATTTCCAGGTCTGATGTAATTAATTACCTTACCCTTTTCTAACCATTATCACTTACTTTGGCTTGAAAAAAAATTTCCATTTTGAAGCAAGTTTCAAAATATTCCTAACTAAAAAGTATTAAAGATTTGTAAAAATGTGTACTATTCAATGTGTCTTTTGGACTATAAAACAAAATCACCTAAAATTTCTCTGAAATTTGTTAACTCCCATATAACAGAAAGAAAACCCAAACAAGATTAAAACACAGAGATGTGGGCTCTAGTAGCAGTTCCACCATGAACTGTCTGTATGGCCATGACTAAGTTATTGAGCCTCTGTTAAAAGCAGTAACCACCCTGCAACTTGATTCACGTGTATATGTATGAACACGTATGCATAAGTGTACATTAAGCCTTCACTCTAGTCTAGGTCTAACATTCTCTTTCTAGTAAAAAGGTAATAGCAAGAAAAATTGGGAGACTGTGGGTTAACTCAATTTATGTGTTCTAGTTTTAATATATTTAAATAATTCAAAGCATTTTCAAAGCCTGTGATTACAGATACGATATGCGAAAGCATTTTAACATCTATAGCAATGTACATCTTAGTGAGGTTCTAAGAAAAGTACGTTAATACAAAAAAATGTGTCATAGAAAAGCTTTACTTCCTACCATTGCATTCACCTAGCACCTTAAAACACCCACGTTTTGTGACTGTCATTCTTTCTCCAAAATATATTCACCAGTTCTTCACATCTCTGATAAAAAGCTACAGTGCTCTCTTTTAAAGTCAGCTTTTCACTTTACTGGCTTACAGATAGAAGAAAAAATAAAAAGACAATTATAGGTTTAAACTTAGCCAAAATTTTATGAAAACAACAATAGCATTCTCCTCATTTAACTTTCCAGAACTGAGTAGGGACTGACTGAAACTATCAAAATGAGGATATATTTTGGAGGGACAGTAGGTATCAGTTAGAATGCATATACTTCTTCAGTTTAAAAGTAAGATTCAAGCAACTTACCATTGTTCCAAAAGGAATGGCTCTTGAAGCATGGTAATAAATGGCTATGAAATTGATGAAGAAGGCAGTGCCACAAACCATAGCTGGGATAAGGAAAGCCCCAATAAACATCTGCTTTATCCATCTCCTTCCTGAAAAGAAAGGAAACTATGAAAGTTTAAAATATAATTATTTAGTACCAAATTATTTGTTTGAAATTTTAAAATAAAGATCATAAAACTCAACATCTTAATTGTTTCAAAACAATAGCTAATAAGTACCACAGGTTTTCAAGTAAGTATAGTGGAATCACAACTTCTGAAGTAGGTACACTGGAAAAGAGCAATGACCTATAGTAAAATATTCCAATGTTTTGTCTTGATTCTGCCACTGAACTGCTGTGAACTTTCATAAGCCTCTCTCTCTCTCTCTCTCTCTAGGCTACAAGTTGGCCTAGAAAGGGGTTTTTAACTATTCCTTGGAGTTCTGGAGCTTCTTGGCATGCCCATGAAGTCACTGGTGAAGAAAAATCCCAGATCCCCTTACCCTGCTTCAACCAGAACAAAGTTACATTTTCAACAGTTTTACACAGTGGAGTTTCATGTAAGCTTTTATTTGAAAATGTTACTGCTTTAAAAAGAAGAAAAGAGCCAAAGAAAGAAAGAAAGAAAAAGAACTTCACCAGAAACCCACTTGTGATTTTTAGCACCCTAAGACAGGGCAAAAACAATTTAAAAATAAAATAAAAAATAAAAAACCCTGAGTTAGATAGTCTCTAAGTTTGTTCTTAGCTCTGTAATTATAATTACAAATATGTATTTAAGAGCATTTGTTTGAAAAGAAAAAAAAAACAATGTGTTTCATAAGCTCTCTCTCAGCAATCAGAACTACATATTTCTAAGTTTTACTATTTCTCTATACCTCTGTGTATTGAGAAATGCTATACAAAATTCTATACATTGAGCTTCTATTATTGAAATAATTAAGGGAACAAATTTTTTGACTATGTAATAAAAAAAATCTTCAATTATGCTCATATAGACCAGAAGAGCAACAGGGAGCTGTCTTTCTAATATAGCAGAGTACAAAGCTGGCAGAAAATATCTTCATACAGCTTAGAAATACTGAATTACTATCAAAATTCAACTCCACAATCATAAGCAACAGAGACCCAAACAGAAATTACCATAGAAAAATAAGCAATACCCTAACCTTTGTTTTCTTCTATATAAAGTTTTTTTAAAACAAGTGTTACAGATTTATTACCTTAAATTGTAACATTTCTCCAGAAAAACTGCTTAATTCTGAGCTTTCTCTCCTATTTCATTTCTTTTCCAGGTAAATTTCAAAAACCTCTCCTTTCTAACTGATACATAGCATCTGGTGGTGATTAATTAAAATATTACTTCTATTTAATTCCAACACCTTTCTAGCATGTTCTTTTCCTGCACTTCCCACTATTTTCTTGGATTCAGACGTGTATTAATAAAACTCTGGCCAGGGGTGGTGGCTCATGCTGGTAATTCCAGCACTTTGGGAGGCTAAGGTGAGCAGATCCCCTGAGATCAGGAGTTCCAGACCAGCCTGGCCAACATGGTGAAACCCCATTCCTACTAAAAATTAGCTGGGCATGGTGATGTAAGCCTATAATCCTAGCTACTGAGCGGGCTGAGGCAGGAGAATCTAACCCAGGAGGGCAGAGGTTGCAGTGAGCTGAGATTGTGTCATTGTACTCCACTCTGGGAGACAAGAGCGAAGCTCCATCCCCCCCCAAAAAAAATAATAAATAAAACTCCTTATCCAACTTTTATTTCTCTCTTTCCTTCTAACAGTCAAAAAGAATCCCATACACATTCTACTGGATACAATCAGTAGCCCAAGTCCAAGTAACTGCACTGTTGTGCTTTCTACAGCTCCTCAGACCCTTGAAGTCTCTGGTTAGGTCCTGGATACCGCTGGCTTCAAACTAGATCTATAGCATTACAGTGCACTGAGGACAGCGTGAAGACCTTGAGCTTCACTGTAGTTCAAATCCTGAGATAACTCGGAAAAATTCTTGATTGCCTGGGTTGAATTCTACGTTAACGTGGGTTTTAGGGATTGATCAGACAAAATATCTGGACATTATCAGATCTCCTCAGGACATCACCAATCAGAACAAAATCTTTAGATTACATTTTGTAAGACTTGATATTCCTGGACCTGAGCCTGAACTCTGTCAGCTTTCAAGAATAAGTGTAGTAAAGGAAAGTTAGGCTGGGTGTTCTTAACTCGCCATAAGACTAAAAGCAAATTTATGTCCAACTTTAAATAAATTTCCTGTTTTAAATAAATCTGTTTCTGTTGTAGAGACTATTTTGAGAGTCATAAACCAAAATTTTAGCCCAACTAGTTTCCAGGTCAAATTCAAAGTAGAATGCATCCTAATTTCTTAGGATGTAGTCCTTTATGATAGGACTCGTTTCCCATCTCTAGAAGTCAAATTTAGAGACTGAGCACCTACCTAAAATAATCAGGAACCTATAATGATACTCCCTCAGTCAATCCAAATAATTATCTATACTGAAGCTACAGGTCACATTAAGTCTAGGAGGATCAATAAAAAAGCAACAATAAACCAAGATATCCTGAGAAAATTTTAACTAATCCAACACTCTGATTTCCTATAACCTATAAGTGTGCCTTATCTACTAAAAGAAGGCAGGATCCCCTAATGCTGACACTGCTTAAGATGGGCTATGGAAAATTGTAACTCCATCCTTGGAAATACAATTTTATGGTCTTTCAACAAGACTTCATTCATAAACTAAAATATGCAAATCTACATTTCTGTACTTTTCTGACCCCCGACTACTGCAGGGAATACAAAGGAATTTAAAGACCCCTGAATGCCACTGCAGATAAAACACCAAGGAGCAGTATCCTTGTATCATCATTAGGTCCATCATTTTCAGGTAATAGTAGGAAAGGAGCAATAGGATATTTAAGACAAAGTGCTCTGAGCAAGAGACTGTGACAAAGAATAGCAGAACTCTCTACAAAGGGTCCTTTGATAAATATTAACAGTCAACAGAAATACATAGTTTTCCTTCCTATTCTCCTTCCATTGTCCAGAAACTTTACCCAGAGGTCATTAAACATGCCTTTATATTCATCTATAAAGCTTTTTTTCTGTGTGGATGCATCACATGTAGCATACCTAGAGCCAGGCACCCCAAAGCAAATAGTATCAGTAACTGAAATGCACTCACCTAAAGTGTTCCTCAAGCAAATTACATGGTGCACAAAGGAGATTATCTACAAATTATTCTTAATTTTAGGAAATAAAATGTGAGAATTCCACAAAAGCAAGACAGAACACCTAATAGGTTTGGTAGAAATTACATGAAATGAGATAACAAAGAGTTTTACAATGGCTGTTCTCCCCATTTTAAATTTCAAATATCTCACAGTAGGCCAGGCACAGTGGTGGCTCAAGCCAGTAATCCCAGGACTTTGGGAGGCCAAATCACTTGAGGTCAGGAGTTCCATACTAACCTGGCCAACATGGTGAAACCTCGTCTCCACAAAAAATACAAAAATTAGCTGGGCACGGTGGCGTACACCTGTAATTCCAGCTATGCAGGAGGCTGAGGAACAAGAATCGCTTAAACCTGGGAGGTGGAGGTTGCAGTGAGCAGAGGTTGCACCACTGCACTCCAGCCTGGATGATGAAGTGAGACTGTCTCAAAAAAAAAAAATCTCATAGTAAAATATTAGCATCTATAATTGAGACCATGAAGTGAGAATTCCTAGGTTACCTCCTTGTCTAGCATACAGACTTCCTCCAAAATAACCATTCACTGGAGACGTAGCAGCATAGACAAATATGGCTGTACTGAGCATTGATCCCCTCCTAAAAAGGCAAAATATATATGATAAATTAAAACCAACAATTTAAAGAAAACATCATACGGTCTATTATATTAGCATTAGTTTAATTTCAAAGATAACTTTAACAGAAACACAAAAAATACTACACCCCAGACTACAAATAAAACTCAAAAGAGTCTCTATAGTGAATGAATTTGCAGTTAAAACTGCATTTATATGATACCACTGATATTAATTTTTTTAACCTGCAGTTAAATGTCATGATATATTCTAAGAAAGTATTTCACATTTATTCAGCAAAAATACTAGAAGCTGACCCTAAAACTGTTTTGTGACCCTGTAAACCAACCCCAACATACGGAACAACATGTTCATCTGTTAAGAAAAATGACTAGAATAGTCCGTTTCACAACTTGATTCAACTGCTTGTAATTCTTGCCTGCAAACAGAAATAAAACAGTATCTATACTAAATACTATTATTTCAGAAAATAAAACAGACTTTCCCCCTTCCTCTGATACTGCTGAAAATAAGTTTTAGGCCAGTCACAGTGGCTCACACCTATAATCCCAGAACTTTGGAAGGCCAAGGTGGGCAGAACACTTGGGGTCAGGAGTTCGAGACCAGCCTGGCCAATATGGCAAAACCCAACCTCTACCAAAAAATACAAAAATTAGCCAGGTATGGTGGCAGTTGCCTGTAATTCCAGTTACTTGAGAGGCTGAGGCAGGAGAACTGCCTGAACCTGGGAGGCGGAGGTTGGAGTGAGCCGACATCATGTCACTGCACTCCAGCCCGGATGACAGAGAAAGACTCAATCTCAAAAATAAATAAATAAGTAAAAATTTAAAAATTAAAATCAGACATACGATTTTTAAAAAGTCTATAGGTCCTTCACTTCTTTGTTCACAAATATTCTATGGGCATTTCCTCCCCCTGTCCCTCAAATAAACCACTTTTATCTACACTGAAAAAGTTACAGTCCTCCTTATTCATCTCTCCAAGATGGGAGGTGGGGAACATCTGAAGAGGTGTTTAGCTTACACCTTTCACACCCTTACCATTCTCCACTGAAAAGTTTCAGAGTAGCAGCAGCAGCATTACCAAATGTATCCCTCACCTTCTCAAACTCTATGCCTTCTCAGTATCACACTGTAACAGGCACCCACATTGATATTGCTCCTCTACCTATACTCTCAAAATATTTTTCCTCTCTGATTGCTATAGTGACCACAGGGGCAAAGTAATTTTAACATATTATCTGCTCTTTATCCTTTACAATCATTCCTATTCAAGTGATTTATCCCAATTTTGTGTGCAAATTTTTCATTTTCTCGCCACTTTGTATTGTTATTATCTTTATTTTCATTTCCATAACATAGCAAATTAAGAAGAGTTCTGGAATAAGACTGCCTAGGTTTCAATCCCAGCTCACTAACACTCTTTACTAATAAGGGTGCTCATTGATCTCAGTCATATTATTTCTCTGAGCTTCAGTTTCCTGGTCTGTAGAATGGAAATAGAACAGTTCCTTCACAGGGTTGATGTGAAGATAAAAGGATCAAATGTGCATAAAACACTTAACATGGAACCTCAATAAGTTAGCTACTTCTATATAATAATAAATCCTTAATGCTTTAGTGCCTATCATAGAGGTAATGAATTACATTCACTTCAAATAAAGACAACATAGAACAACCATTTACAGTAATTATAGGCTAAAATAACAATGCATGGCTTGCCTGCTAATATTATACATTAGTGAGCGGTTTCTTATTTATAAAAGTTGAAGGCCTTTAAGTAGAAGAGCTTCTGCATTAAAACAAAACAAAGCAAAACAAAAAACAAAAGAGTTGCCTTAACACTAATATTTTGAAAAGGAAGAGGCAAAAATTTGGATTCTAGAAGAGATTATCTTCCAGTGGCTCATAAGACTGCAACAGTACAGCCACTGTCAATTCGATAGTGATTAACTTAATCTAGTATTTAATGTAAAGAACAACTTCTTGGTAGATTTGAAATATTTTTCTTCTATTTAGGATCCAGTTTATCTGAAATACATTATACCCTAAAATATAAACTACTCACCAGAACTCTGAAGTTAGTTTGGGTTATTTTAAAGCTTATGTGGTAAATAAATTAGAAAGGTTATATTAAAGAAATACCACCAAAACTACAGAGAAATAGCTTTGTTGGTTAATACATGTTCATTTCAGTTCAACAAGCATTACTGACTGAATACCTTCCACATGCAAAGCTCCTTATGTAGGTACTTTGAGAATTCAAAGGTAAGTTATTACCTGGTCTTTAGGCCTGATTGCTATAATGGATTGCTTAGAGGAAACAAATATTTAGTATACAGTTAAATATTTATGCAACTAAAGAGCTATTTTTTCAGCAAGAATGTACTGCTTGCCCACCAAATGCCAGGCATATAGAGGAAAGAATGCATTAAGAACTGAAATAGAGGCACGAAATGTAACTGGAGAAAAGTGTCATTCTGATTGAGGGCTTCGTAAGGTGGTACTTGAAATGCCTGAATTATGATCACTACCACCCAGGCACCAGAGTATGTTTGCTTCAGAGAGGTTATGGCTTTCTGACCACTGAATAGGGACCTAAGATCTTTTGTGAATGCAGAACCTTTTCACATAAAGACCTCAAATCAAGAATTTCTTCCAAACGGTTTTGTTTGCAAAGAAAAAAATTACCACAAATCCTGTCAATATGGGATAGATATTGACCTAGAAGTTTTTTTTAAAGAAGTTATGAATTATTTTTCTAACCTTATATGACTTTTCATCACTGTTTTTACTATTACTTACAGCAGTGCTTTCTTCTACTCAGATGTTTTCCAGTTCTGAAGGTAATTATGAAGTAACTTAGTATTTAAAATTATTGTACTTTTGATGAAGCTCTAATTGGATCTTCAACTTTCAAAAAAAATGCCTATTTACTTTGTCAAACAGCTCTGGATTAAAAGTAACCTCTGTTCATATTCTTTAATGGAACATAATCTATAACCACAATGTTCAGTAATGCTAATAAGTTTTGGCATGTAACAGAAAAATACAGATTACTGTTCATTATTTAATGTCTGCATTTATGACATTTATCATAAATTGTAAGATAAAGGAAATAAGTAAATTTTTAATTATGACTGACTTAAAAGATTCCAATGATTAAAACTATTCAAGAACAATAAAGACATAATAAAGTGTAGGCACTTACTCAGTATATAAATCTTCTATCATTGCAACAATAATAACGATGAGAGACACAGCAAATATCTGACATCCAGAACCAATGAGAGAGGAAAATATCAGTGGATGACTTGATGGTCTAAATACATCTCCGTGCACCTGTTTCCATCCATATTCATCTCCTAGGTCTCTATCCTGTATAAAAACATATATACATAGGGAGAGAGAAAAGCAAATCATTCAGAATCAAACTAAAACACAGAAAATAGGTAAAAATTAGTTTTAAGTTTCCTCCCTCCAAATTTATAGCTACTTAAAGAAATTCATAATATTGAGAAAATATATTCCAAATGTAACATAATCGCTGCTTTAATAACAATGTTAAAATGCTGAGGGTTCAGGAAGTTGACTCCTGGTTGTGTTCAGATAATCTCAAATAACGGAAAAAGAAAAGGTCTAGTAAAAAAAGAAAAGGTCAACTTGGGAGAACAGTAAACTGACTCTCTTAGTGTCATTTTCAGATACTACTCCTGCCATTCACATCATAGCTGTCATATACAATCAGGGGCTAGGTGGAAAGGGAAAGAGAAGAGTATCAAAACCAGTACTAGAAGCCCTAAAAATGCAGAAATGTCCTTTAGAGCCTAGAATCTAAGAAAACACATGGGGGAAATACTGGATATGGATGTTTTTATTTAAGTCTATAAAACATTTTTTTTAAAAGAATTTTATTTTTACTTTGCAACCTTAGTAAGCAAGTGCTCCTTAAACATTTTCTAACAAAGCTTGCTCCTAAAATAGTACTTCCTAAGGAATAGTAGTCTCTCAAGGTAATCTGTTTTGGTGGGGAGAATCCTGGTCAGAGGCACCAAATACTTTATCCATCTTCTAATATTTCACAATATACTCTAGTATATTAAAATTTAAAAGTTTAAATCATTTCCTAAGTCAGGCACGGAGGCTCTAACCTATAATCCCAGTACTCTGGGAGGCCAAGGCAGGAGGATTGCTTGAGGACAGGAGCTAGGCAGCACAGTGAGTCCTGTCTCTACAACAAATAAAAAAGCAGCCAGAGGTGGGGCCTGTAGTCCTAGCTAACTGGGAGGCTGAGGTGGCAGGATCACTTGAACTCCTGAATTCAAAGTTATAATGAGCTATGATTACACCTCTACACTCGAGCCTGTCTCTTAAAATAAATCTCCTAAATTTATTTAATGATACAGTATACCTATATAGAATATCTATTAGCTGCTACTCTATATAACACTTTTTGTTCTATGAGTTAGTAAAAGAACTTAGAAAACAAATCTTTCCTCTGAATCCATTAAACTGAATACAAATTAAGCCTTCTACCCATTCCCTGAATTTTAAGCAATATTTAACAGTATTTAAAAGTTACTAATACAGGTCTACATCCTCCTAGCGGCAATTCTGAAATAAAAAGTTCTAAAAACTAAAAGTTTATTTCTTAGGTTTGACATATTCTTACTTAGTGGCAAAACCTGGCTTGAACTAACAAGAGGTTATACTATTTATTTATCCCACTTTAGGTGAATGTTCATATGTTTTGCTGAAAAAAAATTAATTTTATTTGATTACAGGGCATGGTTACAGACCACACTAGGCATTTTACATTTTTCTTAACTCTAAAAATCCTGAACTCTGGAAATTCATCTGGCCCCAAAAACTTCTGATAAGAAATTATGACCTATCTTCCAATATTTAAAACTTAACACTTAGTTAAAATGTTTTTACAAATACGTTTACTCACCATATCATCCATTTCTTCCTCTTTACTGTACCGAGCATAATCTTTTCTTAATGTTCTCATTAAAATCATTGAAACTAAGCCCACCAAGAAGATCACCATCATGAAGGAATTGAAAATTGAAAACCAATGAATCTAAAATAACAGAAAATAAAATGTTACCAACCTGCAGTATCAGCCACAAAATTCATAGGTTCCAAGAGGACAACTGGATGTTAATGCAAAGAAAAAAAGTCTTTTAAAATCTTTTAGATAAAAATCCAAATTTAAGACACTTTGAGGATGAGTATTCATTGTGCCAAGGGATTGGCTTTCTTTACAATAAGCTCCCATATGTTAAAAACATGCTACCATTTATATAAATTTTCAAAATCAAATTTATTGTTTTAAAAAAATATAATTTGGCCATTCAGCATTAAAATAGCATAGCATGGAAAGGCAGCATGCTTTCCATAAAATAGTATGGAAAAAACACGAGCTCTGGAGTCAAACAGTCAATTTCTGGCTATGTGACCTCAGGTTTCTCATCTGGAAAATTGAGAAAATAATGCTTACCTTTTAAGTGATTTGTAGGGCTTAATAATATATATATATAAAGAGTATGGCACCTCTCAGTAAATGTTACTTCCCTTCCGCCTAACTGAACAAGCTGAAAACCTCCTTAAAATACTAAGACTAAACCAGTATACTTGACTGCCATGGACTTAGATCACCATCCTGAATGATTCGCTTTGCTTGCTCCCAGTGACATCCTCATCCTGTCACCATCATTATTCAGCCCTTTCCAAATCCATGTTACATAAAATACTGAGGCATCCTTTAGTTCCTCAATGTTCTTGAAGCTCTTGGCTTTAATTTTATCCACACATACGTTACAACATTACATCTAGATTCTGGTTCATAATAACAAGGTACTACTGTATCTCTCAGTGGATTTCAAAATGTAGCACATCTAATTTGAACTAAGTCTGTGGCACTGCCCAGTTATTTCTTTATTCACATTGTAATTCCCAAAAGATCTTTAGGGATAGTCCCAATTTCTTTCCTCTCTTCAAGGCCCCAATGCCATCCTTTCTCCTGCCTTCCCTTGAATAAAATCCTGTCTTCTACTATCCATCATGACAAAACCTTTCCACATCCACTCTTTGAAGTGTTTTTCCCCTCTCATTTTGCTTCCCAACCCCTCCACCTTTCACCAGCATCAGCAATCTCCAAAGGTCCTTATCTACAATGATGTCTACTCCCTGGGGTTGTCATAAGGTTTAAACAATAAAGGTAAAGCAAATAATATAGTGTCTGGCACATCATAAACACTAAATAAAATCTTAAAGTTATTGTTATTGCTATTATTATCTTTTGAAGTGTTTGCTTCATCTTTTGTCCTTCATTCTTTTCATCTTCTCACCTCCTGATCCTTTCAATGCCAGTACTTTTCAAAGGAGACATGTTCCAGTTCTTCCCTCACTTCCTCCAAAACACAATACAATCTCACTTTTGCCCCACAAAATTTCTCTGAAAGGCCTGCAATGAACTTCTAAACCAATTCAGCAGCCAATTATTTGCCTCACTCTCCTTGATCTCTCTGCCACATCTGACCTTTCCTGACACTAGAGCATCCTACCTCACTGGCTGTGGCTTCTCCTCTTTCATCCTCCATGCTGGCTCCTCCCATCCTTTGTAAAGTTTTCTAAAAGCTCCAGTCTTAGTACTCTGCTGTGACTTCTTTAGGCTCTCAGAACTTTTAACCAACATTCCAATGATGATGCTAACACCCTCTCCCCCACCTCCCACCCCACCCCAAATCACTAGTCTTCTCTTTCACTCAAGTTTCAGGCTTTTGCTAACTACAATAATTTCCACTTGAATGTCTTTCTGGAATTTCAGACTCAGACTGCCCTAAAGTACATTCATGATCTTTCACCTCATATATAACGCTTGTTTCTTATTCTCTAACTTCTGTTAATGGTACTAACATTTAGCTTTGAAATTTTAGGAATATCTCTGGCTCTTCCTTCTCCTAATTCTTCATAGGTAATAATTATTAAGCATGTATTTTTCTTCAAAATGCCCTGTATCGATCTACTCTGCTCCATTCCCATGCTATCACCTCATACCCTGATAGCACTAATGGACTCCTAGTTGGCCTTGTTTTTGGTCTCTTCCCTTACTTTCAACATGTCCTGTAGAAAGCTAACAAGGAAATCTTTCTATTTCTCTCATATCAAATCTATTTTCTCCAATATTCTATACTCCCTGTAATATGGTAATCTCACCTTATCTCATCAACTTTTCTTTCCATTATATTCTATATTCCAATAAGGCTTATCACCTCTTTAAGAACCCACAAGCACAGCCTACTCACTTCAACCTCTGTATTTTTCTCATAATTTCTTCTCATGTAAGATCTATTTCTATTCCCCTTAGCAAATTCTACCCAGTCTTTAAATTCCAACACAAGCACCTTTCCCTCCATGAAACCTCTTATCTACGTATTACAGTTCTTCACAGATAACCTCCTGCTCTAAAATTCTACAGGTACATACATATGTACTGCTGTGTATGATTAGGACATATGTTAACTTGGGCTAATGTGCTGAACATGTGCACGAAGGTGACAGGCAGTCTTGGCTCTCTTACCCACCCTGAGGTTTAAGGGATGGGATAAACTCTATGGCTCTTCCTGAAAAACAGGAGACTGCCTCTTCGGAAGATTATTTTTTCATTCAACAATTTATTTATTGAGTACCTAGTGAAATTATAAAGGAACCAAGAAATGCATTGGTTTTTTTTGTTTGTTTGAAATGTTTGCTCAAAAAAGATTACATAAATCTGAGTTTATTGTAAAAGTATCATTTAAGATTCATAAAAGCAGTCTATGATTTTCCAGTGATTTGACTTTGTTCTACCCTTAAATGTTAATAACCCAGAAAAGCTCAAGAAAGGGAAAGAAAAATGACATATATCTTCTTTTAGTCAATTTATGAACATTTTTATGATAAAGAAGTTTTATATAGTTACTACTTAGTAGTAACTATACTAATTAGACACACACAAAATGTTGAAATTTCTAACAAGGCTCTGTAATTTTCTAATCTAAGATATATGCAATCTAATCTATCATAATGTAGTAATAACCTGAAATTTTATAATATTCTTTTATTTTAAAAATTATGAGATGCTATATAATTGTGAAATTATTACACCAGGGAAAATATTTCTTAAAAATAAAAAAAAAAAAAAGGTCACGAAATGCTTTACTAACCCTACTAACTGCTGCATGCCAGCACCCCCTAGTGTCACTAATCCTGAAGCTGCACCCTCAATTTATCATAAATTTTAGACTACAACTGGAGATAAAAAACTATACCAACAATACTGCCTCTGATGTGCTATGTGCCAAACACTGAACTAGGTGCTTTATATCAACATGAAATTTCCCAACAGCTCTGCAAGGTACTATAATCCTCCTTGCTTCACTATTAAGGGAAAAGAAGCTGAAGAACTCAATAACCAAGGTTATGGTAAGTGGCAAAGCGTCGGAGTTTGAATTCAGCTCTAACTCCTTTGCTTGCACTGTTAGTCATTGTATTAGAAGCAATCCCTATACTTGTAGAGATCATATCCCCTCCTTCTATTAAGGAAAATGATGCAGTATTTCTCTTTTTCTCCTGCATTGTCAGTTTTGCAATCTCCACTGAACCCCATTAGCATATAACGTTTTTCTTACATCTTAAAAAAAAAAGGAAAATCTCCTAACTCCATTTTCCCTACTATCTACTGCACCATTTCTTTGCTTCCTTTCGCAGCCAAGCACCTCACAAGTCCATACTTGCTGTCTCCAATTCCTCTCCTCCCATTCTCTTACAGCAGCTCTGTTCAGATTCTGAATGCCCCACCATTACACCCAAATTGCTGTCAAGTTCACCAGACTCCAGGTTAATCCAATGAGTACTTCTCAGTACTCATCTTACTTGACCCAAGAGCAAAAATTCAGAACTAATCTCTATCCTCCACGATACACTTTCTTCTCTCGGCTTTCAGAACTCCTTATATTCCCTTCCTCACTTCTTTCCATGCCTTCTTTCCCTCCCTTCTTTCCCTCCCTGCCTCCTTTCCTTTCCTCCCTCCCTCTTTCTCCTCCCTCCTTCCCGTCCTTCCTTCCCTCCCTCCCTCTTTCTCCTTCCTTCCTTCTCTCTCTCCTTTCTCTCTCTCTCTTCTTTGTTTGCTTGCCTCAAAGTCCTTAACTGAACTCCTCTGCTCTCCCTAAACTCTTTACTACTGCACCAGGGCTTAGTCCTTGGTCCTCTTCTCTCCCTACATTTTCCTTCCTTAGTAATTATTACATCTAGTCTCATAGTTATAAATATGATCCGTATGCCAATTACTGCAAGATTTGTATCTCTAGCCCAGACCTCTCTCATGAACTCCAGGACTAATATATCAAATTTGCGTCAATATCTCCATTTGGATATTGTATAGACACACAAAAACTAACATGTCCCAAACTGTACCCTAATCTTCCCCTCTAAATCTCCTCCAAATACAGCCCCAGTGACATCAGCTCCATGCAGACTGAAAACCCTAGAGTTTGTGTCAACCTTTTTTTTACCTTCCTATCAATCAGGAAATCTCACTGGCTTTAACTTCAAAATATATTCACAATCTAACATCTTTTTATCACCTACCCTGCTACCACCCTGGTCTGAGCTACCTTACCTCTTATCTAAATTGCTATACCAGCTTCCAGCCTCTCCACTGGTCTCTCTGCTTCTACCCTTGACTTCCAGAACCTATTCTCAACATAATAATCTGATCCTTTTAAAACAAAAGATGTGTTACTCCCCTGCTGAAAACACTACAGTGCTCCCCTGCCCCCTTTGCATTCAAGAGTAAAATCCAAAGTCCTTAAAATGACCATGGATGATCTGATTACCGCTACCTCTCTGACTTCATCTTCTTGCTAGTCCTCAAACCACAATAACCATATCCTCACTTTAACAGGCTTTTCAATGGTGTTGCCTCCGCCTGGAATACTCTTTCCCCCAGATATCCACATTCTTTATTTCCTTCCACTCCTTCAAGCTTTTGCTCAACAATCCACCTCAGGGGTTTACCTTGACTATAGAATATAAAACTGCAACTTGCCCAACCCCTAGTACTCTTGTTCTGCTGTCTACTCTCTTTTTTGACACACTTCCTTTTGAATACAGTGTTTTACTTACTATGTTCATTTCATGTCTCCTCCACTAGAATGTAAGTTCCTTGAGGGTACAGATCTTTGTCTCTATTTTTTAATGTATCCTACTTACCTAGTAAAGTGCTTGGCAGATAGCAGGTGCTCAATTAATATGTGTTAGAATAATAAATACAGTATAATGCTTTACGGTGAAAATACTAAAAGGCAGTCTTCCCCCTAAGTTGTCAATGCCCAATAGGGCTAAAAACAAGGCAGACCTAAGAGTTCCAGTAGCGAGTGCCAGTTAAGAGCCTTCATATCCTCAAATGTTATCTAAATCTTGAAATTATCTATGTCCATCACCCTATTCAATATTGCTGAATATCATACTTGAGGAGAACACACAGCAGGTGAGGTTGAGGTGGGGACTGAGGTAGGAAGAAAATTTTAGCTCCAGGAGTAGTGTACTAAATCCTTCAGTAAGGACAATTCAGGGAGGGCGTGGTGGCTCTCACCTGTCATCTTAGCAGTTTGGAAGGTCAAGGCAGGCGGATCATTTGAGGTCAGGAACTCAAGATCAGCCTGGCCAACATGGCAAAACCCTATCTCTACTGAAAAAAATACAAAAATTAGCCAGGCTTGGTGGCAGGTGCCCGTAATCCCAGCTACTTGAGAGGTTTAGGCAGGAGAATCACTTGAACCCAGGAAGTAGAGGTTGCAGTGAGCCAAGATCACACCACTGCACTCCAGCCTAGGTGACAAATAACAAATTATGCTATTTGCCCCCCCAAAAAAGGGCAAATAACATAATGTTAAAATTTTTGAACCCTGAGGAAGATTCGAAGTAGTGATAGGTTCCAGTAGAGTCTAAGAATGTAACCTAACAGTAATATGTAAATCTGAGACAACAAAAATTTATGGGCCATCTCAAAAACAGGTGATTAATAAACTTTAAAATTCTAGTCCAAAAGATTAGATCAAAAGAAAGAAGCAGTAATTCAGGGAGAAACTCAAAAGAACAGATATATCCCCATATGCCTTGTGTTTTTATCTCCATCCTGGAGGAGGAAACCACCAAAACAAAGTCTGATTTTTGCTATAAAGAACCAAAACTACCTGTACAAAATCAACACTAATGCCACTGGACTTATGAACTAAAATTCAGCAAGTATCTGTCAGTGGGGGCTAGGAGAAGTTGGGGTATTTCTTCCCATTCTTGATGTCTCTTTCTACGTGGAAGGATTTTGCAACCAGAACTTCCTGACCTCAATCCACTCTCTCCTTACCTCCTTCTCATGCATATATTCCATTCGTTCTCTACACCGTAAGTTTATAACGGCAAGTGCCCACGTGGGAGAGCCTACAATATACTGTCTGAGTGTGTTGTCTAATTCTGAGTTTCAGTATAAGAAGCCCACTTAATCACAGATAGATGGAAGCCACATTCCCCAATATTCACCTTAATAAAGTCCAATGCACTATCCATTGCATAACACAGCCACCTAATATATTCACCTGATTAGTGGTATTTTGGCTTCCCATATTTTTCTTTGTATATCTCTTAATTGGTTTAAACCACAAGCACAAAGAAGGAAGTTTTTGATTGCTCCTCTAAAACTCCCTTTCATCTTCATGACTTCAAGCTCATGCTTTAAATCACCATTAGCTAAACCTTTTAATCTACAGTCCTCAACACAGTGCCCTGCAAATGACAGATGCTCAATGTTTGTTCAACTAATTGGTGCCCATATTTGATGTCTTAAAATATACTATTTACCTACCCGATGTTGAAAAAAGGACGGATCAAGATATTTGTCAAATCGATCTTCAAATTTTACATCAGACTTTTTCCATTTTACCTGAAAAAACAATTTTCATTTGAAAATAAAGGCCAGTAAACAAATTAAAATCTGATGACAAAACTCCGGGCAAAATATAGAACAATTTACACATACTTAGAATTAAAATTCACTAGAGAAATGAAGAAAAGTTACTTACAACATGAGAAGTTGATAAAACTAATTAACTTTTCTGTTTATTGACAAAACAACTTTCCAAAGAGGGGTTGTTTCAGTTTTCAAGGACTGTTCACTATTGTTGACTTATATATTATGACCTGATAAATATGATAGTACAAGCTGAACTAGTACAAGCTCAAATCACAATTGTCTAAATCAATTAAAATAAGAATCTGTACATCTGCCTGGAATGATTCCAACCTGCACAGCTGTTCTCTTTAGCAACAGTCATTTATCTCTGTCCGCCTTCTCTTCCACCTAAGTGCATGCTGCCACCCCATGGAAGATTTGATGGACAGGGACATGAGCCCCCTTAGGCCCCAGGCCCCAGATCTATCTTTTCAGTTGTGAATCAAAGGCCAACAAAGATTATCCACCACTTTAAGGTGGATAATGATGAAAATGAGCACCAATTATCTTTTTAATTCAACCATTGTTGAAGACAGTATGGCGATTCCTCAAGGATCTAGAAATAGAAATACCATTTGACCCAGCAATCCCATTACTGGGTATATACCCAAAGGATTATAAATCATTCTATTATAAAGACACATGTACATGCATGTTTATTGTGGCATTGTTCACAATAGCAAAGACTCGGAATCAACCCAAATGCCCATCAGTGACAGACTGGATAAAGAAAATGTAGCATATATACACCATGGAATACTATGCAGCCATAAAAAAGGTTAAGTTCATGTCCTTTGCAGGGACATGGATGAAACTGGAAACCATCATTCTCAGCAAACTGACACAAGAACAGAAAACCAAACACCACATGTTCTCACTCATAAGTGGTTGTTGAACAATGAGAACACATGGACACAGGCAGGGGAACATCACACATTGGGGCCTGGGGGATGAGGGGTTAGGGGAGGAATAGCAGGGGGTGAGGGGATTGGGGAGGGTTAGCATTAGGAGAAATAACGAATGTAGATGACTGGGCAATGGATGCAGCAAACCACCGCCATGGCATATGCATACCTACGTAATAAACCTGCACGATATGCACATGTACCCCAGAACTTAAAGTATAATAAATAATTTTTTTTTAAAAAAAGAATGGTCAGTTTAGGGGCCAGTGCAAAAGATGAACTGCACATTGTTGAAGCAGAGGCAATGAATTATGATGGCAATCCAATTAAAGCAACACTGGCAACTTTGAAAATGTCTGCAAAGCCAACAGTTCCCCTTGGGGGCTTTGAAATACCACCACCAGTGATCCTATGGCTGAAGTGTGGTTCAGGGCCAGTGTACATTAATGGACAGCACTTAGTAGCTGTGGAGGAAGATGCAGAGTCAGAAGATGAAGAGAAGGAGGCTGTGAAACTCTTAAGTATATGTGGAAAGCAGTCTGCCCCTGGAGGTGGTAGTGAGGTTCAAAAAGTAAAACTTCCTGCTGATGAAGATGATGACAATGATTTTGATGATGAAGAAACTGAAGAAAAAGCACCAGTGAAGAAATCTATACAAGATAATTCAGCCAAAAATGCACAGAAGTCAAATCGGAATGGAAAAGATTCAAAACCATCAACTCCAAGATCAAAAGGACAAAAATCCTTCAAAAACAGGAACTCCTACAACACCAGAAGGACCTAGTTCTGTAGAAGATATTAAAGCAAAAATGAAAGCAAGTATAGAAAAAGCACACTGAATAGTCCTGGGCACTAATTGGTAAATTAAGCCCAAGGGTGGGGACAAAGGAAAAGGAGAGACAAACAGAGTCCATACTGAGTATCATCAACAAGCCAGACTGAAGTCTTCTATCTTAATCGCAATCTCCTTTTCTGATTTGTCACAAATGCCTCTTCAGGCTAGAAACAACCTCATTCGTGGTTCCCTAAAGCACTTTCTTCTGACTGCTGTGATTCAGTGAACCTTGCCCTTTCCTTTCTACTACTTGTGCATTTGCCTCATCTCTGCCCATGTTTTCAATCACCTTTGTGTCTCCTTAGCTACTTAGTAAATATTTGATTAAATTTTTAAAAAAAGAATCTGTACATCTTTATTTTTAGACCGCATTACTTTTATTACAACTATAAAATTCCTTTGTTAAGTTCAGTTATGCAAGTATTATTTGCATCAGGTACATATGCACAAAGCTTGAAAAACTTTCAAAATTGACTACTAGCAATGGACTCATTCCAGATATGAGGCAATAACTGGCAGAGAGGCGACCTTCACCAAATTTCTTTCTCATTTCCACTATTTTTAAGCCTAAGAGAACAGAAATAGCTTAACAGTTGCTAAAAGGCTCTGACAAGCTCTCACTGGGCAGGAGTATATTATTCCAACTGACAGAGCAAGCCATGGCAAACTATATCTATCCAGAAACTTTCAATACATATCACTTCTATCTGCAACATTAAAATGGAAAGGGAAACAATATGAAGTACGGCAATCTAAAAATGTAACCATAAAAATAAATGACTGGGTTACTCTAATTACTCAGTTATAATGGTAAACTTGGCTGTAGCAAAGGGTTTAGGTCCTGCAAAGGCATAACTGGTATCTAATACTGCAGACCTGAAACAAATCCTCTCTTTGCCTTTAGGAGGCTGACTTAGGTAAGCTGAGGAAATGCAGTTTCAATAATATTCTGTTGCCTCCCATTTCAAGCTACATTTTCATTTACTAAAGCTCAAAATCTAAGCCATAAATTGTGTTCAAAGACACAAATTTGTGTTCAAACCCACAAATTGTTGACATCAGGTCACAAACGCTACTTCTTACATAAAACTATTTGAATACTTACTGAATATGACATCTGAATTTTAGTATTTGGAACCAGTTTCACCTTTCCTTCACTAGTTAGATTAACATCAACAATTCGATTTCCATTAAAACCTATTTCAAGTTTTTTGTAGGTCCAAAGATAGTAATCTTCTCCATTTTCATCAGCCTCACCAACAATTCCTACAAAAGAAAAAACACTTTATACAAGGTAATACCACTTAATATTTAAAATATCCTAGAAGCTAAAAGCTCATTAAGTTTTTTTTTTTTTAAATAAAAAAGCAACATTACCATTATTCCTCATGGTTAGAATATGGCAAAAGTGCAAACTGGACTTCGACTCTTCATTAACTACTTAGCAAACACACGTCATGGTCATACCACGATGAAAAAGTGATAAACAGCTCAGCATAACACCAAACACTAATTTGATTCTCAAATTTCATGCTTTGTCATTAGTATAATTTTCATTTTAACAATTACCACCTTATATAGGTATACTACCGATACAGTTTCGATCTGTGTCCTCACCCAAATCTTACACTGAAATGTAACCCCCAATGCTGGAGGTGAAGCCTAGTGGGGGGTGATTAAATCACAGGGGCAGATTCTCCTGGTTTAACAGCACCCCTACTTGGCACTGTCATTGCAATAGTGAGTTCTCCTGGAAGCTAACATTTAAAAGTGTGTGGCACCTTTGCCCTCTCTTCCTCCTACTCCTGGCCACTCTAGGATCCCCCTTCACCTTCTACCATAATTATAAGTTTCCTAAGGTCTCCCCACAAGCTGAGCAGATGCTACCATGATTCCAGTACAGCCTGCAGAGCCATGAGCCAATTAAACGTCTTTTCTTTTTAAATCACCTCATCTCAGGTACTTCTTTATAGTGGTATTAGAACGGACTAATACAACTCCCTAACATCTCAAAATTTGAGGGAAGTGCTTATACCACCACCAATCAAGGTTACCCAGTGGTCAAACCAAAATTAAAATCAAGGTTTCCAGATCCCTAGTCTAGTATTTTCTCTAATAACCTATGATCTACCCATTCCTAGTAAGGTGCACATATGTATATGTGGGTACCAAAACTGAACATGTCTCCTTTTTATACCTTAAGTACTGGATCTGTCACTGGGAAATCAGCAAAATGAAAGGAATGCTGAAAATAAATGTTAATAAGGATAGAGTTTAAAATCATCACTTTAATCAAAATTCAGAATATTGGAAGAAAATGATCCACAATGTTAGGGAAATATTATAGGTGGTAGCTGAGGATCCATCTCTCATGCCCTCAAACTGCCAGCTATTTGTCCAATGTTCCCCACCCAAGCCTGTATAGTTCCCAATATCTTCATGCTCTACAGTTACGCCTTAGGGCCTTCCTCCTATGGTTTAGTAAGTATTAGGGAAAAAAATATGATCATTTCTTATAAAATATTATTTATTAACCAAAGTGATTCTAATTGGTACAAATTGAAGGAGTATAGTTTTGTTTTCCTTGGAACTGTAGGGGATAATGAAATCCTTCTTTTATCTTTATTTTTTATTGAGACAAGGTCTCTCTCTGTCACCCAGGCTGGAGTACAGTGACACAATCATAGCTCAATGCAGTTTCAAACTCCTGGGCTCAAGCAATCTTTCCACGTCAGCCTCTGGGGTAGTTAGAACTACAGGCAAGTACCACCACACCTGGGTAAATGTTTCATTTTTTGTAGAGATAAATCTCGCTATGTTGTCCAGGCTGGTTTCAAACTCCTGGCCTTGGCTTCTCAAAGTGCTGGGATTATAGGCATAAACCACCACACACAGCGTAAAATCCTTCTAATAATTAATTTCCTTTTTTTTTTTTTTTGAGACAGAGTCCTGCTCTGTTGCCCAGGCTAGATAGAGTGCAAGGGTGCAATCTCGGCTCACTGCAACCTCCACCCGCTGGGTTCAAGAAATTCTTGTGCTTCGGCTTCCCAAGTAGCTGGGACTATAGGTGCGCACCACCACGAACAGCTAATGTTTTCGTATTTTTAGTAGAGACAGAGTTTCATCATGTTAGCCATGGTGGTCTCTAACTCCTGGTCCCAAGTGATCTGCCCGCCTTAGCCTCCCAAACTGCTGGGATTACAGACATGAGCTACCATACTCAGCCAATAATTAATTTCATTAAGGTTTATTTACATAGCTACTCTGAGAAACAGACTTTGGTGGTAAAGACACAATTATATCAAGAAGCTATTCTCTAAGAGGCTTTTAAAAGATTCTGAAACCTTTACTCCAAGAAAAGTTAGATACAAAGTTTTTTTTTTTTCTGACAAGCATTCCCCTTGGTTCAGGCATTCAAGGACATCCAAAAGTATCTCCCCAAATAGGGCATATTCTAAAATTCCAGGGCTATAAAAAATTTAACACAGGAAAGCACAGTTACCACTATTGCTAATGAGGCCCACAGCTATGAATGAAAAAAGCATGATGGCTTATGCCTATAATTCTGGAATTAATAGGCATAAGCCATCAGGGAGGCTGAGACAAGATTATTGCTTGAAGCCAGAAGTTCAAGATTAGTTTAGGCAATAAAGCAAGACACCTTGTCTCTACAAACACACCAAAAAAAAACAAAAAACAAAAAAGCCAGGCATGGTAGTATGCATCTGCAGTCCAAGCTGCTCAGGAGGCCAAGGGAGGAGGATCACTTAAGCCCAGGAGTTCAAGTCTGCAATGAGCTATGATTGCACCACTGCACTAACCTATAAGCAACGGAACACAACAGGGAACAAATCTGCTCTCTCAAAAATAAAGGAAGCTCTAACCAATGGGTTTCCCTGAACTACAGGCTCAGAAAAATCTTCAGTGAATATTCAGCAAATCTTCCTATCACTGTCAGAGCTGATCACAGAAATGTCAGCATAACCATAATAATAACTGCAGTCATTTCTATGAAATGCTTACTATATACACCTAATTAACATGCAACACAGTAATGATGATGCATATAATTATCTTTTTGCTATTACCTTTCTTATAAATTTCATCTTAGTATGATATTAAACTCTGATCTCATATGTTCAGACTTTGTTAGTTTACTGCTCATAACCACAGTAATCTGCTAACAATTTTAAGAATTAGAAGAAACATTCATTACACATAAGAGCAGATTTCCAGAGACAAAAGAAAGAAACAATTAGAGAAAAAAGTGATCAAACATATTGGCTATAACAGCTGGCTGTGCTCTGCATCATAAATAATTTAATCAAGTCCAACACAAATGATTTTGGACTATTCATAGGTTGGCATTAACTATGCCATAGCTCTTCTCCATTAATATGGATAAACAAGAGCAAAAACACAAACATTTTTTTAAATTAAAGAGTTATGGCAAATAACATAGGAACTAGCAAAATAAGCCATTCAAGGAACTATCATACCTAGAAATCATACTACCACAATACCAACATGAGAAAAAGACAGAATAAAACTCCTAAATCCTATTTAGTCCCTTTAATTGTATTTAAAAGAACAAATTAAAATAAGATATAAAAAAAATGGAAGCAGAAGAATTTTTTTTTTTTTTTGAGACGGAGTTTCACTCTTGTTACCCAGGCTGGAGTGCAATGGCGCGATCTTGGCTCACCGCAACCTCCGCCTCCTGGGTTCAGGCAATTCTCCTGCCTCAGCCTCCTGAATAGCTGGGATTACAGGCACGCACCACCGTGCCCAGCTAATTTTTTGTATTTTTAGTAGAGACGGGGTTTCACCATGTTGACCAGGATGGTCTCAATCTCTTAACCTCGTGATCCACCCACCTCGGCCTCCCAAAGTGCTGGGATTACAGGCGTGAGCCACCGCACCCGGCCTAGACGAATTTTTTAGATTGTTCTAAGCACATTTTCATTATTGAATCTGAAAAGTTATACTATATAAAAGTTCTATTTTAGGCAAGTTTCATGTAAAGCATGGCAGTGTAAAAATCCTTCAGGCAACAGGTGACCATAAAACTCGTATTAAAATCATTCTGTAAAAAATGGTTAAAACACATTTACATTATGTTCCAATATACAATCACCTTAACAGAGTCATTACATAAATTCTGATTATGCAAATTTTCCCCAGTCTTAAATACAACATATAATACTTACCCCATATTGGTAAATCATCTATGTACATCTGGTACCAGTAGTGATTTTTTATGGCATATACAAATGCATCTCTCTTTTCTTTATCTAAATCAATTTCACAGTAAGTGGCTGGCATCACATCATCTGCATAAAGTATAAATTGCAAATTAATTCACTAGTTTGCAAAATAGTTACATACAAAAAAACACACCAAAAAAGCCAACATTTCCTAAAGTTAAAACTTCTGTTCAGAATATTTGAATGAATGATAAATATGTGGGGGTTCAGAGTACTATTCCTCCCTTTTTCTGTGTATCTTTAAGATTTTTTTATAATAAGAAAATTTTAATCATCTTTATTTTCAAACATTATCTTACTAAATGAAGAAATCATCCCTTATATCAAGAAAATTATACAAGAAAATTTATAAAGTAACTTTAAAATAAATTGATTTTAAAAAGAAAAATAAAAAAGCTTAAACACATAAGAATGTTTTTATTTAACATATACAAAAGCTCAAGAATATGATCATAAACAGAGATAACCATTTCTGACTATAAGATCTCTCTGAGATAAACATTCATTTTAACATTCTTAGAAAGACAAGTCACTAGAAGCCACAGATTCTATGAAAACACTCAGTGACTATTCATAAGTAGGAAGATTAAAAGGCAAACCTCTATTCAGCAAGCATCACTATTTATAAATTGCCTTAAAGTCCCCTAAAGATGAGTCATTTTCCACCCTTGACTGCTTTCAAAAATATTGTTACTGTAATTCTATTCAGATGGTTTCTAACTTAATAAACCTAGCATTTCAAAATGTACTTATGTTTCTAATAAAATAGAAGAAAATCAAAAAATACAAATACTCAACATGTCAATCAAAAGAATTTGTTGTGGTAAATTAGTAGCAATTAGAAAAAAATTAAGAAATCATTCTGAACAAGAACACAAAAGGAAACACAAGTTTGTTTTTAACTTCGATACTATATTTGTATTATGATATTGGTTATTTGGAATATGAAATGAAATTTCTCTAAAGACACATTAAAACTTTCTACTGATCAAAAGTTCTTAGACATAAATTTTAGCTAAATCATTAATTTAATAGCTCAAAGAAATAACAATCTAATTTATAACTCAAGATATCCAGCAATATGTCTCCCCAACCCTCAACAGAGAGAAGAGCTTCCCACATTTTAGACCAGCCTAGAGTGGACACCCCAAAACTACAACACCAAAGATGGCAGTAAACACTGAAGTCCCATGGAAGAATGTCAGGGAAATACTTCCTCACCCTCAAAGCATGAGAAGATTAATTTTTCTCCAACGACTCCCAGATAGATTTTCTTTCTGCCCAAGCCCTCCTAGGCAGCAAGGAATTTAAGAGTTTTATGATGGCTTAAAAACAAACAAACAAGCAGAGGCTGAGCAGTGAAGCATTGGAGGGTTAAAAAATGAGACTGCTTCAAAGGGTTTCTACAGCACGAGCTAGAAAAACTGGCAGCAAGAGGTCCCCAAATGGGATCTCCATGGAGTGAGATAATGAACAAAAGGCAGCAGGCAACTACAGCTACAGAAGGGATATTCAGAACCAAAGGAAGGTCCAAGCTTAACGGACAACAAATGACCACAGTGGCAGTAGGAGATCTCAGAGCTACCTCTGCAAAGCCACTGAATTCCTTGTGGTTAGAAACAAAAATTCATTTTTAATGGTCATTAACAATGTGGTAGATTTAGTAGGAAGCTCTGAAATATACAGCATGGCATTTATCTGTATAACGCTTTTTTTTTTTTTTGAGACGGAGTTTCACTCTTGTTGTCCAAGCTGGAGTGCAATGATACAATCTCAGCTCACTGCAACCTACACTTCCTGGGTTCAAGCAATTCTCCTGCCTGAGCCTCCCAAGTAGCTGGGATTACTACAGGCATGTGTCACCACACCCAGTTATTTTTTTGTATTTTTAGAAGAAATAGGGTTTCACCATGTTAGCCAGGCTGGTCTTGAACTCCTGACCTAAAATGATCTGCCTGTCTCGGCTTCCCAAAGTGGTGGGATTACAGGCATGAGCCACCACGCCTGGCCAATCTGTATAAAGCTTTTAAAAGATTTCTCAATCTGAACTTTAGTCCAACCAATTCTTTGTTTCCCAACTGATCTCTCTGCCTCTACACTCAAGCCAAACTCAATTCCCACACACCTTGTGCTCTCTTGGCCTCTGAACTTTTTTTCTTATCCTGTTAACGCTGCAACGCTACCAACAAGGTCCAATCTAAAATCCTCCCCATCCCCCAACCCTTGCCTCCACAAAGGAATCCCTTATTCCCCACTCCCCACACTTCTCATACGCACTCCCACAACTCCTTTACAGCACGTAGGCCTGTAACACTTTCTACCTCATACCAGTATCTTGCTCCTCAGAAACACCATTAGGTCCTGAGTGCTTTGTCCATAACTGATTATATCCTTTTAATCTCCAGCCATGACAGCTTTAGTACCCTACACAGACTAGGCACTAAACAAAAAATTTTAAGAGCATAATTTCCCATTTATTTGGCAAAGGAAACCACTAGGCATATTAGGGTATCTACCTAATATATGCATCTGTGTATGAAGAGTGTGTCTGTTTGTACAGAAGGAGAAAATGCCAATTTATAAACAAATGAAATTTTTGAACAGAGTCCCTCAGAACTGATGAAGAGGTCTTAAAGAATATCATCAACTCATGTAAAATCTAGAAACGAAGCATGTTAAAAGGCAAAATCTATTATTATGACAGGCTATATACAAAGGGTGTTGGTTGGTCATATTTTAATGGAATTCCTCTTCCAGGCAGGTAGACAAATACAAACATTACAAATAACTGAAGAGTCTCTGGCTGCCCAACTGAAACAGCGTTTCCCTCAGGAAGGAGACAATTTGAAGATAACTAATGCAAGTGTATGAATATGCCAAATCATTATTCAGCATTCTATATATATGGAAAACAATCTGAAAAATCTACCAACATAAATCTATGCTTTAAAATTAAAACAGGCTATATCTTTCAAAGATGAAACACACATCCATGAATTCTGAAAAAGATGCAATTCAGATTTTACTAATGTAAATAGTTTTTACGCGGGAAAAACAAAGTAGGAAAGTGGCAAACGTTAACCTTATTATTCAAACAGAAAGCAAGGTTAGACAGATTCTGGGCACTATGTACCAATAATCTATCATCAATTCCCAGTAAAACTCTAGACTAATAATTGAATAGGCAGTAAATGCACTGAGAAAAGAAAGTGATAATTATTCATGAGTTCTGTAAGAACACAGTATGCCTTGCTTTACTTTCTCTTCTGATAACATTGCATTTGGAAAATGAGAAATAGTCTACCTCTAACTCAGCAGCACTTAGCAAAGTCTCTCATGAAAGAAATCAGTATAGAAAAATGTATAGAGTAATGGGCAGAAAGGTGAGTTTTAGTCTGAGTTCTAGTATCTACTAGCTATGTGAATAAAAAGCAAGTTATTTAACTTCCATGAACCTCTCAGTTCCCTTAACAGAGATAGCATCTACACTATCTTCTTCCCAGAGTTAAGAATTGAAAGCATCAGGCCAAGTGCAGTGGCTCAAGCCTGGGATCTCAGCTCTTTGGGAGGCCGAAGGCAGGCCGATCCCTTCAGCCCAGGAGTTTGAGACCAGCCTGAGCAACATGGCAAAACCTCATCTTTACAAACACCAGAAAAATTAGCCAGGCATGGTGGTGCATGCTTATGGTCCCACCTACTCAGGAGGCTAAGACCAGGGAGGTCGAGGCTACAGTAAGCTGTGATCATGCCACTGCACTTCAGCCTGGGAGATAGTGAAATCCTGTCTCCAAAAAAAGAAAAAAGGGACTGAAAATGCCAATATATTCAAGGAAACTGTTCTTAAGTTTCCTTGGGCCTTGCACCCCTTTGAGAATCTGATGAAAGTGATCTCTCCCTTGCCCACCCCCTGAAAATGCACATTCACACAAAATTAAGGTAGAATTTCAGAGGGCCTGAAGACCCCAGAAGCTAGAGCCTACCATAGAGCTGGAATGCAGTAAGATACTCAGTAACTGCTGAATGAACTAGAGGAAAACAAGAACGGGAAAAACTGGTATATTCACAGTTAATTAAGTAACTATATAAAGAGTATTGATTGACCAACATGACCAGCCGTATAAACTGTGATTTTTTTCTAAATGAGAATTTGGCATCATGTATCAAAAACTACCTTAAATGTGTTTACATCCTTTGATTCAGTAATTCAACTTCTAAGAATTTATCCTAATAACAGATTCAGAGATGCACTGGAAATACTTAAGTGCAAGGACAGCCAAAAGCATTGTTATTTCTGTTTTTTGGGTTTTCTTTCTTAGACAGAGTCTTGCTCTGCTGCCAGGCTGGAGTGCACTGGCGCAATCTCAGCTCACTGCATTCTTCACCTCCTGGGTTCAAGCAATTCTCCTGCCTCAGCCTCCCGAGTAGCTGGGACTACAGGCACACACCACCATGCCCAGTTAATTTTTGTATTTTTTAGTAGAGACGGGGTTTCACCATGTTGGCCAGGATGGTCTCGATCTCTTGACTTCGTGATCAGCCCGCCTCAGCCTCCCAAAAGTGCTGGGATTATAGGTGTGAGCCACTGCACCCAGCCAAACATTGTTATTTCTAATAGCAGAAAAAGAAAACCCTTTAAAGAAGGATGGAAGGATCAAAATATACAACTAGAAAATGGGGGTCGGGGAATCACAGTATCCGAGTTACACAGTACGATGTAGCCACATTTAAAAAAAAAATAATTAACAATATGGGGACAAGCTCATAAAATGTCAAGAGAAAAAAAGCAGAATAAAAACTAATTATAATTTACTAAATGAGTTAGAATGTGCTTAAAACAGTGTCTGACACATAATAAGCAGTATATAAAGTGTTAAATAAACTTTAAAAAAAATCATATACATAATGAATTCAATTTTCACACGTTTTAAAACAATGTGGATAAACAGAAAGAAAGACAGAAGGACTAAAGAAAACACAATAAAATGTTAACGGTAATCCAGATTTATATTTTCCTATAGTTCCTAAACTGTGTATTTGAACTTGTATCACTGTCAAAATCAGAAAAATATATATGCATATATATTCCTTTAAAAAACAAAAACAGAGATGTCAATCTGAAGAAGAACAATGTTATCAATGGTTTGAATAAAAACTTGCAAAAAGCCCATATTTATCAAAACTGCAGTTAGTACAAGTTACAAGAAATCAGTAATAAGAATTGACAAATTTCGGATTCAAATTATTTGCTCTGGCTAAAACACTGTGGTTGAAACCAACAGGACAAAATATTGTACCAACTTCCCAGACTTCCACTCAAGTAAGGGAGATTTAACCACAAGTATGTTTCCTCTCTCTCTTAAAACCCATTAAATGTCAGTGAAGGAATAAAAAGGATGTTAAGTCCACAAAGACAAAAAGAAGAGCAGACAGTGGGGAAAAGATTTTTTTTTTTTTTTTGAGACAGAGTTTTGCTCTTGTCACCCAGGCTGGAGTGCAATGGTGCAATCTTGGCTCACTGCGACCTCCGCCTCCTGGATTCAAGCAATTCTCCTGCCTCAGCCTCCCGAGTATGTGGAATTACAGGCACCCACCACAATGCCTAGCTAATTTTTGTACTTTTTGGTAGAGACAGGGTTTCACCATGTTGGCCAGGCTGGTCTCGAACTCCTGACCTAGCCTCTCAAAGTGCTGGTATTACAGGTGTGAGCCACCACACCTGGCTGTGAAGAAAAGATTTAAACAAATTTTTAGAAAATGGAAAACAGCTCTAAGATGACAAACTACTAATAAACCAGGAGAAAACCTAACAGGAGACTGATGCCCATAAGGGAGGGAATTGGTGTCACACAACCCAAGAGACACTCAGGACTTGGAAGCCTTACAGATCCCAAAAGCCAGGGGAACAGACACAGGACTGAACACAATGGAAATGACATTAAAATACTGAATATGTACGTGGAGGGGTTGTATGGCCAGGTACCCTCCTCTACCCTTCATACAGCTAGACACATACTGTACCCTCACTTTAACCCTGTAGTAGACCAGTGGCACCTTCCTCTAGAGAACTTAAACCAGAGAGGCTCCAGAATCAGGGACAGCAGGAACAGCAGAAGCTAAGGACTGAAAACAGCATGGGGGGATTACCTGAAGTAAACATCTTCAGGATGAATGAGTAAACCTGCCAACCCCCCAGTCCTTTTTCCTCACCCTTTGGCAATCCAGGCCTAAATCCCCCAGGCAGATCTGGAGGTAAATACTGCAGAGTGAAGATAAGAACAGCCAAGACTGAGAATCACTAAACTAAAAATATATAAGCCTCTAAACAGCCCTTGGCATCTCTCCATATCTGCAGTACTCTCAACTTACCAATTAATTCTAAAGAAAAAATACTTGTAAAATAATTTCAGCCCTCTGTTAAGTTGGGAAATTTAAGGAAGAAAATTCAAGGGAAGATCAATAAAATAAACAGAAGGAAGGAGTCCTGTAGAAGTCACTGATATTTCCACAATTAATAACCTTCATTTTACTGCAGGAATTCTCAAATGGGGGAAGGGGCAGGATGGATGAATGGTGATTTTTTTTCTGGTTAAGAATTACTATTCCAGATCATCTAATGTTCATAATGAATCAATTATCATAACAACAAGTAGGCACAAACCGTCCAGGTACTAGACAATTTCTTAAAAGCATACTAGGTCTTAATAGCTAAGAGTTCAAAGGTAAACAAGAGTGCTACTATAATAGGCTAGTGCAGCAGCTTGGGGATAAATAAGTCTATAATCAATAAACTAACATTTCATAATCACAAATACAAAACCAAGTTGTATACAAACCCATACTATGTGGCGATTAGTATTCTTAATTACCATTTTTTAAATATAAACTATATACCAGGAACTTTGATAAATGCTCTATATGCATTCTCATTTAAACCTGACACTTCTATCAAATACATATTATTTCCTACACTTCACACATAAGCAATATGAGATCAAAGAAGTTGAATAATGTGCCCATGACCACAGAGGTAAGCAGGGGCACACCTGAATGCATCAAGTCTCTCTGACTCTAAAGCACATGTTCTTTCCACACTATCATGGTAAGGTTCTAAGACATACCCTCTAAAATTGGAGGGTGATGAAATCAAACCAGGTTCAAAGATGCCCAATCTAAGTGTGCCCTTCTATATTTAATGTATTTTCTTAAAATAGTCTCAATTTAGCATTTTTGTCTAGTGCTAGAATATAAGATTATTAGCAAGAAACAAGTTGTGTATAAAATCTTAAGTGAGAAGCATCCTTTATTAGAATTAGACTATCATTAGTTCCTTAAAATAGTCTCTTTAGTAATCTTCATTTTACAAAATGATACCAATCCATGGAGGCTGACACAATCTACTAGGTTAAAAAAAAGATGTGGAGTTGCTGTAAAGGTTCCTCCCAGCGTCACATGGCCATTGCCATAGTGAAGCTGAGCCAAGCAGAGGCTGCAGCAGCTCTTCAAGGGGGGCCAGTTTGCTATGTGCTGGGGCTTTATCCCTCTTGTGATTTACTTGGGATTTAAGAGAGGTGCAGATCCTGGAATGCCTGTACCAACTGTTTTGAGCCTACTTTGGGGATAAAGGATTATTTGGTCTTCTGGATTTGGAAGCAATTAGCAGACAGCATGGAATATGTATGCTCTGGCTCTGATAAGAAATGGGACATCATTCGGTCGCCAGTTGGATGGCACAAGGCTCATCATAGATGAATGTGTAGCAGAGTGGAACTTGTACTAACTTATGATAGAATATATCAGCATAAATGTTTTTAACAATGTTAAAACAAAAAAGACGTGTGTGTATATGCATATGTAAACATGTATGTATGTGTACGTATAGTTTTTTCTGGTTTCACACTTCCAAAATTTTGTTTTATTTGAATATGCCTTCAGAAGAATCTTTAAGTCAAATATTTAAGAGATGAAAGATTAACAATATATGGTAAATATTTCTACAGCTCACAAGAGACATAATGTTCCAATTTCTATTACATTATTAGTATGCTATGATATGCCATAAGTAAATCACTTTGTCTCTCGGCTTCTGAGAGAGAGAATTGGATGACACAATCTCTAAGGTGCATTCTATTTTTTAAATGTTTGGTTATTGTAAGTGACAACCTAGAATACTTTTCAAAGCATGATCAACTTTATCTTTGAACAAAGCAAGCAAAGGGCTACAGTAGAGGGAGAGTATAATCAGCATTTACTATTTTATCTTGACCACTTAATTTAGCAGCTCCTTTAGCAGCATATCTATGCTGGGCATGGAAACTTGGTAAAACCCCTAGGAATCACCAATTCTCAGGAAATATCACTTGGCTAGCTCTTTTTTAAATGTAAAGGTGCTTAGCTTAGTCTGAAAAGAAAATAAATCCCACTTCTCTACCCATGAAAACCATCTTCCTCTATTTAAATAATCTCTCCATCTCAGCCTCTAGGAACTAATAAAAGGGAGTTTAAGATTGCTGAATAAGTACTCTTCTTTAGTAAATATGGGTGAGGATCTCAAAAACTAATGAAATCTGTACACAATAACAAAGTAGGACTCTGGAGTTCTGCCTATTCTCTCTTGTTGGTTTCTCTTTAATAAATTAGAAATGTACACCAAATATGGAAAAAGACAAAGTAGATGTTTACATATCGTACAAAGTCTCAAAGATCACATTTTGTAGTTTCAGTTTTCTCCTTATTTGTGACTAATTACTTAAATCACCTAATTAAATTAAAACACAAGCCTCAAAGGTATGTTTACAGTGATTCATAAAATTACAGGCCATGCCATTGTGGTTTATATTTACAACCTAATTTTATAATTAAGCCCCAAAGACTATAAATGGGAAAATGGGGGAGGAAGAAGAATGTAAATATATACCATATACCTATTTTCAACAACAACTTATTAAAAACAAGAATAAAATTTAACAACAAAAATTAAAGTAATATTATCTTTAAAATCTCATTGACATTTTTCTTCCCAAAGTGCTAAAATAATAACATCTTTAGTACTAAAAATACCAGAAGTCAGTTACTATTCATCTTACATATGAAGATAATAAAATTAAAACTGCAGTAAAGAATTTTATCAAAATGAATACAGTATCAAAAAAAAAAAAAACAGTGGGGGTTCAAAATCCAAAGCTCCTGTTTACCGGATCCATGATGTATTCAAAAACCAAGACATCTAATCAAAGATCCTACAAAAATTCAATTACTCAAGCTTCTGTTCACCATGCTAAAAATGCCTATCCAGGAAATACACTCTCTGATAAACTTCACAGAGAAAAATGAAAAGTATAAACACATTCAAAGGACCTGATAAATAGATACCTATATAATAACTAGATAAGGAGAAGTTTTATCCCCAAATTTAACAAAAAAATTTAAACATCCTATAGGTATTAACAGGATAAATTAATACAACACTGATAAATACATGGTAAGCCCATGGTACAAGTTTGAATTTGAAGCTTTACACAAGAATTTTAAGTATCCACGCATCCCATTACAGCCTCAGACTTCCATAAATTACTTTGTTAAATATCTATGAAGGTCTTCCCAGGCCACAAGTGTCTAATAAATAGGGAGTTTACTATATAACACTTTTCAGAAGGAAATATGTTAAGAAAATACAATTTTATTAACAATCATCTATTTTATTATCTTATAAATATTCAAAGTAAAGTTTAATTTTGTTAATTACTAATATACTTTCCTAAATGTAATACACTTCATTTACAAATCATAACACATTTTAGAGTCTAAAGCAATGGTTCTCAACTGACGGCAATAAGCAATGTCTGGTGACTTTTTTGGTTTTCACAAATGGAAGGTGCTACCGGCATCTGGGGAGTACAGGCCAGGGACTCGGCTAAATATCCTATAATGTACATGACAGCCCACACAACAAAGAATTATCCAGCCCCAGTGTCAATTGTGCCAAAATTAAGAAACCCTTGTCTACAATCTGAATTGCATTGTAAGGATTACTAAGGTTTACTTACCTTTAAATTTAATATCCAGACCACTAAATTCCAATTCAACCCCTTGAAGTGCTTCTCCCAGAGTTTCATGGTAATGACTGATACTTTTTTTTGACCCCACACAGAATGGAAGTGAAAAGTACTTATATGTTTCTTGACGATTATGGTACGGCCCAACAGTATTCATCCATAAGACAACTTCCTCTTTATCTTGATACTAAAACAAAAAAAGCAAACAATATTAAAAAAAAAATAATTCAAATTAAGGGAATATTTGTTACATGTTCTAAACAAAAGTGCATTGTCTCTGTTCAGGAAGCTATAAAATAAAATACTGCAGGCTTAATCTGATGAATGTCTACATCTTAAAAATGAAACTTAGTGAATTTTAGAATTATATCCTGATTGTAGTCTCAGACAGATACACCTTTTCCAAACTTTACTTTATAGAGACAGTGTTTAAACTAAGTCTAATAGTTTATGAGTATGTCTATTGTTTACATTTATACTATCAAATCATGGCAAATTTGCAACCATCATGACTTACCATGCTAACATGGACAAGGAAAGAGGAAACAAAATCAGTAGTTTATCCAGAATCTCATGTTAATCAATAAGTGAAAAAAAAAAAAGATAGAAAGAAAGAAAGAAAGAAAAGAAACCTAATGTTGCCAGCAAGCATGAATAAAATTTCATCTCCTTGTGAGACTCTGTGAGTCTCACAGGTCAAAACACTACAGAGGACAGAAATGACCAAATACAAGGAAGACAACTACTATGGAATCTTCACAAGTCCATTCAAGCCAACATTCTATCTTGTTATCAGCCTGAAAGATATGCATAATATGCATATTTCTTTGAATAAGTAATTATGACACTATACATCAGTAAATATCATACATGGCTAAATCTGAAGTGTGGTCCAATTATGACTTTGGGTAGTTTCAAGGTCCAAGTGGGAGGTCTGTCAAAGATTTCTAAGATCTCTACAAGTTTAAAGTTCCAATGATTCCATAGAAATCAATTACCATGGTAATTTTAAAACTAGTGATTCTAATTACCAACATAAAGACAACACTGGATGCATTTAAATCAACTAACAGTACAGATGTTAATTCACTGAACAATTACTTACTGTCTAGCATGTGGAACAATTGTGCTTATAACTGAAGATACAGCTTTGAACAAGATGTGTTTCCTGCCCTACTGGGGGAAAGATGGGCACTGAACAAGAAGTAATAAGGTAGGTTGCTATGGAGCATATAATGGAGGAAGCTATCCAACTAGCCCACTATGAAATCCTTATCTCCAGTCCTCCATCTAAAACTAGTTAATAAATAAATATTTTCAATCAAAACCTAACATCTCCAAAACTAAACTCATCTACCCAAATTCACTTCCCCCAGCTATGTTTTTCTAATAGTACTAGCATTCTCTCAGACATGGAGACTCAAACCCCAAAACCCTCTGCACTCTACGGAACCCAAAAACATTAACTCATACATTCTTACTCAAAATATCTGCCTTTTTCTTTTGATTCACACAACTACCGCCCTAAGACTTAGACCTAGTCATCTCATGTTCAAATATAAATGCCCAATTGTTCAAATACAGCTAGGTCATTAAGGAAATAACAAATGATCTCACCTTTTGAATACCTATGTGACAGGTACCAAGCATCGTGTTAGGTATTAAGACTATAATGGTAAGTAAACTAGTGTCCATTTCCTTAAGTTCATAATCCACAGTGGAATCAGACAAGCAAATGATTAACAAAGAAAAAATAAGTATTATAATTAAGGTAATAAAGGTCTATTGTGGCAACAATAAAGGAACGATTAAATTCACTTTGTCAGAGAAGGTCAGGATGAATAACAATTTGGAAAATCACAAGCTGTTTCAAGGGAGTTCAGAAAAACAACTGCAGATAATCTTCATGTAGGAAGTAATGAATCAAAGGTCTAAATATTAATGTATCTGTATATCCTCATTCATTACTATTCTTTTTATTTGGAGAGATTGACAAATATATGTATGTCCCCACTCTTTCATCCAATGCTCATGGTCACACAGCACTAATCAACCAAGGTATTCCTTTCTGCTGAACATAGATATTGCCTCAGAGTTCTCAAAACAGTGCTCTAAACCAACCACTACCAACTAACCAGAGTTGGTATTAGAATTAAAACTTGTTCACGGCTGGGTGCGGTGACTCATGCCTGTAATCCCAGCATCCTAGGATGCTGAGGCGAGTGGATCACTTAACGTCAGGAGTTTGAGACCAGCCTGGCCAACATGGTAAAACCCCATCTCTACTAAAAATACAACAATTAGCTGGGTGTAGCATATGCCTGGAATCCCAGCTATCTGGGTGGCTGACGTAAAAGAATCACTTGAATCTGAGAGCTGGAGGCTGGAGGGAGCTGAGATAGCGCCACTGCACTCCAGTCTGGGTGACAGAGCAATACTCTGTCTCAAAAAAAAAAAAAAAAAAAAAACCCTATTCACCAATGCAAATACATATTTAATAAATTTGATGAGAAAATACTGAAGAAATACTGAAATGTAAAGTTCACTGGCAATTTAGTAAAAGAAATTTGAAGTATGTGAACTGATTGGTATGTACACTGACTGCAAGAGTACCTTTTCAGAAAAATAAGAAAGGGGAGGTAACATAATTCTTCTATTTCAGAGCAGAATATTGAATGAAACGACCTATTAAAGGGCACCTTGCCATTAATTCTGCTGAGTCTGCAGAAATGTTATAAATGTAACTTGTGAAAATATGCCCAAAATATTTTTTCTAAATATTCCAATACTTTTCTTTTAAAAATAGACAAAAATTTTAAAAATAAATACCTTTAAATATAGGGCATCCACTTATTTTATACAAATTGAAACATAAACAATTTAGGATTAAAATAATTTAAGGGTCCTGGTCGATGTTAAACCACATATTCTGAAGTCACTCATTTTAAACATTTAGGAACTCTTAACAGAGTGTTACAGTTGTGATGTGATGCCAGTACTGAAACAAAATTTATACCATTTTGTAGTCTTAAGATTCTTTCCAAGTAATTAGAAATACACATATTGAGAGTTTAGGATGAATAGTAAAGCAAAAATAATGCTCTTATGCGCTTTTTCTTTTATGTTGCTCCATATTATGCAGACTGTGGTTTAATACAATGAACTTAAAATGTTTACTTTTCATTGCAGCCCTTGATTGTCCCTGAGAATACGTGCTTTCAAGACAAGATAAAGAGTTCTTTCTTGAGGGAAAACGTTTTAAAATATTTTGAAATTAGGAAATACCAAAAGACTTCACACAACTTCTGGAGGAGGAAACAAAACAAATTTTACCTTTCCTTTCCCTAAAGCTCTGACAAAGCCCCTGAGCTCCACAGTCTGTGAGAAGAGTGTGTCAGGCCCTGAAGAAGGTGGGGTGGAGTCACAGCAGCACAGCAGTGAATCAGGGGATCCCTAAGTATGATAATAATTCCTTCCATCTGAGGCTTCCCTGGGAAATGGCCAAGTGAGAGAAGGCCAATTCAGGATACCTGCATTCTATACCTACTTATTTTCCAGCTCTCAGAAGAATCTCACTGCTACACTTAAGTCATCCACTCTGGCCAAAACGGTTTATGATACTGTCTTCCTCCCCTTTTCTGCTTCATTTTCTTTCTTTTGTCATTCCCCCAAATTTGGAAGGCTCTCCTTTTCTTCACTTAGCCAAATTCTACTCATCCTTCCAAACTACTCAAATCCTCCTTTTTCAAATCCTCAGGTAAAGCCTTAACTGACCAAATCCTAACATGACATGATCTCACCATTTTTGTAATAATAACATCACTAGCTCACAATAGGTACATATTATGAGCTAGGTATAGTTTTAAGTACATGAACATTTAAATAATCACCTCAAAACTCTATAAAATAAGTCTCATTATTTCCCCCATTTCAGAGACAAGAAAAAAAAACTAAAAGCTAAAGAACAGAGATGTTAAATAATTTGTCCAATAACATATAACTAATCAGCATCAAGTTTAAAAGGCTAGGACTATATTTTTGCTAATCCCTAGTCAGCTTCATTCATTAAAGAGCAGAAAATTAAATCAAGGAAATTTGAAAACTGTGCAGGTGTACAAAGCAACTAAAGACAGTTCTGAAAACTGAGTAACTTTTCCACATGAGCCTTTAATCTGCCTGAAAGAAAATAACCTAAGAAGTTATTCACACTCTGCTCTCAAAAGGAATAACCTTTATTCTCAAGAAGTCACTAATATTAGCCCTTCCTATTTAAATACTGTTTATGTGTTGGGGGTATCAAAGTTTTCCTTCTTGACAGAGGTCATGAATTAATTTTTTCCAAGAGAAAAGCTTTAGAAGATAATATTGCTGACACAGACATGTGAAATATGAGTAAGAAATCACAATTTACATAGACAGGCAAGGGACTGAGGATTCAGAACAAGCACCCAAATGCCACCCTTCATTTTCATACAAAGTGAGAAAATGTATGTGTTTACTTCAAAATAAATGTTCCATAAATCATGTTAAAGCCTTTTAATTATTCATTAAAACACACATCAGAATTCTAATACAAATAAATTAGAAGTGTATTTTTGAATAGTCTCTTGAGATAACTATTCCTTCTCAAAAATAGCTTTGTACCTAAATAAATTTTCAGTCAATCATTGTGGAGCTGAAAACAGGACAACGAATTATGGCATTTAACAATCTACAATAGAGAACTCACAAATTCGCTTGCAGTAAACAGCTTATACTCTTTATAAATCTTCAATAAGTTTTAAGAGTTCCTATATTCCCAACAGAAACAAAGACAGAAGGTTGCCATTTGCCAAAGTAAATCAAACAAAACATTTCTGAAATCACTCAGTGATATAATACAAAGTATTTATGAGGCAGAGGCTGAGAAAACGATTCTAGGCATCGGGTCTGTTCAACATTAGAAGTCCCAAGATTACCAGAAGTACACTGGACCACAGAGAAATAGGGAATTTTAGCCTAGGTAGGATCCCCAAATCAAAACAGGCATCCCAAGACTATGCATCTTAAATGAATAATGGCCTGAGTTTGTTTATTGTGCTTCCACATTGCATATCCTTGTCACTAGTAGCTCCCTAATCATTCAAGTCATTCAACAAGCACTGATCAAATATCATTTGTGCCAAGCACAGTGCCTGGGTATGTAACAGACAAAAAAAAAAATCTGACTTTGTGATCTTTAAGGAAACAGAACCCACAAAAATTCAAGACTGCAGTGCAAACCATAAAATGTTCTAAGATTCCTGCGCCCCTAAGTGCTGGGTTTTTGGTGCTAACATCTTTACATATTATTACTATGGAAGTATACGTACAAGACAGGTAGAAAGACAAGACTAGGGATCAGGAAGCTCTGACTCTTTCTGTGGCTTTGAGCAAGTCTCTGGACCTGTACAGGCCATTATGAAAATGAAGTGTTCTGGATTAAATTATCAAGTCTTTCTAGTTCTAAAATTCTACGATTCTCAATCGGAAATTGTTTTTAATGGAGTCCTGTGGAATCTTAGGGGACATAGTAATCTAACTCTAGATGCTTCCAAGTGCTTTGATTTTCAGAAAACCAAAGAAGCATAAACACACCTTTCACTCACTCTAAAGAAGCCTATGTCCCTTCAGTCACTTATTAAAAGCCTGTCTTCCACGGAAGTGTTCTTTAATTTTCATTTCAAACATGTCTGTAATGCATATATGATTCAACTTTTAAAAATTAAAAGGGACATATTGTTACATATTCTAAATATGTACACACAGACCCTATTAAGTCAACACAATTCCTTTTCAACACGCTTCAGAGAATATTAAAAGAACTTTGGATAAATAAGAACATTAAAAAATATATGGATAAGATGGCCACCTAAATCCTAATTCAGTAGGTACAGTAAGAGAAATCAGGGGATTTGAAGAACGAGCATAGGACGAGCTACGTAATTTGTGGGGCCCAGTACAAAATTAAAATAGAGGCCTTGTTCAAAAATTTAAAACTTAAAGATGTTACAGCAGAGCATTAAAACAAGCTCTCACACAGTCTTGTGTGACTCTTCAGGGCACTTGCTCACGAAGTCAACACTGTTTCTCCTTAATGCTAACCCAAACATCTCAGTAACAACCCATTATGGAGCCAGACTCATCCCAACACTTAGGCATTTAAGCACTTAAAAATCAATATGGAGAACTGCTCAATTTAATACCTAGTGCTTTACTATCTTATTTTTAATAAAAAGAGGAGTAGAGCATATGGTGGCTCACAGTATAAAAAGACTATCAACTGAGAATGCCTAGGTTCAAATCTCACCTCTACCCCTACCAGCTACATGGTCTCGGCAGGTGACCTCACTTCTTTAGATTCACTTTCCCCTTCTATAAAAAGGGCATATTACTCACCTCATAGGTTATTAATAGATAAATTAATATGTGTAAAGTACTTAGAACAGTGCACAGCCAGCCAGGCATGGTGGCTCATGCCTGTAATCCCAATACTTTGGGAGGCCAAAGCAGGTGGATCACCTGAGGTCAGGAGTTCAAGACCAGCCTGGCCAATACAGTGAAACCCCATCTCTACCAAAAACACAAAAATTAGCTGGGCGTGGTGATGAGCACCTGCAATCCCAACTACTCAGGAGGCTGAGGCAAGAGAATTGCTTGAACCCAGGAGGCGGAGGTTACAGTGAGCTGAGATCATGCCATTGCACTCCAGCCTGGGTGACAAGAGCAAAATTCCATCTCAAAAAAAAAAAAAAGAACAGTGCATAGCCCATATTGCTACAAAAGACATATTAGCTATTACCTTTATCTGGAAACAAACTTCACAGGCAATCAATCTAAAAGGCAAGCTTTAGCTTCTAGAAGTTATTTCTTTGATAACTCAATTCCACATGTATTTACTAAACACCTACTCAGCAACTTCCCTATAGCAATGTCTCCTCTTCCTTTAGTAGTATTCTCTTTACTGGCTACTTTTGCTTCCTTGATAGAAAAAAATAAAAATAAAAATAAATAAAGTCACTTGACCATAGTCTTTTCAGTACTGTTAATCTGGCTAAGGTGGATACCTAGTTTTTGAAAAATATTTTCAAAAAACTTAAAAAAAGCAAAAGATTTTGGCTAATAGTGAAAAGTAACATAAATGACACATCTGAATTTTATGCTTACATTTAAATGGTATTCTTCCTATGACTTTTTTTTATCTTTTAAAAATAGGTATTTGGCCAGGCACAGTGGTTCATGCCTGTAATCCCAGCACTCTGGGGGGCCAAGGCAGGGAGATCACTTGAGGCCAGGAGTTTTGAGTTCAAGATCAGCTGGGCCAAAACGGTGAAACCCTGTTTCTACTAAAAATACAGAAATTAGCCAGGTGTGGTAGTACATGCCTGTAATCCCAGCTACCTGGCTGAGGCACGAGAATTGCTTGCACCCACGAGGCAGAGGTTGCAGTGAAGTGAGAGAGCACCACTGCACTCCAGCCTGGGCAACAGAGTGAGACTCTGTCTCAAAAATAAACAAATATAGTTATTTAACAATGTGTAACCAAGTGAGGGCAGTTCTACATAGACATGAAGTAATATGGATTCTAAACGTCTTGTCTACCATCTCATATATACCATATTCTCTTTTGTGGCAGTGAACAAAACCTTTTATCAAGTATCTTATATTCAATTACTAGAATAAAAAATTAAAATAGTCCTAGCAATAAAACTTCATTGAAATTACACTTTAAATTTGTAAATTATTCCAAAGTCTTTATATACATTCAATTTGTGAAATTTTGTTTCCCTATTTAAAGCAGTATGAGTCATTAGATGAAAAACAATACAGTACCCTTTTTTCTTTGTCACTAACATACATGGTTAGAATACAGTACACTTTCAAGCTTATATGCCTGTATCATGGAACTACACATTGACAGAGTTCAGAGTTTCATATGGTAACTTTTCCTAAGTGTTTTTTTTAAATTGGAAATATATTAGTAATAATACCACTAACCAAAAGGATGGATGCCCATTGGAAATTTAAAAATAATCAAAAGACCCAAATCTATATATGGTCCCTGTATACTATGTCCCTGTATATCAGACACAGTTCTTAAATTTTAAGATAGAAGAAAATTTCTATCCTACAGAAGGAACAAAAAGAAATAGTTTCTGAGCTGTTTAACCTCCCAACAAAATTATCCTAGGCGAAAAATCACAAGTACAGCACAAAAACATGTCACCAAATCAGGATTTGTGTCTCTAAACCAATATATACGTACACAGGTAAGTTAAGTTTCTGGCTGTGACTGAAGGTAGAACCGCCAAAAGTTTAGAGCTTGTATTAGCTAAAATAAGGGCCCAGCTAGCCAAGGGATCAGCGGAAAGTTTTGTTGATTATAAATAAAATCGGGTCCATTAAATAGATAAGGACGATTGCTTCATTTTCTCACTTACCAGCAATGATAGAAGACTCCCTCAGATCTTAGTACAAACACAACCTCTTATGGAACTCGTATCATTAATGGTAAAGATATTTTAAAAATTACTCGTCAAGCAAATTCTCAATTTTCCTGACTTTCCTGCCTTGCTCAAGTCTACCGTTCTGAAAACCAGAGTTACAGCCCTAAGTGAAAGCCACTTAAGAGTCGTTAACATGCATGCTTTGAAGTGAGAATGCCAATTAAATAAAGTGCCAATCAACTTTAGGCCAAAGGGACTGTCGCTGGCCCTGACCTGAAGACTGGGAAACGTTAAGACCCTTTACTGTCAGAGCTGCCCTAGTTAGAGACTACCAGGATGGGGGCCTCACTTGGGTGCTGGAAGGTGAGGAGAAAGTTACAAGAAAGGCCTAGGAATTGAATGCGTGTAGGTTGGGTGCACTTACAAGTAAGTGTAAACTGCTCTTCCGCTCAAGTTTATTAATGCTGCCCCACCCTGAGTATTAATCCGGTTTGGGCAGAAGAGGCCGAAAAAAGCCAAAGAGGACCGTAAAGTATAGAATATTTCCTGGTTAGTGGCTGCCGGGTAATCGTGATGTATCCATCTTCCTCGGCGTCGTAGCCCTCAGTAGCCGAACGGCAGTCTCCTTCCCTGGGGGGCAAAAGCCCCAAGCCCAGCCTGCCCGTGGCCCTGCTCCCGCGGCGGGTGAACCCCGACCCTTCCAGGCTCCTTCCCGACCTGGGGGTCCCAGGCCCCCCAGACCCTGGGGTGCGGCCCCACTGAGGCCCAGACCGCGGGAAGGAGGCCCCGGCACTCGGGAGCGGAGCCTTGTCCCGGGAGCGCACGGAAATGCCTTCTCCACGCTCCCGGGGTTCCTGCTCCGCCAGGCCCAACCGGAAGGAGACCTCGGGCCGCCGCGGGGCTCCACTGGGCCGCCCGGCCCTCCAGGCTGCGCAGGGCCTACCTCGGTGTACAACTAGGGAGCAAACCCGGGGGGGCCACGCCGGCCAGGGCACCTCACCGTGTGTTCGTGCTCGTCCGCCCGGGCCCGGGGCAGCAGCAGCAGCAACAGCGCGGCGGCCGCCGCCACGCCAGGAGCGCCAGGCAGCGGCCTCATCCTCCGCGCCCCCACCGGCCCGGCGCCGGCCCACCGACTCCTCCTCCGCCGCCGCCTCCGCCGCGGCCGATTCGCATCCACGGGGCGCGGACAGACGCACGGGGCCCAAGCCCAGCCGCTGCCTCCTCCGCCGCCACCGCCGTCGCCGTCACCGCCCGCTCCTGAGCCTCCCCCGCCCCCCGCGCCTCCTCAGCCTCTTCCTCTGACTCAGCCACGTCATCCGGCCACCCCGGCACGCGCCGGAAGTGCCTTGCTACGCGGGGCCGCAACCGCAGCCGAACCGAGGGAGGGCCACGCAATCGCCTCCCGCGCGCCGGCTGCCACTTGGCTCCCGGCAGCCGCGGCGCGACCGGCCTGGCGAGCACTGGGGCGGGCGCGGAGCAGGCTGGGCCTCCACGCAGTGGCCTGGCTTGCACCACAGGGACGAAGCCCGGCCGCTTCCCGGCGGCGTCCCGGTGTTTCAAGTTGTGTAACCTTGGCCAAAACGCTTAGCTTTCCCTGGCTGCCATGAGGCCGATCGTCTGACCTGCCGCCTCCGGAACTTGAGGGATCAGATCAAATAACCCTTTCTAGGCGTTCGTCTGCCGCTGTGAATGAATCACGGGCTCCTGTAATCATCTAATCATTGTTACGAGAGATTGTTAAACTCGTGCAGGGTTAGATAAGTGATTTAAAGTCACTGGATACTTAAGGGATCCGTACTATTCAATCAATAAATGCTAAGTAGCTTGCCATTCTTGTTCATTTTGTGTGTTAACTACTTCTGGGTCTCCCCTACCCAGTCATAAATACCTCTTGGAGTGTAAGCTCCTCGGAGCAGAAACCCTGTTTCCATATTTCCTGTGCCTAGAACAGTGCCAGATCCATAGGAGAGACTCAAAAAAAAAAAAAAAATCAAATACACAAATATGTCACCTCCATTTACACAATCCTCTAAGCCAAAAATTTGGAACTTGTCAGATTGTCTCTTCTCGGCCATCAGCAATCAACAAGTTCTAGCATTTGGTCTCTTAAAGGTGGTTCAAGAGTTTATTTTTCCTCTCCTTCCTCTGCCAGTCTTCCATATCACTATGTATTGAAAGAGTCTCCCAAGAGGATCTCCGTCACTAATCTTCCTTCCCTGTTTATCATCCCAACAGGTGCCAGAGTGATCTTTCTAAAAAGAAACCAGATTATATCGCTCACTCCCTTGTTTAAAACACTTCTTGAATATTAGGTAAATAAATCATGGAGTCACCACGAAGGTTTTCATCTGCCAGACACTATCCTGAATGATATTGGCTCATTAAATTCTCACAAAAACCCTATGCAGCAGGTACGGTGAAAATGTTCATGTTACAGAGGAGGTGGCTGAAGCACAGAGAGCTCGAGTGTCTTGCTGAAAGACCAGACCCACTCAGTCTGGCTCCATAATTGGTCTTTTTGCTGCTAATGATCTACCAACTACACAGCCACTTTTAAAAAATGAAATAGATAAGTACTGGCATGGAATGATAACCAAGAGGTAATGTTAAATTTTTAAGTTGAAGAAAGTAGAATTTAATTTCATTTTAAATGGCAATATGTTAGTCTGCCCATAGAAAACAATCTGGGATGATCCAAGATGGCCGATCGCTAACATCCCGGGATTGCAGCTCTAGGGGAAGGCGCGGAGAACTAGAGGACGCCACACTTTCAGACAAATTCTGGTCGCTCACGGAGCAGGAGATCCCCCAGTGGAGGAAACACACGGGTGGCCAGTGCGACTCTCGTGGTCGGCGCAGCGGTTCCGCTGGCACCTCGGCGGGGCAGCGCTAGGCACAGAGTAAACGGGACGGGTTCCCCTTCTGACCGAGGTTTGGAGCCCCGGGAAGGCAGAGTCGCCTACTAGGGACACAAGAAGGACGCCCGACAGGAGAATCCTGGGCAGAAAAGCACCATCAGTTTTAACGCCGCTGCTCTGGCCCTGGGAACTAACAACCTGGACGTCCACTCAAGAGACCTAATCTGAAAGTTGGTAATTTCAAAGACGACAGGAGGATAAATTTACAATGACGGGAAGAAACCAGCGTAAAAAAGCTGAGAACACTCAAAGTCAGAACGCCTCTCCCTCTAAAGATGATCACAGTTCCACATCAACAATGGAACAAGGCTTGATGGAGAACGAGCGCCTCCTGATGACAGAATCACTCTTCAAGGAATGGATAATAAGAAACTTCGGTGAGTTAAAAGAACACGTTGTAGCCCAATGTAAAGATACTAGGAACTTTGAAAAAAGGTTTGATGAAATCCTACTGAGAATAGACAACTTAGAGAGGAGTATGAGTGAATTAATGGAACTGAAGAATACAATACAGGAACTCCGAGAAGTATGCACAGGTTTAAACACTCGAATTGTTCAAGCAGAAGAAGGGATATCAGAGGTCAAAGTCCAACTTAATGAAATAAAACGTGAAGAAAAGATTAGAGAAAAAAGGATAAAAAGGAATGAGCAAAGTCTCCAAGAAATGTGGGACTATGTGAAAAGACCAAATTTACGTTTGATAGGTGTACCTGAATGCGACGGAGAGAATGAATCCAAGCTGGAAAATACCCTTCAGGATATTATTCAGGAAAATTTTCCTAAACTAGCAAAGCAGGTCAACATTCAACCCCAGGTAATACAGAGAACACCACAAAGATATTCCTCAAGAAGAGCAACCCCAAGGCACATAATCGTTAGATTCACCAGGGTTGAAACAAAGGAGAAAATACTAAGGGCAGCCAGAGAGAAAGGTCAGGTTACCCACAAAGGCAAGCCTATCAGACTTACAGCAGATCTCTCAGCAGAAACTCTACAAGCCAGAAGAGAGTGGGGGCCGATATTCAACATCCTCAAAGAACAGAACCTTCAGCCCAGAATTTCATATCCAGCCAAACTAAGCTTCACAACTGAAGGAAAAATAAAATCTTTTATGAACAAGCAAGAACTCAGAGATTTTATTACCACCAGGCCTGCTTTACAAGAGCTTCTGAAAGAAGCATTACACACAGAAAGAAACAACCAGTATTAGCCTTTCTAAAAATATACCAAAAAGTAAAGAGCACCAACATAAAGAAGAATTTACACCAACGAATGGATAAAACAGCCAGTCAACATCAAATGGCAGTAACCCTAAATTTAAATTGACTAAATCCCCCAATCAAAAGACACAGCCAAAACCCAATGGCATGTTACATCCAGACCTGTTTCACATGCAAGGATACACAAAGACTCAAAACAAAGGGATGGAGAAAGATTTACCAACCAAATGGAGAGCAAAAATAAATAATAAATAAATAAAAAGCAGGAGTTGTAATTCTCGTATCGGAGAAAATAGATTTTAAAGCAACAAAGATATAGTGGTAAAAGGATCAATGCAACAACAAGAGCTAACAATCCTAACACCCAGATACATAGAGACTTAGATTCAATGAGACACAAAATTAATAAGGATATCAAGGACTCGAACTCAGATCCGGAACAAGTAAACTTAATAAATGTTTATAGAGCTCTCCACTTCAAATACACAAAATATACATTCTTGTCAATACCACATCACACCTACCCATTAGTTTAAATGAAACATTGATTGGCCATTATTAATACTCAATTTTTTTCAAAATAAAGCAATATTTCCATTTACTCTCCCTCTTTCTCTTCCTCTTTCTTCCTCTCCTTTACTTTTTTTTTTTTTCTTTCCTTCTCTCAAAAAGAAATCAACTTGTAAACCTCTAGATCCAGGTCGGCAATGTCTCTCTCATTGCTTGATTTCCTCCCTTCCCTTCCCTTCCCTTTCCTCCCTCCCCTCCCCTCCCCTCCCCTCCCCTCCCCTCCCCTCCCCTCCCCTCCCCTCCCCTCCCCTCCCCTCCCCTCCCCTCCCCTCCCCTCCCCTCCCCTCCCCTCCCTTCCCTTCCCTTCCCTTCCCTTCCCTCTCTCCCTCCCTCCCTCCCTCCCCGCTTCCTCCCTTCTTTCCTTCCTTCCTTCATCCCTTCCTTCCTTCCTACCATCCTTCTTCCCCCCCCAAAAAAAAAAAAAAAAAAAAAAAAAAAAAAAAAAAAAAAAAGAAAACAATCTGAAAGATTATGACAAACCATTAATTCAGTGGTTAGCTTTCGACTTTGTACATGCCTATAAATGTTTGGTTGTTTTTATAGTGAGCATGTGATAACTATGTAATCAGAGAAACACAGTTCCCTGCTAAAGGATAAAGTCCAATTTTTTCCCTGTTAACTTGCACCTGCACCATTAGACCCTAATTTATCTCCCTAACTTTACTTTCCACCAATCTCTATGCTCTGCCTTCACCCATATATATTTTTACACCTCTGTGCCTTTGCTCTTTATTCTCCCTTTGTCTGGAATGCTCTGCTTCACCTTGTGCATTAGATATTATCCTTTCAGACCTAGCTGATGATCACTTCCTCAGTAAAACCTTGCATGATCTTTGGGAAATGGAGCATTCTTTCTTTGGGACTTCAAGCATTTGGCATGTTGTGCTGTAATTATTCACGTTTCCTTTTCTGTACTGCATTCCGACCTTTTTGATGGCAGGGACTATCATTTGTTTGTCTTGCACTATGTCAGCTGCTGACATAGTGCTTGTCACATCATAGGTATTCAACTCTTTGCTGAATGAATGAAGACATTAACGAGTGAAAAGCCAAATAGGATAGCAGGATTTGAAGAATGCTTTCTAGATAGTGTAAGAAACATCACAAGGCAGTACATGATTAATTGCTGAATGAATCATACACCAGTAATTGCTGTAGAAATCAGAGGAGGCATCTTATACATTTTTGTATATCCTCCAGAGCACCAAGCAGGGTGACTTGCTCATAGTGGAAGCTCAGTCAATTCTGTGAATGAATAATCACTGCTCTTGAATGAAGTGATGATGGGCAATAGAAGAACAAGCCGTTTAAGATGGATGTGTAGTTTCTTAAGCATCTATTGCTAGCCTCCACAGATTTGAGGTAGTATGCATGTTGGAGGTGATTTGGGGAGGACTAGGTTGGCAAATGCCTGGAGCTGGGGAGGACACAAGAAAAAGTGTAAAGTATTCATTTGGGGAGGATAGACTTAACACCAGGAAATTTTACACACACAACAGAAAACAGGCATGACAGTGTACAAAAAGGAACACAAAAGGTGGCCAACAAATGGTCAACAGGCAGTAAAAGCAATGGGCAGTGAGAGAACTGGAAAGAAATCCTATTTCAGAGGAGTATTTGGGAAAGTTTAATATCTAAGAGCAGGTAGAGCCATTAATTCAACGATTATTTATCAAGCATCTACTATGTACCAGGAACTCTGCTAGGTACTAGGGGAATTATGCTGATAAATGGCATTAGATGATACAAGTCTGACAACAGCAGGTATGGAAAGAGAGATAAAGTAACTGATTACAGTCAAAGAAGTATGGCTTCAAAGATCCTTGGAGCCTGATGACCTCAACAAGACAAAACAGTCAGGTCTCAAGTCACCATCAAAATTAGGGTTGTTTCACTAAACTGGGGAGTGAAAAACATTAACATATCTTATTTCACCACTTATTTCATCTAGATGAATGACCTCATTCCCTGACACCAAAAAGAATGGCAGGGGAGGAGAGGAAATGTCAGTGAAAGGAGATCCCCATCTCCCCCAGTGGCTATACAGCCTCATTCTATGGTAGTTCTAATAAGACTCAATTTTAATTAAAGAGCTTATGACCCACAAACAATCCAGAAAACTAAAATTTCAGTCTTTTATTTTCACTCTGGGTAAACATGATCATCAAAAGTATTCGGGTATAGGGGCCGGGTGGGGTGGCTAGTCTCTGTAATCCCAGTACTTTGGGAGGCCAAGGTGGGTGGATTGCTTGAGCTCAGGAGTTCAAGACCAGCCTGGGCAACGGAGTGACACCCCTGTCTCTACAAAAATTAAAATTATCTGGTCATGGTGGGATGTGCCTGTGGTCCCAGCTACTTAGGAGGCTGAGGTAGGAAGATGACTTGAAGCCAGGAGGTGGAGGTTGCAGTGAGCCGATTGTGCCAGACTCTGCCTCAAAAAAAAAAAAAAAGTATTAGTGTATGGATTAACCACCTATCTTCCACTTTCTATCATCACCTACTTTGAAATTCTGTTTCTTGGCCAGGTGTGGTGGCTCACGCCTGTAATCCCAGCACTTTGGGAGGCCAAGGTGGGCAGATCACAAGGTCAGGAGATCGAGACCATCTTGGCCAACATAGTGAAACCCCATCTTTACTAAAAATACAAAAATTAGCTGGGCACAGTGGCACATGCCTTTAGTCTCAGCTACTAGGCAGGCTGAGTCAGGAGAATCACTTGAACCCGGGAAGCAGAGGTTGCAGTGAGCCGAGACCATGCCACTACACTCCAGCCTGGGTGACAGAATGAGACTCCATCTCAAAAAAAAAAAGAATAAAAGAAATTCTGTTTCTTCCTTCTACTTTGTTAGGTTTGTCCTGCCAGTTATATATTGCAGCAGAGTGGGGGTGGGAGACAGTTCATCTATTGCTATTTGCCATTTTCCACCTCCACTGTTTCTGTTCTAGCTGAAATGTTCTAGACACAGATCTTCATGATTGCTCTGAGATCTTTCTTAAGGAAGCCATTACTGATAACATTTAGTTCTTGGACTGAAGGGCAATTAAGGCCATTAGTTTCCTTTTTTTTTTAAATAAATTTTTTATTTTATTTTATTTTTTTAAGAGATGGGGTTTCACCATGTTGGTCAGGCTGGTCTTCAACGCCCAACCTCAGGTGATCTGCCCACCTTGGCCTCCAAAGTGCTTGGATTACAGGCGTGAGCCACCATGCCCAGCCTAAGGCCATTAGTTTCTTTGTGTGGTTCCTCTTTCACTGTCTCTCCGTTTTTTAGCTAATCTGTTACAACAATGAGACAGAACAAGGAACAGCAGATGCCAATAATAAAAAAGCCCCTCGCCAATTAGGTGGTGATGCCACTAAGGCTGTCTCCCTGCTTCTTCCCACAAAGTGATTCCACTCCTTTTTCTGAGACTTAGACTTCACAGAGTCGAAGGGACCTGGACTGTTACAAAAGACACAACTCTCCACTTCATAGGGGATGAACCATGGAACAGTGTAGTCAAGTTATATGAACTTGTCAAGTGAGTAGCACACCAAAATAAAGAACCAGGTCTCCTGATTTCCAAAACAAACTTCTCTTCCCAGCACCATGCTAACTCTTACTGAAGAGACAGCAAAGACATTTTATCCTAAATGGGCTTTAGCGACTAGCCTAAATACTAAATTTGAACTCAATTAAACATGGACCCAAACAATGGTCACCAAGTCCTGGAACGGGTTGTGTGAGCCCCTTGAGATGTTCATCCCGTGTTATTTCAGAGAAATCTCCATTTCGATCTATTCCTATATGTTAATTATTGAAAAACAATAGACAATCACAAAAACAAATTGACCTTTTTGCGTTCCTTGAGCTGTTCAGGAAGAGCCCTCGTGACTGGGCCTCATGCCAAACAACTTGTTACAAAAGGACCGAGGGTCGCAGACTGCACCAAAGCTTCATGAGACCTTTCCTCCTCTGTGCATGGACAAATGGCTGACTCTGGAGCCCAGGCCGTTGCTTCCCTGTCTGGTGATGAATGCTTCATAGTCTGGTGAGTGTAAATATGTATTTCTTTTCCCTTATCCCCTTCCCATTGCAATTTGCTTATTATATCATTTGCTTATTATATCTGCATTGCCATTTATGTGGGATAAAATTTGTTTACCCTTAAAGGTATTGTGTGTGTCTTTTCTTCTCCCCTCACACGTTTTCCACACAGATCAGCTATGAACCTATTTTTTATGATTTTTATGAGAAAATGAATTCCAAGTTGTGCCTCAGAATTTATCTTTTCAACTCTACTCATTCCCTCACCACCCTTGTGAACACAGTATCTGGCCAGCAGGAATGAATGAAGAAGACCGTTTTATGTTCCTAATAACTTACTCGGAAATGAACAGAGCACAATTTATCCAAAGCAAATATTTATACAGGCAGATCCCTCAAAATTGAGGATTCATGTTTAGGAAGAATTTTTTAGAATTATCCAAATTAACCACTTGTCTTTCTCAGAAATAAATGTTACTAATGCTTCCTCCGCCAGCCAGCTGCAAAACCACACACTATTCTTTGAAAGAAGAACACAGAAAACCAACTTACTTCCTGGAGCATATAGGAGAGGGATCTAAAATCCTGGTGATACGGGAGTGACTAGAACCTTTTTTTTTTTTTTTTAAGTAACAAAGCTAAAAAGGGGGGTGTGTAACTTAGTTTGACTTGTAAAAATATTCACAGAAGTCATCTATATACTACCACTTGTGTATTTATGGTAGAGTATTAGAGATTATTCACATCATCGAGAATGTCAAGTTAAATTATTAGATTACGGCACCAACTTCTTGTTCATAGTTTCTCCTGTAATCCCAGCACTTCAGGAGGCCAAGGTGCGTGGATCATTTGAGGTGAGGAGTTCAAGACCAGCATGGCCAACATGGGGAAACCCCGTCTCTACTAAAAATACAAAAATTAGCTAGGCATGATGGTGGGTGCCTGTAATCCCAGCTACTCAGGAGGCTGAGGCAGGAGAGTCACTTGAACCCAGGAGGTGGAAGTTGCAGTAAGCCAACATCGCATCCCTGCACTCCAGCCTGGGTGACAGAGCAAAACTCCATCTCAAAAAAAAAAAAAGGGTCTCTCAGTCTTCATACTTTGTTGCTTATATATCTGCTTCTAGGTTTTAAGATAAAATAAAAGTGCTGGCCTAGGAACTGGAGGCCAGTTTAGCTTAGGGGAAAAGGCAACAGTGGTGATTATACCCAATAGCTTCACTTTCTATGGAGCAAGCTTGTAAAATCTTGAGCAAGGATGGTGGCAGCAGAGCTGTCTGCCTAAGCATCATGTAGAAAACTTTTTGATGGTTTCTTTGGACTCTAGCTTCTAGTGTTGTTTCTGATCCTCACTGTATTGGAAATCCGTGGTTTTGTTACATAGTATATTCCTACAAATGTGTACACATGTGTTGAGTATGTGGAAGTTGAATATATTTATGTTACAAATGAGCAGTTCTGTTTCTGGAAAGTGAAAATTTTCACCTCATCATTACATACATTCTTTGATAACACAATCCCAGTGTTTCATCCAAATGCTTTCATTTTCTTCTTTTACATATAACCAACCATCTTGGATATGAAAGGAACAACCAGTGAGGGCTTAAAATCTGCCGCTTTTGACTCAGCACTCCTGATCAGTTCCATCCATATCTCAAGTGTGTCACATTCATGAGACACAGGCTTCTCATCAGCAATTTCAATTTTATGTTTTCTACTTATTTTTATATAAGAATACAATGCAACAAAATATTTATATATTGCACAAACAGTGATGTGGATACAAAGATGCTAACAACACTGGCTGGAAGTAGACTTTACCATGTTACAATCTAAATGCTTGTTCATCAGAGAATGTACAAAATACTAAATTTGGCATCCAAAAGGGGGCTTAGAGTTATTGAATATTTTTTAAAGTGTCACTTTAATCAAATTCAAGTTTGCCTACGATGGAGACTGTCTAAAGTAACAGTAAGGGTGAGCATACCAACATCAAGATTCTTGTTCTTATCTCACATTCCCCTCTTTCTCCAAAATAAGTGACAAGGAGAGTAAAAGGACCATGAAGGAACATTTGCAGAATGTTACTAAGTGCCAGGCCCTGGACAAGGTAATTAATTACTACAAACACTCTCATGATGGACATGGCCAATAGTGTATTTTATGTCAAAAAAAACAAAAACAAAAACAAAAAACCCGACTCCAGAAGCTGTTAACTTCAGTAAGAGTCCTTGTTTGCGCAACTGAGGAATGAGACTGAGAAAGAACCTTGAATCATTTGAAAGGACCCAATAAAACTGGACTTAAATGGATCATTAATGTGGATTTTTTACATTGTGTGGGATAGAATGGGAACATTCTCATGGGAAACAAACGCATTTCAAATATTTTTTAAAGAAATAGTTCTGATTCTAATTTTACTGTATGTTTAGGCATCATTAAGGACCTCTGATTTGAAGGTAGATTTATGTCCCAGGGACTCGGAATTCATGACATATTTTAAGGCTCCACATTCTATGCAAAAATGGATTTACCAAGTGTGGAGGTAATAAGTATGTAAAAAATAGATAACTATAGTGGTACTTTGGTATCCATGGGGGATTGGTTCCAGGATCCCCCAATACCAAAATCCACAAATGCTCAAGTCCCATATATAAAATGGCATAATATTTGCATATAACCTACACACATCCCCCTGTATGCTTTAAATCATCTCTAGATTTCTTATAATATCGAATACAATGCCTGCACATCACTTCATTTATATGGATTCAACATAGTTCTTAGCATGCAGCAAATTCAAGTTTTGCTTTTTGAAACTTTATAGATTTTTTTTCCAAATATTTTTGATCCAAGGTTGGGTTGAATCCACAAACACAGAACCCATGCATTTGGAGGACTGACTGTATTTCTATTTTAGGTTTGCTTTTCCTCCTTAGATTCCTCAACAAAGAAAAAGTCAAAGGTCCTCCTCTCTCTCTCTTTATGACCAGAACTAAGACCTATAAAGGAAATAGAGCACTAAGTGGGGTCCCCGGAATCCCCAGCTTCAGGTTTCCAGCCACTTCTAGATGTTCTCTGGAAACATAACTGCGCTGAAACCATACTGAGGTATAAATTCCCAAATTGAAAAGAAAACAAACAAACAAACTTGGTAGTCTCATGCCTGGGAGATATGAAAGATGGAAAATTCTGGAAGACCAACAGTCAGGCACTGATGAATTTCTACATCTGGGCATTTCTTGAGGGAGAGAGGGCCTGGCTATTTGGAGATGGAAAATGTGGTGACCTAGAATGAGCAAGCCCAGTCTAGACTCACCTCTTCATTTAACTAACTGCATAGTCTTGGTTCCAGACTTCTGTGGAATCTCAGATTTGCCTTCTATATAAGAGGAGTTAGTACTAATCCCTCTCTAGTCTTTTTTAGTTTGTTGTGTGTGACCAGCCCTAGCACTTAAATACCCTGCTGAATATAGAGAAAAGTAGAATAATTATTTTAAAATTAGGTCACTTATCTTCTTATTTGAATACTACAAGTCTTATAACCTCTTCTAGAAATGAGACTGAACTCACAAATACATAAAGATTAATATAAGTGCATTTCAGTAAAATCACTGGTAAAGTACATTTATGATCAATCTTTTTAGGCTTTTGATATGGCAAATTAGAGGTAAGTATTTCTGATTAAGTCTTCATCCTTTCAGCAAACAAGTATATGGTTTGATATACTTGGCAATGGTGAATAAAACCCTTCATTTTTCACTTCTTCATGCCTTAATAAAGTCTTCAAGGCAAGCCCAAACCAGCAGGGCTGCAAAAATATCAGCAATGAGAATGAATCTTAAAGTCAACAGTCATGCCACAAAACTCAACAGGAAGACATCATGAACAGGCTGAAAACTGTGAGTCTTAAAGTCAGTCCTGAAGTAGGCAGGTTTCAGGAGATGGAATCAGCGTCCTCTGGGTGGAACAGGTGGAGGAGGATGGAAGGTCTCCCTGGACGGAGGCCTGAAATGAAAGCAACTCTATTTAAAAACGGATTTGATTAAATAGTTCTTATGCGTGCACAATTTGTTGTAAACTTGGTATGCTATGCAAAGGATACATTCCTCAATTAATGAGACAGGACACACATGAATGTTTGAGTGACTCACACGCTAGCTGTGGCTCCCAATCCTGGTGGCATATTAGAAACACCAGTGGAGCTTTTAAAAACACCAATGCCAGGGATGCATCCCAGACCCACTGCATTCTAAGTTCTACAGGCAAAGTTTTTGAAGCTTTTGAATAGCTCCCCTCCCCAACCAGTACTCACCATCCCTTTCATCATCTGATGCTTTGCCATATGGGGGCCTTGCTAACCCTGGAGAGACTGCCCTCCAGAGATAAGCTAATTCCTAGAAACAGCAAACAAACAGCCTGCCTTCAAGCACCAAACATGCCTTTCATATGCAAACCAACCAGTCCAGACCCATGCCCCAACCACCTCCTCTATGGGGCTTTCACACTCCACTTTATAGGGCCACCATTCACTTGCCTTTATCATCCTAGGGCCAGGTACCAGACAACTAGGGTCAGTCCATATGCCTCAGAGCCAATGAAATCATTCAAACTAGCCAATTCTAAATCTTACCCAGCCTCACCTGTTTCGTCCTATGGAAACCACAATAAAAGCTCTTGTCTGCTTTTTCCCATGCTCCTCTGCCTCCTGACTGGCCCTGATGCTTCCCCATGTGGCCCCCTACAGGATGATATATCTCTTCTTTTGGGATCTGTGGGATCTTGGGAAAAGATAGTTTGTTACACTATCTTTTCAATGGCAGTTGTCTCCTGCTGACTTTGCCATACCTAAATAATACCAAAACCTAGATTTTAAAACACCAGTGGCCGGGCGCGGTGGCTCACGCCTGTAATCCCAGCATTTTGGGAGGCCGAGGTGGGTGGATCACGAGGTCAAGAGATCAAGACCATCCTGGTCAACATGGTGAAACCCCATCTCTACTAAAAATACAAAAAATTAGCTGGGCATGGTGGCGCGTGCCTGTAATCCCAGCTGCTCAGGAGGCTGAGGCAGGAGAATTGCCTGAACCCAGGAGGCGGAGGTTGTGGTGAGCCGAGATCGCGCCATTGCACTCCAGCCTGGGTAACAAGAGCGAAACTCCGTCTCAAAAAAAAACACCAGCAATTCTAATGTCACACGGGAGACACACTGTAGCAGGAAGATCTGTTGAGAGAGGAACTGGAATTCTCAAAGTCTGCTTCTCATGACTGCTTCCTCATGGGATTACTGTTATCCCAACTCTGCGTCTGCCTTCCTAGAAACTTCCCTCCATGTTATTCTGTATGATTTTGAACAGTCTTAAACAACATTCCAGGTAGACTAGGGTGAGTCTATTTACAGACAGGTTCAAGGCTTACAGATGGCATTTCCACATGTGTGCTGTAAAACCAATATTTAATTCCCTTGGAAACAAATCAATAAGTCAAGAAAAAGAGCTTTGTTAGGTGCTGTAATTGAACTGTGCTGCCCTGGAGTTGCATACGTGATTGATTGAATCATTGAGTAAATAGGTACTAAACGTCTCTTGAATGCAAGATTTGTGTAGGTCAAGGAAATGACAACAGACTTGGGAAAAGAAGGGCTGTCTCAGGAGCAAGAGAGAGAGGCAGGAGCAGAACATAAGAAGCACAGACAACCTCGGGAGATCCTGCCCTAGTCCGGGACTAGATGGCTTTGTGCAGTTATCATTGAGTGGCTGAGCTTTATCACATGAAAACAAAAGGATGGTCTCCTTCCATCTCTTCAGCCTGCCCTGTGAGCTTGGGCTTATAGGAGAAAACCAAGGGGCAATCAGGTGATACCACTTTAACCTGGGCAAATTTAGCCTGCCCACCTCTCTGCTGTCTTTCTTTCATTCTTTCAACAAACATTAATTTACTTTATATCTACACCTGGGTATGGGATATAATATCAAGTAAAGTGGTCATGGATTAGGTCCTCAAGATGATGCAAGTGTGTGGATGAGATGGACAATAGGCAAAAACCTGTAAACTCTATGGAGTGTTTTGACAGGGAAGATTTAGAACCTAGAGGAACATATACAGAGACATTTATGCACACATCTCTGTGTGTGCAAGTTCAATGCCTCTGAAACTGTTTTCTCATCTGCCAGATGGAGGTACTGATCCATATGTTGGAGTGCCATGTGAGGCTTGGAGGTGACAGTAGGAAAGTAGGTAGGAGTTTCTGGCTTGGAGTAGGCACTCAACAAGTAAAGCTAATACTATAATGATGATTAAAGATCTGTTCTGAAATCTTTACCTGTTCCCCAGGTATGCCTGATGAGACTTACATTTTATCTTCCAACACAAAGACAACCATGATTTCCTCCCAGCCCCTCTTCTTCTTTCTGCTGCCACACTCTGCAGTTGGGGTGGGCCTATGGATATACCCTCTTTAGGTTTCATTCTGAGGAACAACTCCAACTAAAGATTGGAAGCTACATCTCAAGGAAACTTATTTATAATTACAGACATATAATTACAGGTTTTTGTTGTTTTTTTTTTTTTTTTGAGACACGGTCTCATTCTGTCATCTCGGCTGGAGTGCAATGGCATGATCACAGCTCACTGCAGCCTCAACCTCCTGGGCTCAAGCAATCAGCCCGCCTCAGCCTCTCGAGTAGCTGGGACTACAGGCACACACCACCACATCTGGCTAATTTTTGTGGGTTTTTTTTTGTAGTGATAGGGTTTTTCCATGTTTCCCAGGCTGGTCTCAAACTCCTGAGCTCAAGGGATCCACCTGCCTTGGCCTCCCAAAGTGCTGGGATTACAGGCATGAGCCACTGTGCCTGGCCAGGAGTGTGAAGTTTCTTTCTCCCATCTATAACCCACCTGCATGGTGGTAGATGACTTGATGGCTAATTTTTTAAGAGCTCGGGAAGTCCAACCCAAACAGTACCAATCTTTCCTTCCATCCATTCACTTAACACAGTGAATATCTTTTAGGTTCCTAGTATGTGCCAGTTACTTTGCCAAGCACTAGGGATAGGAGAAAAAAAAAATCAAAAACAGTTTCTCACAGGTTTACGATTTCACTGAGGAGACACATCTACACAAGGGTTGCAACAGGGAGTGTATTTCTAGAATATAGAACATAATAGGAGTGCTTGTGAAACCAAAAGAAAAAGATTCACTCTGCATGGAAACATTAAGGAGAGTTCACAGAGGAGGTGATGTTTGAACTGAGTCCTAAAGGATGTATAGGCATTTTCTAAGCAGAGAGTAGAAGGGAGTAGGAAGATAGCATTCCAGGCAAAAGGAACAGATTGGGCAAAGAAACAGTACAAAGTGGCAGAGCTCACTGGGAATGCTGAGCAGTGGAGCATCAGTGAACACAGGAGAGGGGTAGGACTTGAGCTAGGCAGAGCCAAAGAATACTGAAATACATAGAATTAAATGTGAAGGCTTTTATGCCAGGCAGTGGTATCATCAGCTATTCCTGTTCTAGGAAGAACACTCTGGCTGCTGTGTGGAGGAGGGAGTGACAGGAGGTAAAGAGGTAAGTGTGGGCCTTTAAGAATGAACTTAGGCACTGGCAGATGGAAAGGAGCATGAATCTGACCACTGAAAGAGCGCAAAATGGACAGAGGCTGGAGACGCACTGGATATGAGAGCTACAAAGGAGGCAGGGCTTGAGGATGACTCCCAGGTTTGGGGCTTGGGGAAGGGAGAGAATGGTGCCATTATCTCAGGCTGGGAACTCATGAGAAGGCAGTTTGGGGTAGAGAAGGGTAGGTGGGCTGATGAGTTCAGTTTTGCACAGGCTATGTTTGAGATACCGGTGAGGTCCCTGAGAGAAGATTCCCCAGTCAACTGTAGGAAAGAGAAGGCTGAGATGGAGATGGAGACTTGGGTCTTTGTCTACTGGTGGCAATTCAGGCTCTGGGACAGCATGTAGAGCAGAGGCATGGACCAGAACTGGGACGGAGGGACATGTGAGATGGAAGCTGTACCACCAATGCTGTTTGGTTGGGACCAGGGGTGAGTGGGGAGGTTAGAACACAGATAGAGAAGAGATGCTGATTCCCAGATCTGACAGTGGAGTGTAAGACACCAAGATCAGCCTTCAATCCTGTCTGTAAGCAGGGAAAGCACTGAAGCCATTCCGGAGACAGGCCTGTTTTATTATCTGCTCAAATATCCCCTTGTTTTATTGTGAAAATGGCATACACATGCACAAAATAATTGCATACTCACAAATCTTTTTTCACACCAAAAATGCACCCAAACCCCACGTTCTATCAATTACAAATTGCTTTGTAAGCATTGTTTCTTTAGCAAAAAGTGTTTTCCTCCTTTTCTCTCCCCATTTCTATCACAACATGCTTCCAGACTTCCCAGGTAATTCAACCACCATCTCTTTTTACACATTTACATGCTTCCTACTTTCTATCCTAATTTTTGGAACCTGTTTCCCTGGCTGTTGTTTTTTTTCTCTTCTGTTAACAAAATCCCACAGAATCTTTGTAGCTAAAGTTTCAAGCTTGACAACCCTTTTCTCTTGATACAATTAGACAACTGCCTCCAAAGTCCTCAACCTTCAGGAATAAAAGGCCTTGGATCTTGAACCTCCTCCCCTAATACTTAGACTTTCATGGACAGGTATAAAAGAATGCCTATGAGATGAAGTCTGGGAGTCAGGAGTACTCAGGTTTGCTACACAGAGCAAGTCTCAACCCAATCTCAAGCTCCAGTTCCTGCATCTGCAAAATGGGATAACACTAAATACCTAACCTGTTAGAGTTGTAGAGAGAATTAAACAGGATAATACATTTAGTGTGCTTAACAGAATACCTGCCACATAGTAAGTCTCAATAAATAACAGCATTTATCACCATCACTGCTCTTGGTAACCCCTCCAATCACCAACTATGTAATAATTTTCAAGCAACAGGGCATAATGCAAATTCAGTGAATGGGACTAGATTATTGCTAAGCTTCCTTTCAGGACTAATATTCTAATCCATGCCCTCCAGTCTATGCCAGGGAAGCATGCCCAGTGGGTGTGATGCAGCTTGGAGCTGGCTGATGTTTGAGTAGCAAGTGCCAACATATAAATGTTGCTGGGAGGACACGGGAAGGTGATAAATAGCAAAGGGAGAAATGGAAAGATCCATAGCACGGAGCCAGCCTCTCTTTCCAGAAAACCAGAAGAAAGGCCTCCTTGTTGCACTTTCTCAACTAATTCCACTGATGAGCTTCATCTAAAAGTTTCAAAATGCAAAAACACAAAACAAAACCCTGGTTGAAGAAAAGCTTCCTCCTTCCTTATGCCCCATCAACACATGCACAATTTATTTTAAACATCAAAGAATTAACTCCTAAGACAAGCCTTGGCTTTTATTCCCAAGGGCTCCTTTTTGCATCTATGGACACACAAGCCAGCTGTAACCACGTTTTCTTACTCCACAAGATCAGACCATAAAAAGGTTCCTGCCAGAGGCCCAAGTATCATATAAACAAAGACATACATCAGAGTCTAGTACATTAGTCAAACTCTTTAGTTTAATGTTCATCTCCAAATTTCTTGGTATTAAACTCCCCTCCTGTATTAAAAAAATATCACTTATATTGCTGAGCTCTTACTATAGGCCAAGAACTCAATGTTTATGACTCTGCAGACTGTTCTGTTATTATCCTCATTTTATAGACAAGGAAATTGAGGCCGAGCATGGTGACTCACGTCTGTTTTCCCAGCACTTTGGGAGGCTGAAGCAGGCGAATTACCTGAGGTCAGGAGTTCAAGACCAGCCTGGCCAACATGGCAAAACCCTATCTCTACTAAAAATACAAAAATTAGCTGGGCATGATGGAAGGTACCTGTAATCCTAGCCCAGGGGGCTGAGGTGGGAAAATCACTCGAACCAGGAGGCGGAGGTTGCAGTAAGCTGAGATTGCGCCACTGCCCTCCCGAGATACATGAATTCAAGTTTGCAAGTAGCTGCTAGTGACTTGACCCCAGGTAGGGGGGGCCCTACAGTCAGGCTTCCCACCACCATTCGATGCTGCCTGTCACCTGCATTTTCATTTCCAATCCTTCATATTTCCTGTTCCCCAAAAGGCACTGTCCCCACAGTCCAGCCAAGGGAATTCATTATTGGAGAGTTGAATTCTAGCCAAACTGATAAAAACTATTTTAAAAGTTGACATTTGTCAATGTATTTCATTTATGAAACATTTCATTTGCTATTTAAAGTATTTGCAACTGAATAATGCATCTCTTAAATTAGTAAAGGGTCCACATTCAAATGTGTCCAAAGCAGGTATTTCAGTTAGCTCTGTGCTAATTTTTTTTTTTTTTTTTTTCGAGACAAAGTCTTGCTCTGTCCCCCAGGGTGGAATGCAGTGGTGCAATCTCAGCTCACTGCAATCTCAGCCTCCCGGGTTCAAGTGATTCTCCTGCCTCAGCCACCCAAGTAGCTGGGACTACAGGCATGTGCCATCATGCCTGGCTAATATTTGTATTTTTAGTAGAGATGGGGTTTCACATGTTAGCCAGGATGGTCTCGGCTTCCAGACTTTATGATTTGCCCACCTCAGTCTCTCAAAGTGTTTGGATTACAGGTGTGAGCCACTGCACCCAGCTCTGTGCTTGTTCTTAAGTCATTTTAGGTGTCCCCAAGTCCTATTCTCCCCCAGAATTCAGAGATAAGGAAAAAATTTCATATCTTTTGATGTTACCTCTGTGAGGCAGCTCTTGGAGGCACCCTGGGGGGTCTTTCGAGGGACATGGTGGGTGTCCCATCCACTTGTGGGGGGGCTGGACTGCGGCTTCTGGTAACTTCAGGGACTTCATTATCCTACAGCAAACAAGATGAGAAAGAACAGCAAAAACTACATTCAGCAACCAGCCTAGCTGGACAACCATATCCCAAAAGCCCTTTGGCCCTCTTTAGGCTGGGGCTGAAGGTTGTTTGCAAACTGATAATCAACCTGGTCATATCTGGCATCGTTCCATTTCCTCCTGGAGTCACTGAGGAATACAGTCTGGCCCCAATTATCATTAACTGCCTGGACTCTAATTACTTGCTACCCAAATTGTGCTCTGTGGCCGGTCAGCATCAGCATCAGTTGGAAGCTTATTAAAAATGTCCACCCGGGCCGGGCGCAGTGGCTCAAGCCTGTAATCCCAGCACTTTGGGAGGCTGAGGCGGGTGGATCATGAGGTAAACAGATCGAGACCATCCTGGTCAACATGGTGAAACCCCGGCTCTACTAAAAATACAAAAAAATTTCTGGGCACAGTGGCACGTGCCTGTAATCCCAGCTACTCAAGAGGCTGAGGCAGTAGAATTGCCTGAACCCAGGAGGCAGAGGAACGGTGAGCCAAGATCACACCATTGCACTCCAGCCTGGGTAATAAGAGCGAAATTCCGTCTCAAAAAAAAAAAAAAAAAAAAAGTGTCCACCTGAGGACCCTTCTCAGAAGGCTTCAGGGTTGGCGGTGACCCATGTGGCCCCTCCTGCTTGTCCCAGCCACCAGTCCCTAGATCAAGCTAGACACGTGTCCCACATTGGGCCAACATGGAATGGGGCCTCAACCTAAAGCAGCAACTTACTCTCTGCTCAGCGGCCTTGTGGCCTCAGGGGACTGTGGAGAAGCAGAAGGTGGCAGTGTGAGGGGAAAGAAAGCAGGTATGCGCAGAGAAGCAGAGACCAAAGAGCTTTTGGGCATGGGACACACAGAACAGCCCAGCTCCCTCTGGCAGGCCCTGCAGCTCCTAATCCAGACTTGGAGGGCAGCCCTCACCCCTGAGTCCCCTGAGACTCACCCTGCTCCTTCCCACAGATGCCCCTTTTGGTTTCACTAGTAAGAGTGAATTTCCAGCTGTCTATTTTCTTCCTTCCATTCTTTCCTTCTTTTCTATTTATTGAGGTGAAGTTAACATAAACGTAACCATTTTCAAGTGGGCAATTCAGTGGCATTCAGTGTATTCACAATGTTGTGCAACCTCTATCTAGTCTTAAAACATTTTCATCATCCCCCAAAAAAACCCTGTGTGATGGTGAATACTGTCAATTTGATTGGATTGAAGGATGCAAAGTATCAATCCTAGGTGTGTTTGTGAGGGTTTTGGCAAAGGAGATTAACATTTGAGTCTGTGGGCTGGGGAAAACAGACCCATCTTAATCTGGTGGGCACCATCTAAGCAGCTTCTAGTGAATATATAAAGCAGGCAGAAAAACGTGAAAAGGACAGACTGGCTTAGCCTCCCAGCCTACAACTTTCTCCCGTGCTGGATGCATCCTGCCTTCAAACATCGGATTCCAAGTTATTCAGTTTTTGAGTCTTAGACTGGCTTCCTTGCTCCTCAGCTTGCAGATGGCCTAATGTGGGACTCTGTCATCATGTGAGTTAATACTACTTAATAAACTCCATATATACATATATACGATTAGTTCTATCCCTCTGGAAAACCCTAACTAATACACCTTGTCCCCATTAAGCAGTTTCTTCCCATTCCTCCTCCCTCTATCCTCTGGCAACCACCAATCTGCAAACTGTCTCTGTGGATTTGCCCACTCTGGCCTTTCATATAAATGGAATCCTATAATGTATGACCTTTTGGGTCTGGTTCCTTTCACCTGAGTTTCTATCTCTTGTGATGAATCGACCCCTAGGACAAGATAGGTGGGGTGGGGTTCCAGTTCTCACCTCGTTGTCCCCCTCCATCCCACTGCTCACGCTGAGGAGGCTCCGGGTGCTGGAGCGGTTACTCATGCTGCCTAAGGGGTAGAAACAAAATCAGATGGGTTGAGGATTCTTTCAGGCTAAAATAGAGAACTCTAGCACTTATTTAGTTTTATTGACATAAATAATACACAAGCTGTAAGTATGGGATTCTTCAAACTTTGGCCATCTTAAACTTTTTTTTTTTTTTTAGAGACAAGGTTTTGCTGGAGTGCAATGGCACAATCACAGCTCACGTTAGCCTCAAACTCCTGGATATAAACAATCCTCCTGCCGTAACCCCCTAAGTAGGTAGGACTACAAGTGTGTGCCAACAAGCCCAGCCAGTTTTTTTTTTTTTTTGGTAGCAACAGGATCTCACTCTGTTTTGCAGGCTGGTCTTCAACTCTTGGACTCAAGCGATCCTCCTGCCTCAGCCTCCCAAAGTGCTAGAATTACAAGGGTAAGCCACTGTGTCCAGCCTTAGACCATTTTATTAGAGTTCCGTTTTCTTCAGCATAAAACAAAATTTTTCACTTTTTGATGACTAACTTTGGCATTACTGCTACCATTGACTGAGGGCTTTGAAAATGTGATTGCCATTTAACCCCTAAGAAAATCCTGTTTGATATTGGTGCTCCAGTTTGACAGACAAGACGCAATGGGGCTGACTCTCAGCTCTTCAGTGGTATTTCTAAAATCTGCAAGCTAACCTTGTTGCTGCAGTTTTTTACTTAGGAATTTTAGCAAACACGTATGTATCACCCATGCAGACACATCTCGTAATAAGGGGCCAGACCCTTTGACACAAAAGAAAATGCAAAGTACACACTCAAAGTATATATTTTTTTTTCCCAAGACAGAGTCTTGCTCTATTGCCCAGGCTGGAGTGCAGTGGCATGATTTTGGCTCACTGCAACCTCTGCCTCCTGGGTTCAAGGATTCTCCTGCCTCAGCCACCCAAGTAGCTGAGACTACAGGCATGTGCTAATATTTGTATTTTTAGTAGAGATGGGGTTTCACCATGTTGGCCAGGTTAGTCTAAAAACTCCTGACCTCTTGATCTGCCCACCTCGGCCTCCCAAAGAGCTGGGATTACAAGTGTGAGCCACCATGCCTGGCCCTCAAAAGTATAAGTTATGTTCATGGTCAGAATTGCGACTCTGTGAGTTTAGGCACTCGAGGCTTTTCAGTTGGGAATTTACCACCTGTATCATTAGAACAGCACTATCCAGTAGAACTTTCAGGTCATCTTTCATTGTGTGTTACCCAATATGGTAGCAAGTAGGAAACATGGCTAGTTCAACCAAGGAAATTAATTTTAAATTTTATTTAGTCATAATTAACTTAAAAATTTAAATAGCCCCATGTAGCCAGTGGCTACCATACTGGACAGCACAGCATTAGAATAAGCACATGGTGATCTAGCAGTGAAGAAGAAAGAATAAGAGTTAACCAACTAAAACAAGGAGATTTTAACTTTAATTTTCCAATATTCTCACTAACAACATAGTCAAGATCTTAGGTTTGCTGAATTTCCACTTCAGAAAGCTCCTAGCCACATAACTTTATAGGTAGTAGTTTTGGCTGCATTCTGGTATCAACTTTGACCTAATTAATTTAGATGTTAATTTGAATAGAGCAGATTAAGATTATAATTTTGAATTATTTATTGGGGACAGATTTTTACGTTTAAAATACTATGTAAAAATGTTTCTATAATCCAGGGGATGCAGAATTTGTTTATTAATGAACATGTGATCCTGTCCCTTTCTACTCAGTTACCCATACACAACACTGTTCAAGGACCAGGCTGTCTTTTTCTCCCTACTCTTCCCAGCCCACTCCTGTCCACAAGTCTAAAACCTCCTCAGTCTCCAAGGCTCAGGACAAATGCTATCAAAACCTTTCCACATTCCCCCTGCTAAAAGTAACCCCTTGAGCCCACAGGCCCCCAACCTTCTGGGGCTAAACCTCCCCATGCCATTCCTTCATGTTCATCACATTCCCTTACAATGAGCCATCATCTTTTTGAAGGTTATCTGCTAGCAAGAAGTAATAAAGCTGCCGCAGGCACCGGCTCCATGACTCCAGAAACTCATACCCATCAGTTTGCACTGTCCCTTCTGTTGGCATTCTTAAATCTTCAACCCCAATGTTTGGCTCTAAATCTTGGCCCTGGCCCTTCTCCTCTCCAGGCTGATGACTTGCTTGCCCAAATCCCCTCTGGGCTGCACAGTTGGAAAGAGACTCTGGCCCCAGCTCCCATCATCTTCACACTTGTCAGGGAGAAGGAGGGCAGTGCCCTCCCCTTGGTAGGCTTCTATCATCAGGGGAGAAGTATCGAACAAGCGTCTAACACCATGCTACTTTTGTACTTTCTCTCCTCCGTTACCAGTCTGCTAAAGACAGGCTCTGGTTCTTTTTCATCTCTGGTTCTCTAGCTCAGTATACACAGAGCTGTCCTCAGTATTTGGTGGATCAATGAGTGAGTGAAAAAAAATGAATATATAAAAGTATAATATGATTCTTAAGAAACTTAGTTACACTTGGAACTATTATCTGTTTTAAAAAAGAAACTTGGGCCAGACAACCTAGGAGGTCAACAGCCTTTCTGTTATGAAACTTTTGTTTGCTTAAACATAACACTGATATCTGGGCCTTGAATTTTTAGTTATAACCAGATTTAACCTGCAACTGTTTTTCTGTGGTTTCCAAGAGATGACAGCTGCACCATAATAAAAACAGTGCTGTTTTTAGGGTGTGATTCACAGGGTTAAGGGGCAGTTGGTGGATAAGCTGGGCCATCCTCACTCTCCCTCCCTGCCATGGGAACTATTTCTATTTGGAAGGCGGTACACCCCCACAGTTGAAAGCACAGGAAGATATGGATATGAATCCCAGACCCCCTGCTTACTTGCCAGGAGACTTGGGGCAAGTCGCCTACCCTCTCTGCTTCATTTTCTTATCTAGAAATTCACAGCACTGTTGTATAAAATGAACCCAAAAATACGGTGACATGCTTGGTACAGGGCATGCAAAGAGTAAGCATTTGATTAACGGAAGCAGCTCTCATTACCATCATCCATTTCAAGATGGTAGACTAACCACTAGTGACCCGCAGTCAACCCCCTGCCCAGGATCTTGCCCCCTGCCACACTCTAGCTTAGCTACATGACCCACTTTGGCCAACACGGCATTAGCAAGCGTGATGCAAGTCAAAGCTTGCCAAGCACTAGGACACTGGGGCTTTTCCCTTTGGACTATTATCTCTCCAGATCTTGTTGCCACATAAAAAATTCAGGCTATGAATTAAAGGCCATGTGTAGAGAGGCCCTGGAGGATGAGAGGCTTCCTTGGATGTTTCAGCCCAAGCAGAGCTTACAGCTGAATGCCAACTCTTGAGTGACCCCAGCCGACGCCACAGAGGAGAGACGACCCACCATCCCCACCGCGTCTTGTCCAAGTTGTAGGATCAGGCTTAAATAAAGGGTTGTTTTAAGCCACTACATGTTGGCATGGTTCATTGCATGGCAATAGATAGCAGAAACTGTATAACAGGGACTGGGTGCAGACTATAGCCACAAAGTAGAGTAAAATCCATTGGTTTGTCATTTAGTAACATTTTCTAACCAGATGAGCCAGCCATTCCTGGGCACTAAACCACTACATAAGGGGAAAAGTAGGTTATTCTTCTCATCTTCTCTTCACTCCAGGCTAGCCCCTAAAAACATGCATATCTGTCTTGTAAAATTTCCAGCTGTCACTCTCCTCTCCCACGCTGGGATGCATTGTCCACGCCCTGAGAGGGTTCTACCACTTCCCCTCTCCTCTTCCATAGGTCTCAGAGATAGAGATAGCCACCTGTCCCTTGCTCCTTCTGCCACCTGTGATTCCTGAGAATATCTCTCCCATTCCTGAACGTGTCAGAATTCTCAAATTGCCCCCAGTGAGCTTTGCATACAAATGATCACCCCCATTATGTAAGGAGAATTTTTCTCCTCTGCCCAGTCTAGACTTCCCAGGCAGTCGTAATAGGCTGTGCGTCTGTTTTGACAGGTAATGATGGCAGAAACATTCACCTGAAAGGGAGAGGAGCTAGGTTCTACTCCCACCTTTCCTGTTCACTGGTTATGTGCCCTTGGGCAAAATTCTCTCCCTCTCTGGCTCACAAATGCCCCATCTATAAAGGATGGAGGAAAACTAGTTCAGAGGTTCTTGACTTATGTCCATGGTGGGCAAAATTGTGTGTGTGTCACAGACCTGGGCATGTGTCTGAGAGACAGAGCCAAATTATATATCAGATTCTCAAGGGGCTTTGTGATGCAGAAAAGATTAAGAACCCCTGGCTTAGATAACCTTCCTGCTCCAACATGCATTATGGGGTTCTCTGCCCAACATTTAAGGAGATATGAGTCCTGAAATTCAGCTACTCTCTGGCTCTAGTATTGCTTTCCTAGCTGTTTTGTTAGCACTGAAATATATGAAAGAAGAGAAACTCAATCTATGTGGCTTGTGAAGCCAGTGTCTAGAGTCAGCTAACACTGTCCTGGATACAGGAACAAAGCCCTCAGCTCCCGCCTGTACATCAGCCTCTATTGTCTGTGCAATCAGACAGGTATTGAAGCTTGACAGCCAAAAGGAAGGCATTACCTAATTAGATCTTCAACCTGCCTGTAAAGTTAGAATGTTCAAATTTGAGTCCATTATTTTTTTTCTTCTTTTAATTTTACTTGAGTCCATTATTTTCTGATATATCTGACTCTGTGACCTTTCCTTTGCTTTATCACAGCGGGGGAAGCAGAAAAGAATAGTGGCTAAGAGTCTTGGCTCTGTATCCAGACTGAGTTCAAATCCTGGCTATTTCACATTAGCTATTTAACCTAGAACAGAGCACTAAGCCTCTTGCTTCCTTCTCAGGAAACAGAGATGATAGTTCCTACTTCACAGAGCTTTTGGTGAGAATTAAATTAGATAATCTATGAAGTGGTTTAGAATATAGTAAATGCTCAATAAATGTTAACTATTAGTATTAAGTTTTGATACTTAGGAAAGGGCTAGAGTAATAATTATACAACTGGGCTCCGTGAGATACAAAGCAAACCTTATAGGCAAACAGTAACTCTGCCCCATCTTTTGCACCTCTCAAACCCAAACCGGGCCCCACTGGAGATATCTTGGGCTCTTAAGAGGATGTTTCCTAAGGCCCAAGGGCGCAGGCTAGAGCCCAGCTAAGAAGACCCCAACCCCTGCAACCCCAGCAGCTCACTTGCTGTGCTGGAGGTGCTGTCTGTTTTCCAGTCTCCTCGTCTCAGCTCTGTCCTGGGGGGAAAGATGCTTTTCCTGGGGCCACTCTCATAGACTCCAAACTCCACTTTAGCAGGCAGGTGCTGTGAGTGCCGAATTGGGACCGTGATTTCCAAGTCTGGAATTGGAGGAAAGAGGGATAAGCTTCAAGATACCAGACTGTCACCAGCCAAGCTGCTCAGCAGCTTCCCTCTACCTGCCTCCCCAAGGGGAAGGGAAAAGATGACAAGATGGGGAGGGGCACTGGGTTGGTGGCCCCCTCTTCCTCAGCACTGAAACTGTCCTGAATCCTATGTGGCTGTCACTGGGAGACAGAAAAGAGGGACAGAAGAATGTGAGAAAGGAACACAGAAGCGCTTTTACATCAGGGAGCGGAAGGAACGAGCCATGAGAGAAAGGTCTGGGCCCTCAGCCCTGCCACTGAGCAGCTGTGGAAGTCCAGCAAGTCAGCTATCCACTCTGAATCACTCACCTTATATGAGGAGGGACATGTCCATCCTTGACTAATCACAGACTACCCTATACACCAAGCACAGTTCTGAGAGCTTTGGCATTTTTCCCTCATTTAATCCCCACAACACCCAAGAAGTAAATACTATTATTATCAATGCCAACAGCAACTAAGGTACAGAGAAGTGAAGCAGCATGTCCTGTCAAACAGCTGGTAAGTGGCAGAGCTGGGATTTGAACCCAGGATCCGGAGACCAGGCTCTTAACCACTGCTTGTACAGCCTCACTCTCTGCATAAAAGATGGTGGGTGGGTGGGTTGGGGGTAGCTGGCCCACATGGACAGTAATGACCCAGAAAGCTAATGAAAGGAGGTCCTTCAGATCTTCGAAAGATTTTGTGACTTGCAAGGCCCAAGGGTAAGAGAGCTGATGCCTCTGCCAAGCAAAGCACTGACCTGGCCTCCTTACTGGCTTAGCCCTGCCCAGAGATTTTCTCTATTCCTCCCTACATCTCTAACGCTGGGTTCTAGGAGCAGAAAACAGCTCCTCTAATGAGGAGGAAAAAAGTCTGGGAGCACCAGCACCAACTTCCTCCTGAAGACAAGATGTACTCCTGCTTCAAGGATCCCCTGGCTGCCTGGGACCTTCCCAAGCCCAGGCACAGGGTTTACACAGTGGTAGCTGTATAAACTTGGGTAAAAGAGGTGTTAGCTTTGGGGACGTGTCCTTTTATCTTCTGGTACCACTTCCTCCTCCGCCTCTACCCTTGTAGGGGACAGGCGTGGCAGGAAGTTCAGAGAGTCCAAGGGCAGTGGTGGCTCTACCTGCCAAAGCCAGAAATCTGGCGGGGTGAATGGATAAACCGGAACAGCATGAAGGAGCAGCGAGAGGACAGGGCACACCAAGGTCCCCAGTGAACATTGTGCACAGAGAATGTTTGGCATGGATTGTTGGCTTGCAGAGGCATGAGCCTTCCTCATCTGAAGACTCTAGCTCCAGGTGTAGTGTATGGTCCAAGTGTCCAACCAGCTTCCCAGGGTTTGTGTAATCCAGGTCTTTTTCACATGCTGGGGCTCTCTCAGCTACAACCATGCCATGGAAGCACCCGCTCCAGCTTGGAGCCACTTGGACAGAGGACAGCCAGGGGCACTTTCACATGGGTGCCACCCACAGCATCTTAGGAGACCAAACAAGTGACAGGCTTTTTTTCTTTTTCCTTTCAGCTCTGATCTAGCTTTTTAAAAATCTTTTTTTTTTTTTTTTTTTTTTTGAGACGGAGTCTCACTTTATCGCCCAGATTGGAGTGTAGTGGTGGTGCAATCTTGGCTCACTGCAACCTCTGCCTCCCAGGTTAGAGCAATTCTCCTACCTCAGCCTCCCAAGTAGCTGGGACTACAGGCACATGCCACCACGCCTGGCTAATTTTTGCATTTTTAGTAGAGACAGGGCTTCAGTATGTGGGCCAGGCTAGTCTTAAACTCCTGACTTCATGATCCACCCACCTTGGCCTCCCGAAGTGCTGGGATTACTGGCATGAGCAACCACACCTGGCCTAAAAATCTTTTTTTTTTTTTTTTTTTTTAAGGGAGATTCCAATCTGCTTAGTTAACTTCAAGGAGGCAATTTTTAAACTTCAACTAATTCTATAAAGAAGGAAAGTAAAATACACAGGGGGGTCAAAAGTTCAGAAAATCAGGTAGAACAAGTACGAATGTTTATAAAATCCTGATATTCTTTGAATAAAGTTACAGTGCTAGGGACAATTATCATGATTATATTGCATAGTGCTTTCCCAGATTGCATTTATATGCATTATTATAGCTCTTTCGAACTTCATGACTTTTCCATTAAGTAGGTAGGTCAGGTATAACCCTGGTGAGGAAACTGAGGCACAGAGCAGCTAAAGGAATTGCCGTGGATCATAAGGTGATTCAGTGACAAAGCAGGAATCAGAACCCGAGTTTCCTGGGACCCGGTTAGCTTCTCCATGTCCTGCCCCACAGGATACACCCAGAACACAAATATTGATTATCTTCTCTGTGAGGCCCTGGCTCTCACCAGCCCTTCTCTAATTTCCTACGCTATCAATGCTCTGTACCAGACCAGTAAGAGCAAACAACTCCCTGGGGTTGAAGAAAAACGGTCAAGTTATTAAGAACAGTCTTAATTTTCTTAATTCTCTTTGGCATTCTAACCCAAATTAAAGATTAATATTTTTTTTCCTAGGGCAAATGAAGTTCTCAAATGAATAGTCAGTCCCTGTGTTTAGAATGTGTTAGATTCTTCAAAAAGAGCCTTTATGCACAAACGTTATTCATCAACCCTAATTTTCCTACAGATCTGTGTTATAATGTGCCAATAATATGTCACATTTATTCAACTATAAATGATGCCCTTTCTTTGGCAAATGCTGCCCTTGGGCCTCCATATGCAGTACAGGGTCCAACTTCCAATTGCCTGAGGCTGTTTCTCATAGCAGAACGATGGGTGCTCCTCCCCCAGCAGGCCTTCACCAACAACTGATGGGGGCTGGTGTATAAATGTCCCAGCTCTCTCGCCCCTTGGGTGGGTGTTCTCCATTGACTTCTCCCTGTTTCACTTCCGTATCCCCACCATAGTACCTGGGATCACCTCCCACAGCAGCTATTTGCTCTAAAATCCTTATCAGGGGAGAAAAGTTCTAGAAATGGAAGTGGTAATGGCAGCACAACACTTTGAATGTACTTAATGCCACTGAATTGTATACTTTTTATTTTTTTGAGACAAGAGTCTGGCACTGTCACCCAGGCTGGAGTGCTGTGGTGTGATCTTGGCTCATTGCAACCTCTGCCTCCTGGGTTCAAGCGATTCTCCTGCCTCAGCTTCCTGAGTAGTTGGGACTAGAGGTACATGTCACCACATCCAACTAAGTTTTGTATTTTTGGTAGAGACAAGGTTTTGCCATATTGGCCAGGCTTGTCTCAGACTCCTAGCCTCAACTGATCCTCCCACTTCAACCTCCCAATGGCCTCCCAAAGTGCTGGGATTACAGGTGTGAGCCACCACACCTGGCTTGAATTGTAAAAGGGTTCAAGGTTGGGCATGGGCAGATCACAGGGTCAGGGAGTTTGAGACCAGCCTGACCAACATGGTGAAACCCCGTCTCTACTAAAAGAATACAAAAATTACCCAGGCATGGTGGCGTGTGCCTGTAGTCCCAACTACTCAGGAGGCTGAGGCCAGAGAATTGCTTGATCTTGGAGGCGGCAGTTGCAGTGAGCCGAGATCATGCCACTGTACTCCGGTCTCGGCAATAGAGCAAGACTTGGTCTCAAAAAAAAGAAAAAAAACGTGGTCCAAATGGCCAATTTTATGTTATGTATATTTTATTACAATAAAAACCACAAACAAGGAGGCCCTTGGGGCTGACAGGCAGAACCCATGTAGATTGCTTGCTGTCCCTGGTCATTCTTGTTTGGTGTCAAATTATAAACATTTTAATCTCTCAATAGTTATTACATTGATTAAAGCTCCAATATAAAAAGTACAAATACTTAACACAATTGTACTAATACTTAGTACAAATATCTCCCCAAAACATCCTTGTCAGAGGATCTGCTTCTTGGGGAGTAGGGAATGGGGTGGAGGTGGGGCTAACCAAGCCATGATCTTTTGGAAAAATGTAGATATTGATCATTCTAATTTAGACTATAGCTACTGGTGGGTATAAATCACTTGTTCAGAGCCTGATCGGCCTTGGGTGAACCTCGCATAATGTTCCAGAACTTGCGATTCATTCTGGATGGCCCTGCTTGAGAGGACCCCAGCTGGTGTGTGGGCCTCTGTGTAATCATGAGCATGGACACTTTCAGGGATACTCTTATGTACCAGGCACTGTGCTAGGCACTGGTTATACACTAACTCATCCAATGTTCCCTAATGGGGTGGGCACTTTCACTTTTACTGTTTTGCAAAGGAGGACTGAGGCTCGGGGAGGTGAAATATCTTGCCCACAGTTCCCAGCTAGTGAGGGGTGAGCAGTGAGCAGAAATTTGACCCAACCTCGCTGGCCCCAGAGTCCATCCCCTCTACTCCTCTGCATGTGCATCTGTCTTGCTTCAGTACCTCCAGTGGCACCAGGTGGAGCCTAGGTGAGTGGTCAGGATGTGAAGAGACCCAGAAGGCTTGTCTTGAGCCCATACTGCTGAGCACATGTGTCTCCAACACTAGGATTCCTGGACCTTCAAACACTGGGTGCACCACCAAATCGTAGGTTTCTTGATGCTGTTTATATTTAAAACCCTGAAATGTTTCATTTCGTCATGGCTTCTATCTTTAGGCTTATGGACTCTAGTTTTAAAAAGGACCTCAGCCCTTTTATCACTGAGACTCCTACTATCTGACCCTAGGATGACTGTGCACATCTTCAAACAGCTTATCCGCCTTCTCTCCTTTCGCTTTTTCTCAACCAGCAGGACAGACAAGTGTGAACTCAGGTACTGGCAGCATAAATTTAAAATCTAGACACCCAAGCAGAAGTCATAGGATGACCTCTCTAACCTTCTGCGACGGTTAAAACCTTGTAACCCCTCTTCTCCCAAAATCATTGACATTCACTAGGTTAACACTACCTGCAAAACACTGTTAGGCGTGGTGGAACAGACCCTAGTAGGGAAAGCCAGACCTGTGTGAATACAAAGATAACTGACTCATTAGGCTACCAGATGGTGAAGTTGGTGTCTCATAGGTCTCTGTATTTGGTGGCATGCCTGGTGCTTGTTAAGTGTGAAATGAATGAGTGGTGTCACCAAACAGTTTCCTGAAGCCAATCATTCCAACAAAGCCTTCTGGAGCTCCATCACCATACTGTGCTGCACCCTGGGGACTCCATGGAGTACACAGCAGACACGTTTCTGTCCATGTGGAGTTTCTACTAGGAGGGAGATGGGGTGTTGGACCATAACCATAAGAACAGAAACCAAAGATGATTCCAGTCTGTGATACGTGAAAAGAGAGGATGCCAGGGAACTGGAAGTGAGCAGTGGAGGGCTCCTCTGAAGAGAACGGCAGAGAAGGCCTCTGATGAGGAGATGCTACACTGAACTCCGAAGGGTGAAAAAGGACCAGAAGGTGAAGATGTGGGAGAAGGCAGGGAATGGCAAGTGCACAGGCCCTGAGGGAGAAATGCTCTTGGCTTATTAGAACAATAAAAAGGAGTCCTGGGACTGGAGCACAGGGTTTGGGGGAGAATGGAGGATGAGCTCAGGGGTCAGATCACATGGGCCTTATAGGCTGTGAGTAGGAATATGATTTTACCCTGAGTGGAACAGGAGACCCTGGAAGGCTTTGATCAAGGGTGAGGCATTATCTGATTTTAAACACTTTTAAACATCACTGGCTACAATGGGTTAACTGTAGAAAGGCAAGAGTGAACGTGGGGAAATGACTGAGTGGCTACTCCCCTAGTCGAGGCAAGAGATAGTGTGGCTTGGCTATAGCAGTGACATGTAAAATGGTCAGAAATGACCAGATTTAGGATGTGCTTTGAAGCAGAACATCTCTGGACTGCCAATGGCTTGGATAAAGGAATGAGGTGATATCAACCAGAGACAGAAAAACGGAAGTGCCAGATGAATGGAAGGGGTGGTAGGTCCCACAAATGCTTGAATGAGGAAGGAATACTATGGCCTAGAGTGGTCCAGGAAAGCATCACTGAGAAGGGGCTGCCATGGCTGGGTCTTGCATCCCAGTAGTTTTCATACAGATGAGAAGGAAGAGGCATGGCATGAGCAAGGGGCTCATGGCAGGAGAGAATGTCCTGTTTGGACATCAGGGTGTTACCAGCCCAACCAGGTTCATGGGAAGTCAGGCTGTTGATGGCATCTGGAGAGAGACTTTGGAAGTTGTGCCCAAAGAGGGCTAGATTTCTACTTGGTTCTTCATGTAATAGGGCTCCACTCAAGATCCGAGTGCCTCTGAAAGCCTTCTCCTGCATGTTCCTCTTGCTATAAGGCTGGCCAGCCATGCCAGAGGCCCTCTGTGAAAAGGTGCATTGTGGGTAAACACCAACTCCTTGCTCAGGGGTGGTGGTACCACATGGCTGGCACAGGGGATAGGCTTAAGGGGAGCAGGGGTGCCCAGTCCATCGTACACACCACTGGAATTTGTGGCCCTGCTTTGCTCTGTACCTGGGGTCTGGGCTTCTGAAGCAGCGTATGGTGCGGATGCACATGATACCACTGCTCACCAGAATCAGAAAAAACAGACACTGTGTAAATGGAATTTTCTCCTTTCTCTGCTTAGAAAACATACGTCCTCCTAATTACCAAGGGGAGAGTCAGGTGCTTGCAGAGGAAGTATCACCATCCTCTTTGAGTGAAAAGGAGGAAAGGATGCAGAGTTGTATGTCTTATATACCAGGTACAAGATTGTTTATGGAATAAATAAGACATAATCATTGTCTAAAAGGCCTTTACAGTCTAGTGGGTGACCCAGATCTGTAAACAGTGCAATGAGTGCTGGGCAAGTGGTCTGCCCACTCAGGCCACAACCAAAAGGAGAGTCAAGGACAATAGATGACAGCAATGTCCCACACAATGCAGCGCCCTAGTAAACCATGTACCTGTCTGCTTTCCAGATTTTTGCTTCTCTCTCTGTCTTCGGGTGATGCTGTCTCTTAGCCGTTTAAGATTTTCCTGGAAAAGAATTTGGTTTATTTTTTAAGTGTACAACAGAATGATACCCTCTGGACATGAGAGTTTCTGATTGTATGCTGTTTGCAGGGCATATCACATTGCAGTCACATTTACAATATGCAAATGAGGCTCAGCACATTCAGTCAGCCTCCAGAAATCCAAGTACTCACAGAATCTGTGCCTGAAGAGAAAACAACTCTTCCACAAGAAAGAGTCTTTCCTCCCTTCTGGTTCTCAGCTCTGTTCTACATGGCCGCTCTCCTGTATGCCTCTTAGCTGAGCTCATAAACACTCCACAGATATTCCTGTCTCTGAGACTGTATTCTCACATAATTCCCCTGACCTTCAGGGATGCTGCTTCCTCTCCACGAGTCTGCTCCAGGCCTGGATCAAGTCTCACCTTCTCCCTGCAGCCTCCCCAGATGCTCTGGTCCTTAGTGACTGCCCACGCTAGCCATGCAGCATGTGGGCTGCACTGCCTCACCATGTGTGCACATTCTTGCGGCGAGCTCTCAAATGTCAAGAGACCAGGTCTTGTACCTTTCTGTAATCCTGCCATCTGGTCCATTGTAATCACTCAATAAATGTTGAATAGATATGTGAGGGTCAAGATTCTTTCTCTTTTAGTTGATTAACAATAACCCTGAAGTTAAGTGCCTGAGCATTCTAGGGAAAATGCCCCTGGGAAGATGTCCAGACAATCTGGCTGGAGCAGAAGGTTCATGTAGGGGAGTTGCAGGAGGCCAAACTGGAAACAAGGGTTGGCCTGCAGCTGCAGGCTGAAGAGACTGAGCTTTGTCCAGGAGGCAGCAGGGAAACACTGAAAGTTGTGACCTTGTCATTGTTTTAAGATTCTAGTCAACTAGAGAAGAAAGAACAAAGGCCAGCTGACCTTCCTGGAGACTACGGAGTGTGCCAGATGCAGGTGACAAAAGCTGATACGAGGATGTGGCTGGGGGAATGGAGAGACAGGAGCAGATGCAAGAGGATGAATGCCACAGAGCAGGATCCAGGAGGACATGCTGCTGGCTGGGCATGCGGAAGCATGGGAGAAGGCCAAAGAGACTCAGTCTCATCATGTCTCCAGGAGAAGATGGTGTGATGAGCACGGAGAGGGTGTTGGGAAAGGGAAGCGGCCTTGACGGATGGTCTGTGGTTAGACATGCAGTGAGCACAGCCTCATCCACGTTGACAATGCCCAGCTTCACCTGCTCCTGGAGGGTGATAAGCTGCCGCTGGTCTGGGGTGCCTCAGGAGAACACAGCCAGCTGGTGGCTGGAAGCGCGGGACTGCACAGAGAGGGAGCTGAAGGAAACCTTCAGTCCACCTGTGAGAGGACGACGTAAAGGAGACAGAGGAGCGGAAGGGGCAGAGGAAAAGGAAGATGAGGCCTGCACCCAGGAATGTCTCCATACCACTAGCCCTTGGATGGGGGATACTCAGGAAGTGCCCGGAGACTAGTAATGTGAGCCCCCAGGGGCTGGGATTCTCTGCCAATTGAATATGGACCCCAGTTGTCTGCTATACCCAAGAGTCCTGGTCCAGTTCATGGGAAAGGAAGAAGTCTCTTGGATATAAACATAGAGAGCTAACATTCATTACGTATTTACTATGTGCCAGGTGTGCTGCTTACGGTGGCTTACATCACCTAGTCCTCCCCCTTCACATTTCAGAGGTGGAAAAACAGAGGCGCAGCAAGGTCAAGGTCGTCCAGCCACAAGTGGCAGAACAAAGATGTAAATTCAGGCTGCGGCTGCAGAGCTCTGGCTGTTCTTAATTACTGTGCCACGTGGTTGCACAACTCGGCAAGGAGATAAAAAACATTGTGTAGCCAGGGCCAGCCTTTCCTCAGCAGGACTGCAGCCTCCCTGGGGCTCCTGAGTGAAGAGCACCTGTCATTCCTGCATTCAGCTCTCTAGGGTGCCCTCCCACCCTTCGGACCCCCATAGGGAGGGAGGCAGCTGGCAGAGTGGGTGCCCTATCTTAAGGAGCACTAAGAAAGCAGAAAGTGTAGTGAAAGGAGCTCAGGCTCTGGGGTGAGAAAGGGAAGGTTTGAACCTTGACTGCCTCTTCGCCTCTCTGAGCCTCAGTTTTCTGTGAACAGGAGGAATAATACTTATTTCACATCGTCTATGAGTGAAAGAGACCAGTTCTATTCAACGCTGAGCACAATGCCTAATGTAGCGCTGTCAGAGCTCAGCAAATGCTGCCTGATGACACACTTCCCCGCTCTTTACCGCTGATCCTCTCCCAGAAGGCGGCCTCCCGTCCCAGCCCTGGAGGGCTGCTTACTCTCCACCTCAAAAGCTGGTATGTCAGCTAGCGTAAGAACAGAGGTTAGAGGGCCGGGCATGGTGGCTCACGCCATAATCCCAGCACTTTGGGAGGCCGAGGCGGGTGGATCACGAGGTCAAGAGATTGAGATCATCCTGGCCAACATAGTGAAACCCCATCTCTATTAAATACAAAAAAAATTAGCTGGGCATGGTGGCACATGCCTGTAATCCCAGCTACTTGGGAGGCTGAGACAGGAGAATAGTTTGAACCCAGGAGGCGGAGGTTGTGGTGAGCCGAGAATGCGCCATTGCACTCCAGCCTGGGTAAAAGAGCGAAACTCTGTCTCAAAAATTAAAAAAAAAAAAAGAACAGAGGTTAGAATACACACCACCAGGGTCTGCAGCCACACCACCCTGAACGTGCCCAATCCCGCCTGATCTCTGAGGGTAAGCAGGGTTGAGCCTGGCTAGTAGGTTGAAGGAAGCAGTCTGGGGAGGTGGAGAGAAAAGGCAATAGTTCCAGCCCTAACTTGGCCCCTTACTAGGAAAGTTGTCTTGGACGTGTCTCCTAACCCCCTAAGCTCCAATTCCTCCTTTTTAATACAAAGGCATTGAAGCACTAGGAATGAGTTTCCTAAGGTTGAGTTTGAGTTCTTTTTATTGTTTTCAGTTATACATAGTGTATACTTGTGGTACAGATATGGAGTTGTATATTCTCATAAAAGCTTCAAACTATACAGGTAGAGCGAGAGTCTCCTCTGATACCCCAGTCCTCCAATCCCAGTCTTCTCCCGAGAGGTGGCCCCTGGAATGGGCCTGAAGCGGCTGTTTCCAGATCTTTGTCCTTGCATTGATATACATATCCATAGAAATACAGTTGGTGTGTGGATGTGTCTGAGTTGTTATAATTTGGGTGGTTTTGTATCTGCAACTTGTTTTGTTCATTTAATCATATTTCTTGGGAGCTTTCCACATTCTCTTTGAGTGCTAAAGTGTGATAGTTGTGAGGGTATTTGGCAGTAGGAATAGAAAGAGGGACTTTAAAAAGAAAAAGCTGGAAAGCAGAAGCAGGGAGCCAATGCAGAGAGACAGCAGCAGAGTTAGGGTTTGTGGTTGAGCCTTTGTTTCTGATCTCAAGCCTCATGGCACCTGGAAAAGCCATCCAGCTCTGAGCCCGGGAGCCATGTGTTTATAGACCAAGGTGACACTCACATGCACTCGCTGGTTTACAATCAAATCAAACATTTGCAGGCCCAGCCATGGGTGTCCAGGTATGGCAATACACAAGCAGCCAAGGCCCAGCCCTCCTCCACTGTCAAAGGGGGAAATAGACATGAAACAAATTCCATAGGAAGCCAGGAATCACAAGGAATCAGGTGTTCAGAGGATTGTATTGATTGAGTAGAGGTGAGGAACTAGGATGTTGAAAAGTAAAAAAAGGAGAGAAGGAGAGGATATCCTTTTCTGATATCCTTTCAGTGGGAGGTTTCCCACTGAAACCTCCAAAAAAAAAAAAAAGGAAGCCAGTTACCTGCTGGAAACGAAAGGACTCCGATCGTTTCTTCTGGTTGAGCTGCCACTCTTTGAAGTGGAGCACAGCCTCATCCACGTTGACAATGCCCAGCTTCACCTGCTCCTGGAGGGTGATAAGCTGCCGCTGGCCTGGCGTTTTCATCCCCGCAAAAGGGTCATATATACTTGACTGGGGCCTGTCCCTCCACGGTCTGACGGGTGCCTCTGGAAAGGATGGCAACACTCAGCTTGACAGCTCCCCCACTGGGGACCACTCACCAGAGGCATGGGGTTAATGAGGCTGGTCACAGACTCAAGAGGACTTGTCTCAAAAGAACAATTACATGTGGCCAAGGAGTGGGAGATACAACATAAAATCAGGGGTGAAGAAAGCAGCTTATCATTTCAAAGCCTCTCACGCTAAAGAAGACAAGGCTGCAGCATTGAAGGGAGGTGTGAAATCTGCTGAATCTCCCAAGTCTTAATTATTATTATTATTTTTAACAGGCTTAATTCATTTCATTTTTCTTATATAAAAACCCTAAGTTGTAGACACATCTGGAACCTGGGTCTTTTGCTCAGAGACTCTGGTGTGGGTCTTGAGAGATGGTCAGTAAATTTCTGGTAGGGAGACTTGGTGAATACATCTCTTTCCAGAGGTCAAGGGTCAAGTTCATAGGTGGCCCAGGTTCAAAGGTGGCCTCGGTTCACAGGTGGCCCAGGGTAGCAGTGCAGCCCCTGGCCAAGGTATAGCAGCCATCATCAGCAACTTCTTGGGCACAGAGGCCAAGATGATGCTAGTGTCCCTGGGAGCAGGGATGAGGCTCAGCAGCCTGTCACCTTGCAAGGGCTAGTGTGGGGCTTGCTGATCTTGTTCCCCCTGTAAACTCTCTGTGCAGGCCCAGTGAGAGCTTGGCAAGGATGACAGCCCCTTAGATGGCAGTGGCTACCTCCTTGGAGTACTTAATACCCAGACGACATGGCCACTGTCGTCCTCAATGGGAGCAAACACTTTGAATACGGTGTAATGACCAGCCTGGGTCGGCTTCTATACCAGCAGAATATTCAGAACCCCATTCTTGAGAGATGAGCCCAGGAAAAGGTCAATGATCTCAGTTCAGACTCCTTGATGGGCAGAGAGAACAGAGATCTCCTAGGACTTACTCTTCATGTCCTTGGCTAGGTGGTCTAGTTTAGTGATAGGCATCTACTCCTTGTTCTCAGCCTTCCCTCCGTGAGCTCCAGAGCCTTGGCCCCAGCCACAGCCACAACCTCGGCCTGAACATTGCTGCCAAAGCCTCCAGGGAAGCCATCACAGCCTCCCATTCCAGGGCCCCTAGGCCCTCCCGCTGCATCAGCATCATCCACCATTTGGTGTTTTCTTGGAGAGGCAGTCAAGCCTTAATTATTGAGAAGCCTTTAGACAGCATTTCTCAACCTCGGCACTATTGACATTTGGGGCCAGATAATTCCTTACGATGTCGGTGCATCCTGTGCACTGTAGGATGTTCAGCAGCATCCCTGGCTTCTACCCATTAAATGTTAGCAGCACCCCCTTCTTTAGTTGTGACAACTAAACATTTTCCCTATATTGCCAAATATTCTTTAGGGAGGGGGAGCAAAATCACTTTCAGTTGAGAACCACTGCTTTAGACTTAAATCCACACCCAGAAGAGAATATACTGGAAGAGTTTAGCCAGGATGCTTCTCTTAGCCCCACTCTCATCCCTCACTGTCTCTAAGCAGCATGGGGCACAATGATGGTGCACTGATGGTCATGAAATGCCCCAGGAGACTGGAACATCAATGGAATCATGACCCAGCCCAACAGCACCAGGTATAAAGTAGGTGCTGGCTTCCGGCTACTACTTCTTGGGTTGTTCCTGTGCCAACCTCTCTCCCACATTACAAATTCACAGTTCTCTGCTTTGGAGCTTCTAGAGTAATACAAAGCCAGCCCTCATCTCTCTCCAGGCCATGAATCCAGTTCTATGGGGAATGATCTACTCATAGCAACCATGGGGCCACTGAGGCATCTTGGCATTTCACTAAATTCATATGAGGCTACTTGAATCTAAATTTCTCCAACAGACCCCATTTGGGCATTGTGATTCAGGGATATAACAAGAAGGAAAAAGAGAAATGGCTTCACCAGTGAGTATTGAAAAAGCCTCAAAGACATTTATCTAGCATTCTGCCCAACCATTCACTTACCTGTGCACATGCACTCACACATCCTTCTCCCAGGTCTGCTCTTTTTTTTCTTTTTTTTGAGACAGAGTCTTGCTCTGTTGCCAGGCTGGAGTGCAGTGGTTTGATCTCGGCTCACTGCAACCTCCGACTTCCGGGTTCAAACGATTCGCCTCCCTCAGTCTCCTTAGTAGCAGGGATTACAGGCACGCACCACCATGCCCAGCTAATTTTTGTATTTTTAGTAGACATGGGGTTTCGCCATGTTGGCCAGGCTGATCTCAAACTCCAGACCTTGTGATCCACCTGTCTTGGCCTCTCAAAGTGCTGGGATTACAGGCATGAGCCACTGCACCTGACCTATTTATTTAATTTTACAGACTGGGTCTCACTATGTTGCCCAGGTTGGTCTCAAAGTCTTGGCTTTAAGTGATTCACCCACCTCAGCCTCCCAAAATGCTGGGACTACAGGTATGAGCCACAGTGCCTGGCCTAGATCCCTCTACTTTTCAGTGCCACGGAGCTGTTGTTGCACTTGGAAATCACTAACCTATGAACACTTCTATCACCCAAAAGTTTAGTTCGTATAGCATCTGGCTTACCTTTCCTGATGCTCTCTGAGGAAACGTAGAAATTCCCAGGTCGCTCTTGACTTTTTTCTGCAAAAACTATGACATAAAGAATATTCCTATTACCGAAAAACTATCAAAATCTGGTACAAAATAATAGTAATAATGAATCCATACCTAAGACCACCATATGTGGTTTTGTAAATCAAAATTGCAGAAAGAGGCAATTAGTAAGAAGGACTAGGAATTGTCAAGTAATGGCAGACTAAACAGATACAATCCTAAAACTAGAAAGACAAAGCCAGCTAGAGGACATGATCAGAATTTACAAGCTCATTAAAGAAAGCAGTAATGGGAGTGAGAACATGTGCCTGGACCCCTGAACGCCTGAAGCTAGCAATGGAAAACCTTGAAATTTGAGAATAAAAGGAAGTACCACCTAAAATGCCAACTAGTGCCATAAGACAGAACTCTAAGCAGTGGAATAGTATAAGTGCACAGCTCCAAAGAGATTAAGATGAAGTCATTTATGAGGCATAGATTCCTGGAGGTTAGGTGAGAAAACCGGGACATGACAAATGTTCACTTAGTGATAAGATGGCATGGTGATGCTGGCTCCCTGGGCTCTGAGAGAGGCCCCCTGAATCCAAATGCTAGCTCTGTGGCTTGTGACCCGTATGATCTTGGACAAGTGGCTTGACCTCACCCTGTCCCTGTTTCTTATCTGTAGAATGGGGATGATAGTAGTTCTTTTACTGGATTGTGGTGAGTATTAAATGAGTGAATACATGGAAAGTACTTAGAACAGTGCCTGGCCCATGTAAACGCTCAGTGTTAGCTTTCATTATCATTGTTCACATCTGACCTTTGAGACTGTTGCCAATAGTCGGCAATACCTTGGCATGCTAGTTAACCCAAGTGATGTCTCGAAATGCCTTACCATTTATAAAGAACTTCCTTCTGTATTATTTCATCTGACCCTCATAATACGGCTATGGTGATGTATTAGTGTATATTACTAGGACATGTATTAATGTATACCTGTATCATTACAATACTCATTTTATTGATGCGGAAACTAAAGCTTAAAAGGGTAAAATGGCCCCGGGTATGGTGGCTCACACCTATAATTCCAGCATTTTGGGAGGTTGAGGCAGGAGGACTGCTTGAGCCCAGGAGTTCAAGACCAAAACACAGCAAGACCCTGTCTCAAAAATTAAAAAAAATGGTGAAATGACTTACCCAATGTCCTATGCCGTGCAGCTGGAAAATGCAAGAGCTGAGAGATGAACCCAGGTGTTCTGACATCCAAGCCTTTGCCCCTTTTGTCATTTCCTGCCTCTCTCCTCTCCTTTGCTTCTCCACAATTTCCTAGCAAGCCCATTGGGGCTCCTGAAGAATCATCTGTGCCCCTGTCCAAGCACCTCCCTACAATGAGCCATGCCATCAATACTGTTCCCTACTCCCTCTGCTAGTTAGGAATTACCAGCATATATTTGCATGCTTCTTAGATCGAGTTCCCTCAGAAGCAGAACCCAAGATGAGGATTCAAGAGCAAGCAGTCTATTTGAGAGGTGACAGAAGTAAGCCTGGGAAGTGGATGGTGCAATAAACGGTGGATAATCAAGCAAGTTACACTGTGGGCAACTTTGGAATCTGTAGAAAGCAATGTAGAATGCGCAACTAAGAATTCTCCCACCGGAGGGGCAAGTAAGCTGGGGTACTCATCCACACCTCCTGTCAGGCACTGGTTGAGGGCAGCGACTCTGTGTGTTAATTCTCCAGTGCTTTCAGCCTGTCCTTTAAGAGGGCAGAGAAAGCTCCAGGTGCTAGAGGAAGCCCTTGGGCTGAAAGACACAGGTGCTGACAGGTAGGGTCCAGCCAGTGAGCACAGAAACGTAAAGGGCTAGGGGAACATGAGCAGGGAACCAACAGTGTCTGCTGCTCATGCCAAGGAGATGATACCCAAAGAGACTGCAGGCCACAAGCAATCACAGCACCTCACAACTGTATACCTAGCCAGTTGAGGGTTGCTGGATTTTGCAAAACAAAAGCAAAACAAAAAGGTGTGTGCTATTCGGGACATACACTAAAAACTCATTTGCTATTTATCTGAAATTCAAAGTTAACTGGGCATCCTGTATTTTATCTGGCAACCCCAACCCAACTACCTAGGGCTCTGGGTGAATGCTATGTTCCCCAATTTATAATTCCCTTTTGACACCCCCAACAACATGATGATACCATTGAAAAACAGAATATGGTTCAGGAGCACAGATCTGGCAATTCTTTTTTTTTTTTTCTTTTTTCAGACAGGGTCTTGCTCTGTTGCCCAGGCTGGAGTGCAGTGGTGCAATCTCAGCTCACTGCAACCTATACCTCCCAGGCTCAAGCAATGCTTCCACCTCAGCCTCCTGAGTAGCTGGGACTACAGGTGCATGCCACCACACCTAGCTAATTTTTTGTATTTTTTTGTAGAGACAGAGTTTTGTCATGCTGCTTAGGACAGTCCTGAACTCCCAGGGTCAAGTCATCTACTGCCTTGGCCTCTCAAAGTGTTGGGATTACAGGCATGAGCCACCCCTCCTGGCCTATTTCTAATACTCTTAAAGTACTTGTAACCATATTATTGCAACCAAGTCCAAAAAATAGTGAAACCAACAATGCCATCAGTATGTAACTAAAGTCCCAGGGACAATTATGAAGAAGTCAAAACCCAATTTTTAATAACATGGGTAGACGGTCAGCCTAGCATAGTAACTAAAAGCCAGGGCTGCGAAGTCAGATTCTCTGAGTTCAACTCTTGGCTCTGCTATGTTCTGGTTGAGTGACCTCTGTAAAGCCTCTATTTTCTCATCTGTAAAATGAGATAATGATGGTCCTTACCTAATAGGTTATTGTAAAAATTAAACAGTGTGTTCCAGATAGAGCATTCTTGATAGATTTCAATAAATGTCAGCTATTCAAAATTAATAATATCAAGAAGGGTTTCAGGATATAAAAATTTATCAGGGTTCTCATTTACCTGCCTATGCAACTGTGCATAAATACTTCCTGGAAGACCAGCACTGACTTTGGTCATTGCTCCTATTCTAGCTCCAGAATCTGTCCCAAGATATAACCCTGTCTACTAGGGCTGGTTGAGGGCCATTTAGAAGGGGGTAGTCTCTGAGCAATAATTCAAAAAGCCAGATCATCCAGGAAATCTCTGTTGAGAAGCTCCAAAGACCCTGCTGGGCATCATTCCCTGCCACACTTGCCTTTAGAAATATATGGTTCATTATCGGGCAGCTGGTGAGCACCAGGAGCAGTGGTCTCTGGTCTGGGTACTGGGACAGGGGGCCTGCTGGCCAGGTCCACGGAAAAGGCCTCATCTTCATCCACTGTGTAATAAACATCTTCTTCCTGATCAAGATGGCATAGATCTCTCTCCAGATTGGTCATTCCCATGCTGTTGCCTAGAAACACAGAGAAAGGTGACTGAAAGCAGTAGCCAAACAAACTGGGTGTTTGTCAGTCACAAAAGCAGAGTGAGGGACCTTACCTTGTTTTCTCAGTGCTGCCCTCTGCCACGGACTTTCCCCAATATCACTTCCTGTACCATCTGCTCAGAACACCATGCAAAGCAACTGAGAAAACACTCATGCCACCTTCATTGACACCCAGCGATGCAGTGCAAGGACATGAGCACAAGGCTTTGCCATCTCTGTTTTACTCCTGGGATTCAGTTATTCATCCCATTAGAACTAGGGAAAGTCCTAGATAAGACTAACTGTCAAAGCCCTAGTTAAGAAAGGTGGGGCATTCACTGCCGACTGTCCAATAAAAGTGATACTTCTTATCTAGGGCTTGAAACAGACTGTCCAGGGCTCCCCTCTCAGGAAACCTCTCAGTCTAGAGTGGGGTTCAGAACACATTTTTTAAAGATCCAATAGTAAATATTTCAACCTTTGAGGCTGTAAAGTCTGTTGCAGGTACTCAACTCTGTCCCTGTGACATGAAAGCAGCCATAAACAATACTAAATAAATGGTTGTGTTGTGTTCCAATAAAACTTTATTTACAAGACAGTCAGCTGGCCAGGCTGTGGTTTATGTGGTTTATCTATCACTGCTTTAGAGTTTTTTCCTTCCTCTTCACTGTGAAACTACTTTTGTCCCCTTGAGTCCCATCCTCTTAGCACTCTGCTTTCTATGTCTACTTGATTAGCAGACCCCACCATACATTGTAAACGATTGGACAGGGTTAAAGAATGACTCATGAAATTTAACACCCTCTATCTTTGAAACCTTCAATAATAACAATAATAAATCTTTATCAACTGCTTGTTATATGCATGGTGGTGCTCTGAGACCTAATGAATACTAACTCATTTAATTAACACAATATTTACCTCATTTTACAATGGAGGAAACTGAGCCCCAGAGGAGTTGAGTAACTTGCCTAAGGTGTTCCAGCTAACTGGATGGGACAATGGAGAACGGATCAGAGTTCACACTCCTAGCCACTGAATAACACAGCCTTAACTTAGTAATCCTCATGTATATTCCCCTCCTTCACCAGCAAGTAGAGTCTCCTGAAGGCATTCATCAGAGCTTATTTTTCTTTTTATCTCCAACCCCAATATCCAGAACAGTGCTTTGCACATAGTAAGTACTCAATAAATTTTGGTCAAATAAAAGCAACGCATGCATTTTAAAAGGAGGTCTTGCTAAAGGCAACTTGTTTACCCAAACAAGTGGCTCCACTGGTTGGAACTCCTGGACTGATGGGGGAGCTCAAGGTAGAGAAGTAGGGGGAGGCCCAGTGCCTTTATTCACATCACATGCCATGTATGCAGCAGCCCATTCCTTGACGGGAGCAACCCTCATAGAGAACCAGACAATGTCTTGCATTTGTTTCTTTCACTCTTTTAGCTTCCCTGCTCATGGCTACAACTCACCTTCTAAAAACTTGCGGATCATAGAGTCCTTAGTGGCCCGAGAGAAACCGTCTCCAGGGATTGGGTTAGATGTACTGGCCTGAAGCATTTCAACATCTAGAAGGAAAAGGAGACTAAGAGTTATATATTGTTTTCCTACACAGGCAAGGAGTTTACAGATAGAACTATGAGGTTTGGCAACTCTCTTAAGAGATTCAAGCATTCATCAATCTATCCATCCCTCCATCCATCCACCTACTCAAGGACACCCAGTAAATGTGGGGCATGAAAGACAGCAAGGTGCACAACCCTCAGGCTCTACCTTGCACCACAGGTCTCTAAAAGTAAAGATATGCTTATTTGCATCTGAAATAATAGGTTTAATTTTGAAATACTACATCGTCGCAGTAGTACAGAAAAAAAGGAAGTAATAACAGGGAATAAATTGCGTTATAAATATGTGTGTGTGTGTATATATATATATATATATATATATAGATATATAGATATGAAGCCAGGTCCCAGGCAGTTTACAAATTGTGGTTTATTCAAAAAATGGAACATTATACAACCATTAAAAAGAATGTATTGAAGCTATTACTATCAACATAGTTACTTTTGAAAAACAATGTTGAGTGAAAAAGTTACAGACAGGTGTTTGGTATGATATTGTTTACATAAGGTTCCAATCTATAAAAATATAGTACAAATTGATTATGAATTCATACATATACAGTATGCACATAAATACTCTGGGAATGATAAATACTGAAAAAATACCTCTGGAGAGGGAGGGAGGATAACTGGATTCCAGAGGGGTTTAGTAGGGAACTATAACGGGAACCATATTATTTAATTTAAAAAAAAATTTTTGAGACAAAAAGGAATAAAAAAGGAAATATATATTCTTGAAGATTCTGATGAATTTGAAGACTCAGAATCTTCAAAAAATATAATATTTTAGGTAATTAATCTGCTACCCAAAAAGGGCAAAATAAGATTCTATTTCCGTATTTGTTTATAAATATATATAAAAGAAACTCTGGGCCAGCCATGTTGGCTCACATCTTTAATCCCAATACTTTGGGAGGCCAAGGCAGAAGGATCACTTGAGCCTAGGAGTTTGAGTCCAGCCTATGCAACAAAGTGAGACCCCTTCTCTACAATAAAAATAAAAAATAGAAAAAATTAGCTAGGTTTAGTGGCACCTCCCTGTGGTCCCAGACACTTGAAATGCAAGGGGGAGAATGGCTTAGGCCGGGGAGGTCAAGGCAGCAGTGAGCTGTGATCACGCCACTGCACTCCAGCCTGCGTGATAGAGCAAGACCCTGTCTCAACAAAAAGAAGAAGAGGAAGAAGAAGAAGAAGAAGAAGAAGAAGAAGAAGAAGAAGAAGAAGAAGAAGAAGAAGAAGAAGAGGAGGAGGAGGAGGAGGAGGAGGAGGAGGAGGAGGAGGAGGAGGAGGAGGAGGAGGAGGAGGGAGGAGGAGGAGGAGGAGGAGGAGGAGGAAGAAGAAGGAAAAAAAAGAAAAGAAACTCTGGAAGGAGATACGAGAAATTAATATCAGGGGTTTATTGAGAACTGAGAAGATTCATCTTCCTATATTTTAGCTTTTTGGCCTATTTGAAAAAATAAAGAAATGCAATACTCTGACATGATTGTGTTACTTTATTATCCAAAAAACACACAAAACAAAAACCAACCTCCTTATTTCTGCTTCTTCAGTTTGCATCTCTTGGCATAGTGGGCACTGTACATAAACGTAATGTACCTTGATATCCTCCAGTTCAGGGCACTACAATTCCAAATGAGGATCCAGTAAATGAATCCCACCCGCCCACTTTTGTCACCACTGAATTCCGTAACAGACTAGAAAGCTTAGGGTAATGGTACTAATCCTGAGGCATACCTAGAGATGCATTTATTATTTTAAACATGTTCTGATAAGAACTCACACCTAATTCATTCTTTGGAAATTCAAGACCAGAAAAATTCTACTTATATGTTGAGACTTTCAGTTTAAGTTGCTTAATTGTGTTTCACGGAACATTTTTTTCACAGAGTTAGAAAATTGGAGGCCAGGCCCAGAGTGTCACACCTATAGTCCCAGCACCTTGGGAGGCTGAGGCGGGAGGATCACTTGAGCCCAGGAGTTCAAGTCCAGCCTGGGCAACATAGTGAAACCCTGTCTCTACCAAAAAAAAAAAAAAAAAAAAAAAAAAAAAAATGGCTGGGCATGGTGGTGCAGGCCTATAGTCCCATCTATTCAGGAGGCTGAGGTGGGAGAATTGCTTGAGCCCAAGAGATCTGGCTGCAGTCAGCTAGCATCACGCCACTGCACTCCAGCCTGGGTGACACAGTGAAACCCTGTCTCAAAAAAAGAAAAGAAAAATGGGAAGGTGTGTGCCCTGCTAAGAGCAGGACCCTCCTCTACCTGACCATATTGCCTTCCTCCTTCCTAAGTCTTACCCCAATCTCCACTCCCATCTGCCCAAGCCCAACTCTGGCCCCAGTTAATTTCTGAAACTCCAGTTTGAAACTCATCATTAACCCAGCAATGAAGCACCAAGGAACTTGCCCTCAAGGGAAGGCATGCTTGGGTCAGACACCCCTAAACATGAGGGGAGGGAGAAACTCCGCAGACCTGTAGTCCAGCTTTATACTGCTCAGTGCTGGACTCTCGAGAAAACCACACCTGCCTCAGTCCCCAGAATCTGTTCTGGAAGAACCTTCTTCAGGGCACAGCAACTTCAGGGCCGTTATAATCACTAATCACCCAATTTCCCAGGCTGATAACATCAGAGTGCGAATCTCACACACATAATCTGTCAACTGTTGACAGAGTGGTAAAAGCCTCATGCAATGGTCCAGCTATTTTCACTAACAAAGTTCAATTGGAGAGAGCTGATTTGCATGTCAGAGAGGTAGGTGCAAAACTGAAGGAGCTACAAAGATAATTTAGGGCAATAAAATGTGGAAGAAAATAGTAGAAGCAAGAGCATCCCTGGCTGGGTCTGGTATGCTGACACAGTAGGGGTGCAGACTCCACTCAGGTACTATAACCCCTTTCCCAATGTGCTCATTTCGGCCAGAGTTAAAGAAAGAACTTAAAAAGAGAAAGAAAAGGTCAGGCATGGTGGCTCACACCTGTAATCCCAGCACTTTGGGAGGCCGAGGCAGGTGGAGTCGTTGAGGTCAGGAGCTTGAGACCAGCCTAACCAACATGGCGAAACCCTGTCTCTACTAAAATATAAAAATTAGCTGGATGTGGTGGTGGGTCCCTATAATCTCAGCTACTCGGGAAGCTGAGGCAGGAGAATAGCTTGAACCCAGGAGGCAGAGGTTGCAGTGAGCTGGGATTGTGCTACTACACTCCAGCCTGGGGGACAGAGCAAGACTTTGTCTCAAAAAAAGAAAAAACAGAACAGAAAAGAATGAGGGAATGAGCACCAGTAATGAGTCTTAGGAACATCATGACTCCTTGCACCAAGAAGTACATCATTTCTATGGCATTCTTGCCAAAAATTCATAACCTCAGCCCAATCATAGAAAATATCGACAAACTCAAACTGAGGGGCATTCTACAAAATAACTGATCAATGCTCTTCCAAAGCATCAAGACAATGAAAGACTGAGGAACTGTTTCAAACTGAAGGAGACTGAGAAGAAATAACCGAACGCATTATAAGATCCTAGAAAGGTTCCAGAACAGAAAAGGAACATCAGCGGCACAACTAGCGAAATTTGAACAAGGTCTATAATTTAGTTACAAGTACTGTACCAATGTAATGTCCTGGCTTTGGTCATTGTACCATGGTTATGTAAGAGGTTCATATTAAGGGAGCCTGGGTGAAAAGTATGCAGGAACTCTGGTGTTTTTGCAACTTTTCTCTCTAACTCTAAAAGTATTTCAAAAATATTTTTTATATATATAAAAAGGAGAGGAGGAACCACTCTAGCAAAACTAAATAATCATAGCTCCTGTGGATGATCCAATAATCCTCCTCCCTATCTGCCTGCACTATCAAGCTAAGTATCTTCCAATGACACTGTGGAACACATGTATGTGGCTACAATGATCAAGGTGGTGCTAAATGAACCACTTGTGAAAAACAAACACTTTTACATTATAGTCAATGCCTTAACTGGTGGTTAAGAGCATGATTTTGGAAGCAACAATGTAGGCTCGGCTAAATATCAGCTCTGTGACTTGGTAGAGTTATTTGGCCTCCTTGAGCCTCCGTGAGAGTGTCTCACAGGATGATTAGAAGCTTGGTCATTAGGATCAAAATGCATAAGTTCTAATTTTGTCTTTCTCATTTCTGGCTGTACGACTACACACCCATCAGTCCAACACCAACCAGTCTTTTTAGGTTCAATTAAACATTCAGACTCACAAGATGACCCTGGGCCGGGCTTGGCACCAGTCTACTCAGAAAGATATAGGACACAAGCTAGCAGGGCAGTGCCGAGAGCTAATCTTCCTTTGAGTAGTCCTTGCACCTGACCAGCAGCTCAGATGCAAAGAGACAAGATCCATAGCAGGCCATGCTGGTAAAAAACCTCACATCCTATAAGAGCAATTTCTCATAGCAACTCCAGAGGCATGGCTTCCGGGGTCCCAGTGAGAGAATTGCCAGAGTCAAGGTCCTCAGGAAAGGCCAAAGAATGGTGTCCCTTTCAGTATTTCTAGTTCCTGTACAGGTCCTCCCAGTTCCAGGTGCAATTTACCAATCAGGAGCCATTTTTATTGTAGGCAATGTTGCCTGGAAACATATTTGACATTTGGCTCTTATCAAGTTACCGGGGTAACAGAGCTAGGAAGTCAACCGAGGGTCAAAATTTTATGCAGAAAGGGAAATGATAGCTATTATATTTTCTCTTTGCCCATAATTATCTGGGGCCAAGTTTTTGAAATCCTCTCAGCTTCTCTCTCTTCTTATCTGTAAAATGGTGATAATAATAGTACATATCTCATAGGTTAGTCATGAGTATTAAATTAGGAGCTTGCCAAGTGCTGAGCATAGTATCTAGCACATAGGAAGTGCTAAAGGAATGCTGGCTACTACTATTCCTATTACTATTATTTTTATCTTAAATTCTATACCCAGGCTAATG